GAATTTTGGGCAATTCGGACATTTGGGTATTTCGAATGTCTGAACAGTCGAAGTGCCGAATTGCCGAGGTCCCGAAATTACCGAATTTCCGAAGTGTCGAAGTTCCGAAGTGTCAAAGTTCCGAAGCACAGTTTTGCCTAAGTACTAATATACTTACCCAGTGGAAGAATGAAGAATGTTACACTGTATACAATTTAAAATAAAAAGTATACAAACATAGCCAGGATTCAGCTGTAAGCATTTGCAACACTTACAACAATCAAGTAACACACATTCATATAAAATGTAAATTACTTAGCCTGTCAATGGAATGACAGGAATGAATAAGTAGATAACTCCCTAATTCCCACGGTATTAGGGAGCTATCTACTAAAAGGCTGAAAGACCTGAATTGGTCTTTCAGCCAAATTTACTAATACTAAGTGAAGATTTCTTAGTATTAGTAAATTATGCCCCTACTTGCTATACTGCGAGTAGGGGCATGTCTATTAAACAGAGAGCAGTCTGTGGCTGCTCACTGTAAAAAGCCCCCCCCCAACCCTGTGTAGGCTTGAGTGGGGCTTCTAACCTGGGGGACCTGGCCCCGGCCCAACCCCTGAACGGCGGGCGGAGGCCCTAAAGTGAAATAAGGGGGGGGGACCTATTGTCCTCCCCCCGGTTCCCCACCCATGAGCTGTGGGTGGGGCCCTAAATTATAAATTAGAATAAGGAGGGCCTATTGTCCTCCCCCCCGGCCCCCACCCCTGTGCGGCGGGTAGGGACCCTAAAGTAAAATAATGGGGGGGGAACCTATTGTCCTCCCCCTCACCCCCACCCCTGAGCGGTGGGGACCCTAAATACTAATTAGGGGGGTGTCAGGATTACAGAATGATCCAGCACGTAGAACTGTGTTACACAGAGGACTGATAGGTAACGTATACCGGACCTTAGAATGGCCGGACTAACGTACCAAAGAATAGTCAGGAATAGCCGAGGTCAAGGGAAACAGAAAGAGACACAGCGATAAGGAAAAGCCAGGAGTCAGGGATGCCAGAAAACAGGGAAGTCAAAAACAATGCCAAAGTCAAATAACCAGAATAACCAGAATCAATAACACGCTCTCGGACAACCACAAGGGAAACCACGACAGGGCACTGAGCAGGATGAGAACTGGGCCTAAATACCCCTCCTCTAGGTCTGATAAGCTGTAACCGGCCTTTGACCCCATAGGCAGTTACCAGATCTCATTTGCATAATTGCTGCTCAGCATTAACCCTTCTGTGGAGTTGGTTGTTGCTCGGCACAACTTTTCATGTGTGGACAGTAAATGTCATTAACCACATTTTTGTAAGCGGATGAATACGTTACAGGGGGGTGCCTAGGTCCTCCCCCCTAGCTCCCACCCCTGAGCGGTGCCCCTAAATTAGAATGAGGAGAGGACCTAAATGTCCTTCCCCCTGACCCCCACCCCTGGGCGGTGGGTGGGGACCCTAAAAACTAATTAGGGGGGGGACCTAATGTCCTCCCCTCTAGCTCACACCCCTGAGCGGTGGGTGGGGCCCTAAATACTAATTAGGGGGTTTAAGCCATCCAATCAGAGTGCTCTGACAGGTAAATTAAGGGACTGACAGGTAAGTCTCTACATTTACCTGTCACAGCACTCTGATTGGTTGGCTTGAAATCCACCAATCAGAGTGCTCTGTGTCATTTACACAGGGTGGGAAAGTTCTTTGGAATTTTCCCACGCTGTGTAATTTGACTCATAACACTCTGATTGGTGGATTAAGTAACCAATCAGAGTGTTATGAGTCATATTACAAAGCGAGACCTGTCAGTCTCTTCACTTACCTGTCGGAGCACTCTGATTGGATGGCTTAAACCCACCAGAGTGCTCTGAGCCTAATTGCAGGGCGGGGCAAGGCTTTATAAGTCTGCGCGGAGCCCTCCATGGGTGAAGGTGGATTTTTTTTTGCGCTTTTTTTTTTTGCGTCGGTTATTATAGCTTTTTATTTGGCCTTTTTGGGGCTGAAAAAAGAAGATTTTAGAAGAAAGAAAACATCAGGGACCAGGGGGGAGGAGATTAGGTCCCCCCCAATTAGTATTTAGGGCCCTCACCTGCCGCTCAGGGTTAGGGGCCAGTTGGGAGGACATTAGGTGTCCCCCTAAATAGTTTTTAGGGCCCCCACCCCTCGCTCAGGGGTAGGGGCCGGGGGGAGGACATTAGGTCGCCCCCCTCATTCTAATTTAGGGCCGCCACCCACCACTCATAGATCAAGTACATATAATAACACTTACAAAATTGGAGCCAATTTATCCACTTGTCTCAAGAGTAAAGATCGATAGGATGATTATGGGCAATCCTCATCCTTCGTCTGAACAATGTTTTGCAGCTTCGGCTTGAACTATATGGACAGAAGATGATTCATATTGTTTCTTTTGCAAAGATACTGAATGGTGATTTTGTCACTTGCAGTGTGGGCTGGCCTGTGAGTGTGAATGAAGGCACGTTTTACTTAAAGGGACACTATAGTCACCAGAACAACTACAGCTTGTTGTATTTGTTTGTTGAGGATAATCATTCCATTTTCAGAGAAGAGGCAGTGTTTACATTAGAGCCTAGGGATACCTCCACTGGCCACTCCTCAGATCTCAGCTAGAGGTGCTTCCTGGGGCAACTGCACAGTGTGTCTCAGGCAAATTTCAGTGTCTCCACCCTCTACATGGAGACACTGAATTTTTCCCTTAGAGATGCACTGATTCAATTAATCTCTATGAGGAGATGCTGAACTGGTCAGGGCTTTGCCTCCTTGACCTAGTCTTAGTGTCAGGAATAGAGTTACCCTAACAGGCAAACCTAAAGGTAACAGTAAAGGTACACGTACTGGTCCTTAGAGTGGCCGTGTTAGTGCCTGAGACAGATATAAGAAATGTCTGCAAGCAGACAGAGAATAAACAAGAGACAAACAGAGGTCAGGATTACAGAAATACACGGAATCGAAAGCTAGGCCAAGATCAGGATAACAGAGAGTAAGAATAGTCAAACAAGCAAAGGTCAGAAAACATGAAATCCAATACACTGTATAAACACACTCTCAGGTAACAAAAAAAACACAACAGGGCAATGAAACAAGGACAACCAGGAAGTATATATACCCTATACTGGGTAGTGATTGGTCACAGAGGACCGTGATGTTACAAGCCTGTACACATCAGAAAGCAACACATGGGCTGACACTATAAAATGAGACTAGGGGGTCCATATATAATGTCATAATAAGGCACCAGGAAGTTAGGGATAAATGTGTGTGCATCAGAACTCAGACTAGGGGGTCCATATATAATGTCATAATAAGGCACCAGGAAGTTAGGGATAAATGTGTGTGCATCAGAACTCAGAAAATACATAATTTCTGTGACAGTATGGTGCCGCGAGGGACAGGTATCGTGACACTTAGCCAATCCAATGCTAACTTATTGGTATTGAGCAACACTTCTTATAATGATGTCAGCCAAACAGAAACATAGAAACATAGAATGTGACGGCAGATAAGAACCATTCGGTCCATCTAGTCTGCCCAATTTTCTAAATACTTTCATTAGTCCCTAGTCTTATCTTATAGTTACGCATGCTTAAACTCCTTTACTGTGTTAACCTCTACCACTTCAGCTGGAAGGCTATTCCATGCATCCACTACCCTCTCAGTAAAGTAATTCTTCCTGATATTATTTTTAAACCTTTGTCCCTCTAATTTAAGACTATGTCCTCTTGTTGTGGTAGTTTTTCTTCTTTTAAATATAGTCTCCTCCTTTACTGTGTTGATTCCCTTTATATATTTAAATGTTTCTATCATATCCCCCCTGTCTCGTCTTTCCTCCAAGCTATACATGTTAAGATCCTTTAACCTTTCCTGGTAAGTTTTATCCCGCAATCCATGAACCAGTTTAGTAGCCCTTCTCTGAACCCTCTCTAAGGTATCAATATCCTTCTGAAGATACGGTCTCCAGTACTGTGTACAATACTCCAAGTGAGGTCTCACCAGTGTTCTGTACAATGGCATGAGCACTTCCCTCTTTCTACTGCTAATACCTCTCCCTATACAACCAAGCATTCTGCTAGCATTTCCTGCTGCTCTATTACATTGTCTGCCTACCTTTAAGTCATCAGAAATAATCACCCCTAAATCCCTTTCTTCATATGTTGAGGTTAGGACTCTAGCAAATATTCTGTACTCTGCCCTTGGGTTTTTACGTCCAAGATGCATTATCTTGCACTTACCCACATTCAATGTCAGTTGCCACAATTCTGACCATTTTTCTAGTTTACCTAAATCATTTGTCATTTGGCTTATCCCTCCTGGAATATAAACCCTGTTACATATCTTAGTATCAACAGGCAGATCAGGGGCAGAACCAGCAGCAGCATACTGGAGTAAAGGTAAGATTATACTATATTTAGGGAGGGCAAGGGGGCTAGATTGTGTTTTAATTACTATAGGGTCAGGAATACAAGTTTGTGTTCTTGGCTCTACAATGTTCCTTTAAAGGCATTCTCCAGGCACCATAATCTGAATTAGGTTATGGTGCCATGATGTCAAGTGCACTCTTACCAGAGGTTAAACTTTTCTCAAAGTTGCCACCAGCACCGATCTCAACTCCATCTTGCATCTGAAATTTCACTTCCAGGATGTGTGGATAGCTGCCTGGCAGGGGAACTGTTGACTGATTGGCTAAGAGCGGACAGGCAAACAAACAGTGACTCCCCATTCATAAAACAGTCTTGAAAAAGGTACGAAGAACGGGCCATGAAAATATATTTGAATACATTTTATATTTGAATACATTTCCAAATTTTGCGGAGCTGTATATCCTTACGTTCCTTTTGACACAGCCAAGTTTTTATCAAACAGTGACTGCAACATGTGTATTGAGTACTGTGCTTCCTTACATACATTGGATCTGAGAGAACTCCAAATTTTCTTGGTTAGGTAGAGCTACTTTTAATGCTAATGAGCCTCAACTAGTGCAAACTGCTTGAGTTTTATAAATAGTGAAATCTGCACTAAAAAAATTATTTCCTTTTTATAAAAAAATTATTGAGTTGTGCCTTATATATGTGTCTGTTTTTATTAAACTGAAATAAGCTCATTCTCAAGAAACAAAGCTTTTGAGCAAAGGGACCATGTGCTGACAACTTAAGTTCTCTAAAAATATTGTAAGCAGGCACCAACGCATCTAAGCAGAGGCTCAGACACCTTTGAGGTGCCACAGAGTGGTGAAAAATGGGCTACACAATGATATTTTAATTCAACATCTGAATGTCTACCCGCCAGCAACTCAAAGTAAGCCATCTTAACAGAAGGATCTATTTCATAAAAAGTAAACTGTGGGTGAGGGCAACCAAGCTGATATATCTAGGCCAACACAATCATGCCAGCAACAAACCTTAAACTCAAATATTTTTGTAATGTAACCATTTTTTTCAATTATTTCATTTTGCTGTGCTGTGCATTAACAAGAATACCCTATCAGACATTGTCTAGTAATAAAATAAAATTTAACTTCTAGCAAACAATGGATATATAGGAAACAACACCTTTTTTTATTTCTTAAACTAAATACAAGATTACCACTGTACTAGGCTTAAGAACAAGAAACAGATAGATGAGCAGGACATGTGCACTGAGAGGAAATTCTAAATATGTAATAGAAAGTAACTGAAAAGCATCTCGGATAGCTTTGTCAGAGAATAAAACCCTCAGGAGGGCCTCCTTGTAGGCAAGAAATGGATGAATTAGTGCAGTGATGGAAGAGCAAAGCAGCAGCTTATCACTGATCACAGCCAAAAGTCCACAGTGTTTTTTGTGGCTTGTTGCATCATGTGAGGTTTCTCACTCTCCACTCAGCTCTCCGGTGTGTTCTAAGATGCGTCTCTAACCATGCCACGGATCACAACCAGACCTCCACTGTGTAAAGGGACTTGAAAGGTTCATTCAACTATAGCAGTGCTGCAAGACATTGTCTGCAGGGATGGGAGGAGCACGCGGAGTCTGCCATCTTGAGTGAGGATAACTTGTTGCTATAGTGCCACGCGCCCTCCATTTGGTAAGGGAACCTCCAGGGAGTAGACCGGGATCACCAGAACAGGGCACTAAACAGTGTGGCGGATCAGGAGCGGAGAACGGCCGCTTCTCCACTCCTCCAGGCACACCATGCCGTCGAGCCAGCTCTCCGTCAGCGTGGACACCCGGAGAGCTGGCTCGACGGCATTAGGGTCATCTCCCCTTAATCCAGGAGCACCGTGGAGACAATTATAATCATCAATGGAAGGTATGAACAGCAGTATCCATGAATTTTATAAATTTTGGTGCTAGAGCTTACTCGGGATGAGTCTGTCCTGCATGGCCATCCCCTAAATTCAACCATTTTGACATGACATTTGGTGAAACTGCTTAGTGGACAGACCTCAACTATGTTCCACATGCAGCTTTAAGAGTCAACTGTAATGAGAGTCATGATACATTAACACTCTTTGGTACTGTTTATCCAGCCTTAAACATACTTTACATTTTATATACAAAAACTAGCAAGCTTTGAATGTGACAGGTTCAATAAATATTTGAGCTGACATTCTCATCAACTGAGTGAAAAGAAATCTTTTGACACTTGTTGAATAATTGGGACCTGCCTCTAATATTCATATATATGTAAGTGCAAGAGACAGACTTATCAGATCACTAGTTTGGATAAGCACGTGAGTTCAGATAAAAGGCATGTATTTTCACAACTGTAAAAATTTTTCTCTATACTCGAGTCATGCAAACCTATCTAATATTTCTGAATGGTCTATGAAAAAATTGAATAACTGATAAACTGTAAAAAAAAAATATTTTGGACATATAAAAAAGAAGACCACCAGCATATACATAGACATACACTGCCTAGCCCTAAAAAAAGTTGCCAAAAAAAAAAAAAAAGGCACACATTCTAATATTTACTTGGACCACCTTTAGCTTTGATTACAGTACGCATTCACTGTTGCATTGTTTAGATGAGCTTCTGCAATGTCACAAGATTTATTTCTGCCCAGTGTTGCATTAATTTTTCACCAAGATCTTGTATTGATGATGGGAGAGTCGGACCACTGTGCAAAGCCTTCTCCAGCACTCTGTGGTGGCCAATCCATGTGTGAAAATGATGTCTCATGCTCCCTGAACCACTCTTGCACAATTTGAGCCCGATGAATCCTGGCATTGTCATCTTGGAAAATGCTCTGATGGAATAACCTGGTCATTCAGTATATTCAGGTAGTCAGCTGACCTCAATCTTTGGGCACATAATGTTGCGGAACCTAGACCTGACCAACTGCAGCAACCACAGATCATAGCACTGCCCCCACAGGCTTGTACACTAGGCACGATGGGTGTATCACTTTATCTGCCACTCTTCTAACACTGATGCGCCCATCACTCTGGAACAGGGTAAATCTGGATTTATCAGACCACATGACCTTCTTCCATTGCTCCAGAGTCCAATCTTTATGCTCCCTGGCAAATTGAAGCATTTTTTCCTGATTTGCCTCAATGATTAGTGGTTTTCTTAAGGCTACACAGCTGTTCAGTCCCAATCCCTTGAATTTCCTTCACACTGTGCATGTGGAAAGGCTCTTACTTTCACTATTAAACAATGACTAACAGTCCTACTGCTATTTTTCAATGATTTGATTTCACCAAACGTTTAAGTGATCGCCGATCGAAATCAATCAGGATTTTTTTCCGATCACATTTCTTCCTAGAAGGCTATTAGTTCCCCACTCTCCTCCCAGTTTCTAATAATGCGTTGGACAGTTCATAACCCAATTTTAGTCGTTTCTGCAATCTGCTTAGAGGTTTTTTCTGCTTGATGCATGCTAATGATTTGACCCTTCTCAAAACAGACTAACATTTTTTCCACGACCACGGGATGTGTCCATCGACAGGGTTGTTTAAGAAATGAGAAGCTACTCATTGCATCAGGTGGGGTTAAATAACTTGTTGCCAGCTGAAAGATAAATCGCCCATGCAGTAACCATACAATAGGAGGCTCTTACCTATTTGCATAGTTAAATCCAGGTGGCAACTTTTTTTTTTTTTTCCAGGAGGGCCAAAACGTTTTTCCAAGGAGTGATATATATATATATATATATCTATATATATAGATATATATAGATATATATATATATATATAGAGATATATATATATACACACACACACACACACATTATTATTGACCAAAAAAAAACAAAAGAAATGCACCTTATACACACACTTATATACAAGGATACTTATCAGTGGTAAGTGAATGCAGCCTCCCTCAGATCGCTCCCAGCTAGCAATCAACTTGAACACAAGAATATACAAAACACAACGAGGGAACCGGCTGATTGTCTAAATAAAGATAAATAAAAAAAAGTATAGTGTAATACAGTTTTACAATATTAACACTGCGCAATATGAAATGCACTCACAGGATATTGGACAGCTCAGGCATATATGGTGCCACCCCTGATGATATGGGGGGCTGGGGGAATCCCCTGGACACTTCCACTCAAAATGCAGGACTCCGGGTGAAGGTATGAAAAAAGCGGCTTTAATTGTATAAAAATATAAAATAAATACAAATAGAGGTCCTGTTAATATTGTAAAACTGTATTACACTATACTTCTTTTTTATTTATCTTTATTTAGACAATCAGCCGGTTCCCTCGTTGTGTTTTGTATATTCTACACATTATTATTGGTATTTATATAGCGCCAACTAATTCTGCAGCGCTTTACAATAATATGGAAGGGGGAATTTACAATAAATGAGACAATTACACAGTGACACAGGAACAATAGGTAGACAAGGACCCTGCTCAAACAAGCTTACAGTCTAGATGAGGTGGGGTACAAATACACAACAGGGCAGCAATGGTGAGAGCCACCAAACAAGGTGAAAAAATAGCAGAGCTGGAGGTGAGAGTGGATACAGTACTCTGGTCCACCCAGCTGTATTGCTTTTGATGTATCAGTCCCTATATTTAGGGTCCAGATTTAGTTCCCTGGTGTCCTATTTCGAGACGAGACATTAGGGAGCTGTCCCTTGGACAGCACAGTACATCATTAGACATCCTTGCGCTGTGCACTAGGACTGTGCAGAGTGTTTCAGCAGCGTCTCTGCATGGTCTAGAACAGGGGTGCCAAAAGGTGGATCCCCAGAGGTTTTAAAACTACAGCTTCCATGATGTTTTGTCATTCTAAAGGTATGCTAAGCATCATGGGAGTTGTAGTTCTACAAAATCTGGGGCTCTACCTTTTGGACACAGCTGGTCTTCAAGATTGCAGGCTGGCGGGGAGCATGGTGTGCTTAAAGATGTATCCCCTATATTAATATATTATAGTGTGAGGCGACTATTATATTATCCACCTCAGCCCCCACCCACTAGTGGCAGGTGCGAGGAGGTTTAATATTATAATGGGAGGTGTGGGGGGTGGGAGGAACCAGTTGCCCCCCTCTGCCTTTGGTGGTGGGTGAGGGCTAATAATGATAATGGCGTCCACCATCATCCCCGCAACATTGTGACATTGTGTCCCGAGTGGTTAGGGGTCCAAAGCCTTGTCACCCAGTTTTAAAAATTGCCTATCTAATCTCCCTCACCCTAAGATGGTTAGGAGTCTGGTTTGGTCCAGATGTTCCCACATCAGACAAAGTTGGCTTAAAGATTTGACTATCTTACTTGGAAAGACTTCTTGATACTGATTCCAGTTTACTGGTATTCCTTTGCCAACAATTTGTTCCAGTTCTTGCATTCCCTGTGAATGGACAGAAACTGTAATGCTTGGATATTTCTAAACACATCTTGTCTGCACCAAAGCTTGCGGTAACTTAGGGTATGTTGGATCTGATCTTGATATTTGTTTTAAATATCTGCGTATTTCCATACTGCAGTTGGAAGCTAAACCCCCTGAGAGAGAGTAGATGTTGCCAGTAATGGTAAACCAAGCACTTTGCCACTATACTACACCACCTTTGCAACATGGCTTCAACATCTGCCTCTACTAGCCACTGCTAGGAGAAATTGCAAACTCATTCTAGAACGTCACCACTAGTCAATATTAAAATTATATTAAGCAAACAGAGGTGTGACGTTGATGTGGTTAGATTAAAGGCTGGGGCTTAGGTAACCCCTAATTACCACATGCAAAACTAAAGTATGTAGAGAACCCAGCAGTTGTTAACATGGGAACAGTCAATACACTATGGTTACAGGATAAGAACAGAAAAGAGGAGTCAATTAATTATACTTGTATGGGATGGGCTGTAAGGAAACCTGAAACTGCCTAGCAATGATTGTGCAGACATCAGGAGATATATTAGGCAATCATAACAATTTCATAAAACGAGCTTATGTAACACCTCAGAAAAACAAAATTAATGTTAGTTCACAACCACAGAAATTTCCTGGTCATCCTGGAAATGTAGCCATGGAGAAAAACTTATTTAGTCCAATGTTGAGCTGGGTATATGCAAATATTTACATCCAATCAGGCATTAGAGGGGCCTAATGTTATGTATGTCAAGAGCAACATCACAATACTTGATCAAATAGACAGGATCCATTGTCAGATTTGAATCAGTCTCCCTGTTTTCAAGATGTTATGTGGCAGTGCTTTTCCCACCACTTGCAATTTCCTCAGAGTCAGAGTTTCTAAAGGGTACCAATGCTGGAAGGCGGTCTCCCCATTCACTATTTCTAGCACAGCGATAAAGGTCCCTGAGAAGACAAAAAAAAAAAAAAATTCATGTTAGTTTTTATTATTTTTTTAAATTGAAAAATAAAGCTTTCTGTATCATACAGAAAGTACAATTCAAACTGTGCATTACTCAGCTGTGCATAAATGCCTATACCATAGTTTTTTCTTCCCTCTTTCCCTCCTCACCACACATCTGCAGAGCTTTTGGATATGGTATCAGGATCAGAGGGATACTGGGTGATGCAAAGTTATACTCAAATGGTTATGTATAGCTTAACTCCTTAAGACCGCAGCCATATGTACAAGTTGTGATCAAAACAAAACGTAAGCAAAGCCTGGCATTTGCGCTATATGTCTGTCCAACCGTAATTCACCTTTCATATTAAATGCACCCACACTTATTATATATCATTTTATTCAGGGGAAACAGGGCTTTTATTTAACATCACATATTTAGGTATGGAACATAAGTTAATATGAATAAAATGTAAAATGTAAAAAAATACGATTATTTTTACATTTTCTTAGTTCTACGTGACATTTTAACTGTGAATGTCAAAATACTGTTTTGCTTTTACTGCAATAAAATACATATTTGTATTTAGCGATGTCTCACGTGTAAACAGTACCTCCTATGTACAGGTTTTATGGTGTTTTGGGAAGTTACAGGGTCAAATATAGCGTGATACATTTTCCAGTTTTTTTCACATTGAAATTCGCCAGATTGGTTACGTTGCCTTTGAGATCATATGGTAGCCCAGGAATAAGAATTACCCCCATGATGGCATACTATTTGCAAAAGTAGACAGGTAGGTAGAAGGTACTGCAAATGGGGTATGTCCAGTCTTTTTTGTGAAAAAATTGAAACGCAAGCCTTATATTTGACTCTGTAACTTTTGAAAACACCATAATACCTGTACATGAGGGGTACTGTTATACTCGGGAGACTTCACTGAACACAAATATTTGAGTTTCAAAACAGTAAAACGTACCACAACAATTATATTGTCAGTGTAAGTGCCATTTGTGTGTGAAAAATGCAAAAAATGTCACTTTCACTAACAATATTATCATTGTAATACATTTTACTGTTTTGAAACACTAATATTTGTGTTCAGCGAAGTCTTCCGAGTAAAACAGTACACCCTATATACAGGTTTTATGGTGTCTTGGAAAGTTACAGGGTTAAATATAGTGCTAGCAAATTAAATTCCCTGAACTTTCGGCCTGGGTTGTCAGGCAGGTCCTGCAAATTGTAATTAATAAAATGACCTAATTATGTAAAATTATTACAGAAATATATATATATATATATATATATATATATATATATATGACATAAATAGTTACATAGCTGAAAAGAGACTTGCGTCCATCAAGTTCAGCCTTCCTCACAAATGTTGTTGCTGTTGATCCAAAAGAAGGAAAAAAACCTGGTCTGAAGCACTTCCAATTTTGCCACAAACTAGGAAAAAAATTCCTTCTTGACCCCAAAATAGCAGTCAGATGTCTCCTTGGATCAAGCAGCTGTTACCCCACTAACTAGAAATTATATCCCTGTATGTTATGTTTTTGTAAGTATTTATCCAATTTCAGTTTAAACATCTGTATGGACTCTGACAAAACCACCTCTTCAGGCAGAGAATTCCATATCATTATTGTTCTTACTGTAAAAAAACCTTTTCTTTGCCTTAGATGAAATCTCCTTTCTTCCAGCCTAAATGTGTGACCTCGTGTCCTATGTATAATCCTGTTTATGAATAGATTTCCAGATAAAGGTTTGTACTGGCCCCGAATATATTTGTATAAAGTTATCATATCCCCTCTCAAGCGCCGTTTTTCCAAACTAAACAGATTTAATTTTTTTAACCTTTCTTCATAACTAAAATGCTCCATTCCTTTTATCAATTTTGTAGCTCGTCTCTGGACCCTCTCCAGAGCCATGATATCCTTCTTTAGAACAGGCGCCCAAAATTGCACAGCATATTCAAGGTGTGGTCTTACCAGCGATTTATAAAGAGGCAAAATTATATTTTCATCCCGAGAATTTATGCCCCTATTTATACATGACAAAATCTTACTGGCCTTAGCAACTGCAGATTGACATTGCATATTGCTGCCTAATTTGTTGTCTATAACAATTCCCAAATCCTTCTCGTGTGTGGTTATCCCTAATTCACTACCATTTAGTGTGTAAGTTGCTTGTGCATTCTTAACCCCGAAGTGCATAACTTTGCATTTCTCTATATTAAATTTCATCTGCCATTTTAGTGCCCAGTCCCCCAATCTATCCAAATCTCTCTGCAGCAAAGCAATATCCTGCTCACATTTTATTACTTTACAAAGTTTTGTGTCATCTGCAAACACTGATACATGGCTTTCAATGCCTATTTCAAGATCATTTATAAATATGTTAAATAGAAGTGGTCCCAAAACAGAACCCTGAGGGACACCACTTACCACTTTTGTCCAGCCTGAAAATTTACCATTAATTACAACTCGTTGTACTCTGTCCTTAAGCCAATGTTCTACCCAAGAACAGGAATATTTATGTAGACCAATTTCTTTTAGTTTGAAGACTAACCTATTGTGAGGAACCATATCAAATGCCTTGGCAAAGTCCAAGTAGATCACATCCACGGCAACACCCTGATCTATACTTCTACTTACTTCTTCGTAGAATGCAATTAGGTTAGTTTGACATGACCTATGTTTCATAAAACCATGCTGATTATTGCTAATAACAAAGTTCTTCCCAATGAATTCCTGAATATTATCCCTTAATAGCCCTTCAAATATTTTCCCAGTTACAGAAGTTAAGCTCACAGGTCTATAATTTCCAGGCAAGGATTTTGAACCCTTTTTAAATATAGGAACAACATCTGCCTTCCTCCAATCCTCCGGTACAACACCTGAAACAAAAGAATCTTGAAAAATTAAATACAGAGGTTCACTTATTTCCCCACTTAGCTCCTTAAGTACTCGTGGGTGAATACCGTCAGGCCCCGGAGCTTTATTTACATTAATTTTCTTTAATAGCTGTAGCACCTTGTCTCGAGTTATCCAATCACAAGTTATTTGCAAGTTTTTTGCAGCAAACATTTGCATATCTCTTGCCATAGGATCCTCATTAATATATACTGAAGAAAAATAGTTATTTAAAATTCTGCTTTTTCCTGGTCTTCATTAGCTAATAAACCCAACTCTGTTTCAAGTGTACCTACACTTTCATTTTTTGTTTTTTTAGAATTGATGTACTTGAAAAAATTTTTGGGGTTGGTTTTGCATTCTTTAGCTATCAATTTCTCATTTTCTAGTTTAGCCACTTTAATTGCCTTTTTGCAAGTGTTATTGGCTTCCTTATATCTTAAATAGGATGCCTTTGATTTGTCTGATTTAAATGCCCTTTTCTTATTTTTAATCTCTTGTTTTACTTCTCTACTAAGCCACATTGGTTTTAATTTGTTTCTTTTATATTTATTACCCAATGGTACATACTGAGAGATGTACCTTTCTAATATATCTTTGAATAGTTTCCATTTATCCTCAGTGTTTTTATCACTAAGGAGTTTATGCCAGTCGATATGTTGTAAAGCTGCCCTAATCTTATTGAAATTGGCTTTTTTTAAATTATATGTTTTAGTATACCCCACCTGCTTTTGCTTTTTTGAGTTTATTTAAAAAATTTACCATATTGTGATCACTATTCCCCAAATGCTCCCCTACTTGAATGTTGGTTAAAAGATCAACATTGTTTGTTATGACAAGATCCAGACAAGCATCCTTTCTAGTTGGTGCTTGTACCAGTTGTGACATAAAGGTGTCATTTAACACATTCAAAAACCTGATTCCCCTTGCTGAAGTACTAGTCCCTCTTTCCCAATTTATGTCTGGATAATTAAAATCTCCAATAATTAACGTGTTACCTCGATTTGCAGCTTTCTCAATTTTCTCTAACAGCTGTTCTTCCTCATTAATATTTACATTAGGTGGTTTATAACATATCCCAACCAATAATTGATTTCCCTTTGTTTGCCCCAAGCAGATATCTACCCATAAAGCCTCCACCTTTTCCTCGTCACACTCCACATGCCTAAGATTTGACTTTAACTCATGGTTGACATATAAACATACCCCACCACCCTTCTTGTTTTTCCTATCCTTTCTAAATAACGTGTACCCATTTAAATTAACTGCCCAGTCATGTGTCTCATCCCACCATGTTTCTGTTATGCCTATTATATCATATTGTCATATTGTTTATATTAATGCACTCCACCTTCCTTGATGTACTTGCCCGGTGCTCATCAGCAAACAGATACAGCCAAAAGTACAAGATAGCACTCCAGGGACTTCCAAGTCGAATGAATAAAACTTAGCTTTTGTTAGCTCAAAATAAAAAAATTAAAAAAAAAAAATCAATGTTTCAGTCAGCTTGCAAATCAAATCCAAGATGGATGGAGATAATATATATATATATATATATATATATATACATACATACACACACACACACACACACACACACACACACACACACACACATATGGATTATTTCGTTCTACATTTTTTTTTTTAATTTTAAAATACAGAAACTTCACATGTATAAATTTAATTATTTTTTTAAAAATGTTAACGTATTTACATTTTTTTAGATTATAAATATATATATAATGAAAATTATATATATTTAATCAATATCATTGTACGTGTATTTTGATATTAATATATAATTATGTATATATTAATATTAAAATACACTTAGACAGTGTATTTATGTACATGTATACTTAGATCACATTATATATATATATATATTTTATTTAATTTTACACTGTTTTAAACTTTATTTAATTTTATTTCCAGTCAGCAGGGGGAGTACCTGTCATTACAGGCACTCCCCCTGCTGGCAATGCCTTGCAAGGACTTCGCGATCACATGGCCCAGGGGGGCCAAAGAGGACAGAGGGGGACTCCCTGGGCTCCCAGGTGAGTCCCCATACCATGATCGCCGGCGACCGGTTAAGTACATAAGATAACAGGGCGTTCTATGCCGCCCTGCGGCGTTTAGAGCCACCAAAATAGGGACGGCATAGAACACCCTGCAGTCTTAAGGGGTTAAACATAAAAGAGTCAAATCATATTCAATAAAATAAAATGGAAACAGGAATAAATGCATGCTTATGCATTTACAAACTTGTAGGTACCCAGACCTTTTCAGCTCATTGAAGTGGTCTGGGTACAGTGCCCCTATTTCCCTAAGTCCTGCAATGTAAATCATTGCAGTTTTAGAGAAACTGCAATGTTTACATTGCAGTATTAAGACAGTCTCCAGTGGCAGTCTTCCAGGAGTTTACTGGACATTTCATGCAGCTGGGAGCCTGGTGCCACTTCGATTGATTGGCCCCAGTGGGCCTGAAGGGTCCTGGAAAAACATCCTCAATGAGGACACCCCATATGTTACTTCTTTGTTCATCCTTTAAAGCTATTAATTTCCCAAATATTTATGTATACAGTGCCCTTTATATTGCATTTTATTTTTATAAGGTTTGAATTGTTATTATAAAAGCAAAAATAATAAATATAGCAACAGAATGTACAAAGAATGTCTACATTTGAGCAGACAGTAAATACAGATAAATCATATATTTCTTTAAATAAAGGTATTTAAAACTGCTTTAGCAATCTTTAGACTGCTAATGTAATGCAAAGGGGGAAATTGTCCATTCATGACTCCCTTGACTGTAGGAATAATATGACCATTGAAACTTTCTTTACCGTTTACAGGCATTATATTAGTGACAAGCAGCTTCTAGCAGATAAATGTGTTCCTTTACAGGCTGCTATTCATAACAAGAGTATAAATGAGGGTAAGGAAGTCTTTATGGATTAGCTTTCATGCAGCATAATATATGAAAATAAAATGGTTTATACTCTCTATGGATGTTGATGGGGTTAAAAACAAATCTAAGCCAATGATCTAAATATGCTGCAACTACAATGGACGCATAATAATACTAGTGACAGCTCTCTACTACAACTCAAAAATGTATTTGAAAAAAAGTTTTATAGAAACTTAATTGTTAAAGGTTAAAGTTTTAATTGATCCCAGGAATGCTACCCTTTATTTATTTATAGATTTTGCAATTTTGTACATATTCATGTAGGGTTAAGTACTGGGCTTATTTAACCATATGTTTAGTCCTCGAGTGAAAAAAATACACTTTATTATATATATTTGGTTTGACAATTATTTGTATTGTCCCTTACATGTGTTATGCATATTACCAAAGTTAATTATTAGTGTAATAACAATGCATAAAATGATACAATGTAGTTCTTTTGTGACTTTCACATCATATAATAAGAATATCAACACAAGAGTAAGGGTAATTGCAGGATGATCTAAAAAAAAAAATTATATATATATATATATATATATATATATATATATATATATTTTAGTATGTTGGCAGCAAGTAGAGTTTGTATTTTACAAGTAACCGTTCTATACAATGCTTGAAATATACCTTCCATGCCGTCGAGCAGTGATGACATCATGGTAAATTTGACCATCAGCACAGCACATATGACAATGCACGTGGCGTGGCCTGCGCAGTACAGGGCTAATCACACGCGGCCAGTGAGCATCAGCTTCTCCAACAAAATTACGGGACAATATAAGGAATGAAAACTTTTCGCATTGTTGTTGAGAATTCTGTCATAAAGAGGAGGAAGAAAGGAATGAAAGATTTGGGGCATCTGGACATGCAATATTACAGATAAATTGTTAGGTTTAGATTTTTTGTACATTTTACTACTGAGCTAGCCAGCTCGACTGAAATAAACTTACCAAGCTGAGATGCAGTGGTTGGTAAAGCTGTGTAAAGTTACATGGCACTTGAAGTTTTTGAGCAAGTTTGGGGCATGCCAGTTCATGCGGGCACTACAAAACAGTAACTTAAAATAAGGATTATTGACAATTTAAAAATTGTGTGTCAACTTAAAGCTAAAAAATAAAATGAACATTTTCTATACTTGTAACAAAAACAAATAACTACAGAAAATATTCTCTTAAAAAGGGGAATGTACAAGACTAATTATGATTATGCTTACTAGGCCAATGCTTATAAAAAAAAATAAAAAAATAAAATAAAAATTTAAAAGATTAAAACTTTGTTGATTAAAGCGGCACTGTCATGCCGAACTTACCTTTCCCCAATCGATTCCTCTTCTCTCCCTCTCTCAGAATCTGTTAATTTCTTCCTGTCTGCTCTAGTTTTCTTTAAAAATTAAGAAAAAGTAGGGACTATTTCTTTTATGGAGGTTTCCTACACAGTGACCAGCGGAGGAGCAAAGTGTGCTTCGTTTGCGGTGATCACAGCAATTTTCCCACAATCATTACCTTTCCTCCCTGTTCCCGCAATGCTTCCTGTCACTTAGACAGGACGCCGGCAAAACTGCCGAATTGCGTTCTAACAGTTTCTCCATTCATGTTAGAACACAATTTGGGACTTTGTTCGTATCGGAATTTCATTCGAATAAATGAAACTCCGATCCTATTCATTGCCGCAGCTGCATCTTGCAGCCGCTTAGTAGATTGCTCCCTAATCCCATGGGAATTAGGGAGTTTTCGACCAAAAGGCTGAAAGACCTAAATTGGCAAATGGGGGGGCTAGATGCCCCTCAATTAGATGTAGTGGAGTCGGGAGGGGGGTAAAAAAAAAAAAAAAAAAAAACTACACGGGATTCGGCCATGACAGTGCCGCTTTAACAGAAATGGTGCATTATGTGACTGGAAAATTGACCCGTTCGGTGTAATTGTTTATTCACGCACCTGACAATATGCCTACAAACTCCCTGGTCTTTGTGCATGTGTATGTAGAATAACTGATGCAATTTTGAAAGCAACGGGTGGTCAAACCAAATATTGATTTGATTCAGTTTCAGACACTCATTTTGTTAAGTGTTAAAAATAACCTATTAGTGTTTATAGTTTTCAAAGAATTCTTACATTACAGCATTTTTAAACACCTTTCTGAGGGACCTTATGTTCAATATTCTTGAGTTTTTCCCATATATTTCAACATTATTAAATGAACACTAACCTGTATTCCTGACCTATAATGTTAACACCATCTAGCCCCCCCATTTGCCCCCAAATATAGTAAAATTTTACTTTTATTCCAGTCTGCTGCTGGCTCTGCCCCTCATCTTCCTGCTTGGCTGACATTATCAGAAGTGGTGATCTCAGCCAATCACAATGCTTTTCCATAGGAAATAATTTGATTGGCTGAGCTTGTCAAGGAGGCCAATAAGCATCTCCTCATTTTCTTTTAGCTAGGTTGACATATTCAACTACGTTAACCCTCCAAAAGTTATATTTAGGTGCATGCGCAAAATGAACTCCAAAGAATTTAAAGTAAATTTCAGAAGTAATGCCAAAATAGCGGAGATGGAAAAAAACAAAAACAAACATCCCATAGAGTGGGTGCATCGGTTGAAAACAGAACAAGGAAATGTCATAAGGTAAAAATTAAGTAGTAAAAAAATACATTTCTGAAATCAATGCTGTAAACTTCTCTTTTAGCTAAAGTGAATGGACAGAGAGTTTAAAGTTACTGATAAGGAAACATTCAGATTAAAATAACCTGATGGCAACCCTCGGCAATGCTGTAATATTTAGACTTATTATAAGTACATATTTGAACGTCTCTAAATGTGCTATTTTATTTAAGCTGAATAATTGACTCCTTAAGTAAAGAGACTGGCCAAACATAATGCCAATCAAACATACAATGCTCACGCATATGCACACACAAAGACAGACAAATAATCCTCACCGGAGCAAACATATGTGGTGGACGATGGTCCCAGATCTGTTTGTCTTGTACCTGCACAGACCAAAAAAAAAAAAATTCACAAAAGCAAATCACGTGGTAAATTCAGCAAATCTAAAAGATACACTTATTGCAAATTCAACGGTCACGGTGCACCCAGAGCCCTGCAGACAGCAAGGCATGGCCTCCTCTTTAAGAGACCTGGCTGGGTTTGAACTAACAGTTTCAGCATCCCAGTTGGGTTCTCTACCATGTGATCCACCAGGGGGCTTCAGAATCATGCCTGAGACCTAGTATCTGGTATCATTTTGTTTGTTTGGTGTTTTGTGTTGTTTGGAGTACAAGAAAACATGACAATGCAATACAGTTGTCACATATAAAGGTAATCACATTAAGTATTTGCATTTAAAGCTTAACTGACATAAGTTAGGTACGGTACAGGATAGAGAGTCGATAGTTAGATGACCTAACTTACTGGTCGTGTTATTAAGCTCCATAACCTTAGAGCCTGGGGGAGAATGGTGGATAAGTTGATGTAATAGCCACACATATTAAGGCTAATAAGCTCAGGGTAGTTGGGTGAGGTGACCACTGAAGGGCATTTAAGTAACTAAGCAGCGGAGCAATTAAAATAAAAAGATAAAAATTACTTCAACTAAGAACGAATAAAACAATGATGTAAATAACACAGGTAAATGGGTACATGTATGTCCCTGTTGTTGCCTCATCTCAGAGCCGTGCAACCAGCAGGTGTAAAGATTGCCACATTATTCACGTCCCAGCTAGGAGCAGATTTGCTGCTCTTTGAGACAGGGGCAATTGTAAGTCCTAAAGACTTTAGGAAAGAGTCCGCCTGTGACACATAATTTATCTTGAAGCGTTGCCCATCCTTTTCCCACCGTGAGCACCCTTGGTGAGCCCCATATATATGGGATCCCTGCTTTTCACAATTGGGCTTTCACCTCTTTAATGGATGCCCGCCATTCCAGCATCGATCTACTGAGGTCTTGGAAAAACCTAAGTTCATATTGTTCGAACAAAAATGGTGATTGGCCTTTTGTTGTGGCCAGGAAAGCCTTTTTGCCAGACCGTGACCTGAAACTCATTATAACATCTCTGGGAACCGAGGTTTTGTTGTTGGAGTTCCCTGGCAAGTGGTAAATTACCTCCAGCAGTACGTTCTTGGTCTGCTTGGATGGTAGTGTGGCGGACAGTAGCCACCTGATATACTGTGGCAGCTCACCTGCGTCGATTATGTCAGGGATTCCCCTGATTTTCAGATTGCATTGTTGTGTAAAGTCTTCAAGCTGTACCACCTTAACACTGAGCACGGTTTATGCGTTAGAGACCTCTTGGAGCTGGTGTGCAGTGGTGTTTTGCTGGGCGCCTAGGCTCTGGATACTGTCCTCAGTGGCATTGAGTCTGACAAACAGCGTGTTCAGGTCTGCTTTTAGCACAACCATTTCAGAGGAGAAGAAGGTTTTGAGGTAGGTGGTCACCGTGATGATTTCAGATTAAGTAGCCCACTGAGGTTCAGGTTGCCGTTTAAACAGAGCTTTACTGCCTCGAGGCTGTAGCCGGTGCTCTGCTTTTTCCCCTGCTTCATCCTCTGAGACTGGTGTGGAGCCATGAGGTGAGTTCAGCATCAGGTCGGCCATTTTGGGCCTACCTGATTGTGAAAGTAGAAGCCCGATATCTCGGGTATGCTCTCTCCCCATTATTTTAAAAGAGAAAATACACTAGGCCCAACACACCCAAGAAAAAGAGCTTGACACTGTCGGAGGTGTAGTTACACCTGCCACAGCAGAGTAGCTAACATAAGTATGTACAGTGTTACATAACATCCTGCTGCACATACAGACCTTTTTAAATCACAGAAGTGGTCATTGTGCTTGGAGTAATCCTTTGTTGTAATGAAAGTGTAAAAAATATTAAAAAATATAAAATCCACCCTGGAATGAGCCTTAATGCTGACTCTTGTAATCGCCTAATAAATTTCAAATATTAAAAGTAGGAAAGTTAACTACTTATGACTTACATGTAACACTGTTTCCCGAGCCTCCATGAGAAGCTGATGTCCTTCCTTTGTACCATTTTCCACCAACACCTCAGAAAAGATAATGAACAGATAGAAAACACTTTGGGTTAGAAAACAACATTTGTAATGGAGTCGAATATAAAGTAATAACATGTTTTTCTTATAATAGAATATGTTAGTTATGGGTCAACTATAAGAGAATCAAATAATTTAGATTAAATTTACCAGGAAAGCCCCTGTTTTCCTCCATAAGGTTTGAATGGTTTTCTGCCGCTCAGCCATACTGGAAAGTTCATTCAAAGAAAATGCAGAGACTACAAGATCATACTGCACCTTGAAAAATAAAAATAATGAGTTATATATATATCTCAAGAATTATAGAGCCACATAATATGCATAACGAGCTTCTAATCGTTATGACCATTTTAGAAGGAATGCGATCTCCCTTTCCTCTACTCCCTTCACTTTGGGTGTTCAGATGTACGCAACACTGACATACAATTTCAAGGTTTTATTTGAAACAGGTTTTTATTCATATAACAATGTCTTCTCTAATGAATTATGCTTTTTTACTACCACAGAAATCTTTCAGACAAATACCCAATGAGCACCCAATAAGATATAAGATGTGCGAAATTTAAATCCATTTTCTCCAAATTACATGATATATATACACAATGATATAAAAAAGGGACGCATTTACATGTGAAAAGTGGTAAACAGAAGAATACACAAGAAAATTAATTGCAAAATGAGGAGTGACATTTAGAGTCAATGAGGGTAACTTTCAGAAAATGGCTTACCTTTGGAGACAAAGGCAGAAACTGGCGGAAATAAACTTCAGAGACATGCATATCTCCAGTCTCTGTTCCTCCTGCACATAGACATTCCAAGAAATAAAAGAATTACACACCCAATGCATTGGAACATAGAGAAACAGAAAAAAAAATCAACACACCCTGACTCTTTTTATAATCCAATGTCAAGTTATCGACAGAGCCATAGTATTAGGTTAAAAGTCTATGATATGGAAATTGAGACAAAAAGTAAGAAGTAAGGACTCATGAAAAACTTATTAAAGTCAGAATGGTGAAAGCTTTTACCTTTCATTACCAACTCACTGAGCTTGTTCATTGATGCAGAGCTGTCTACACACATGTATTCACCAATACGGTCTCCCCATATGGCATGGGCTGCCCTGAAAATAAGGTGCAAAAAGAAATGTTAATCACAATATTAAAAAGGTACACCCAAGTTAGCTTAAAGAGTATTAAATTGTACCTAAACAATCAGCTCAATTTACTAGAGACAAATCTATATGTATGTATAAATAAAAAGTTTGGTCCATGGGTCCCTAAGAAAAAGATACACAGAACTTAAAATAAAAAAAGAACCAAATTGCAACCCAACCAACCCCTCCCCGCCCCCCACAAAAGGTATAATTACCATCAAGTGCTCTGCACAGACTGAGCATTCAAAGCAGGAGAGCTTTAACAAAGGTCAACCAACCAGAATACTCTGAGAGGCAGGTTTTGCATCTCACAAGACTTGATCAGTAATGTGTCTAGATTTCTTTTTATTTTCAAAAAGTTTTATCGTATTATCAGGTTTTTTATGTGGCCTTTAATTGGGGACAAAAAGATTTACACCACATCCACTATGTTAGCAGCATAACCTAAGCCAATGCACCTTAAGTTTCCATGTTACTGAAAACAATTTACTATAAAAAACAAAAACAACCTATGAATTACGGTCTGTTATGCTTTGCTATTGCCATCACTAAGCATTTTGTGCATGAAACAGTTTTCATGTAAAGTTTATTTTCTGCATAAAAACTTGAAGAATTCCTTTAACATCAATGTTAGAGACACAATCTACCTTGTTTGATATTTAAATGTAAAATAACCACTATCCATCTGACAGCATTTAAATGACAAATACTGCTTTACAATAATTTTCACGTGGTTTTTGGCAGAATGTAAAAACTATAGTTGTGTTGAAAAAAAAAAAAAAAAAGAGAAAGAAAAATTAAATTATGGCAACACTTTATTTTTTGCCAACAATCTTTGCACTGGCCATGTCTCCATGTCAGATAGATTGTATTCTAACAAATTCCTTTATTGTAAGCCCCTCTATAGTATCTATATAACTAGTGCACATCCTATACTTTTTCTGTATATACATTAGGATTAAACCCTGCCAACTGTACATTGTATAGAGCCAGTCACATCTGAATGAAAAACTATGGTCTCTACTTACCATGTTACTGATCCCACACCAGAACCAAAATCCAGAAGCGTCTGTGGATTGAAATCAGGAACACGCTGACGAATCTTGGGAATAAGAAGATTTAATACAGTCAAAATCCAGGATAAATCTCCTAGCGAATAAACTATATTGATAAATGTAATGTAGAGAGACTATATGAAACTCTACTCAATCATCTTGTCAGCTAGAGCTCAAATTATGTTCACGGACCATATCTCGCACATGTGACAGAGTATAAAATAATGACAGTCCCATGTATGCTGTAAGTTTCCTGACCTAAGAAATGAACAATAGGTATGTTCTATATATTATTTAATTGTTCTTAATGATTTCTTTTATAAACAATTAATAAATGTTTAATCAAAGCTACTTATTTCATGTAGTTTAAAAAAACTGGGTAGTTTGAGAAAATCATTAAATCATTTGTTCAATATGTAGATAGCCTCACCTCTTGTAGAGCTCTTGTTACAGCAGCAAATCCTCCATCAAAGCGGGCAGCTAAGTACACCAGACAAAGTTCATCAGTGTAACTGTGACAAACACAAAATGAAAATGAATATATGTGTGATATGAGAATTTCCTATCTTTTAGATTTAATGTACACACAATCAAACCTGAAAATGAATTAAAATAAGAACTTTACTAAAAGAGAACAGTGAAGCAACAATAAATATAACAGGACATGTAGTTGCATGCCCAGTACTTTACTCTCCATGGGAACAGTAACATTGTGCTCCCAGTGACCCCATTTAACAATGGTGGCCTAGAGTGCACTGCTGTGGATCACAGCTATCTAGATGCCTCCAGTTCTCTCTCTGCACACAATTTATTAGACACATGGCATAAGGACATGACATGGGTAGTTCCATACCTTAGAGGCTGCCAGTGGTAAGTATTCTTCCGTAGCGTTTTCAGTACAATATTCCGTACCTTCTCCTCCTGAATAGAGACATCCTCCTCTGTTAAAGACATTCAAATGGTAAATACTATGATACCTGCCTCCTATGTAAATATACTGGTGAAATGCTTCAAGGGATCAATCATTTTATGGTACTTTCTCCTGCAAGTGTATTAGTTTCTTGAGTTGATCTTGATCACCAAGTAGAACCAGACAAGTAATTATTATTTACTGTCATTTTGCTGCAAACTCAGAAAAGGTTGGTGACTAGCGTTAGTAAATTGAAGAACGCTGCAAGGTTGACAATGTAGTAGAAGCAAAAATGATAGTATTACATCTTCACTCATGATTGTTATTTACTTGAATAGGCACAAACAAGACTGGTTTATTAACTAAATATCTGGTATTATTTAACTTCTATTTAGAAAGTGAATACTCCAGCATATCATTCAAATATGTATAAAACCGTATAAATTGTACATCTCTGGTTTATTTCTCCATATAATAGATCTTAAAGGGACACTAGTAACTAAAATAACTAACAATTTTTTATTTTTTTTTGGTATAGGTCATGCCTCTGAAAATCTCACTGCTCAATTATCTGACATTTAGGAGACAAATCACTTGTTTCTGGCCATGCAGCCCTAGCCACAGAATTTGCAAAGATTAGATGACTCTTTACAGGAAGTGTTTAGGAAGGCTGTGTAAGTCACATGCAGGAAGTTGTCACCAGCGAGCATAAACAATGTTATTTAACTCATAGATGGCAAAGAATTGAGTAGTGAGACTGCAAAGCATGATCTATACCAAAACTGCTTCATTGTTTAAGTGTAGTGATGTCCCGAACGGTTCGCTGAACGGTTCGCCACGGACGGCGAACATATGCGGTAAACTTCGACCCTGTACCTCACAGTCAGCAGACACATTCCAGCCAATCAGCAGCAGACCCTCCCTCCCAGACCCTCCCACCTCCTGGACAGCATCCATTTTACATTCATTGTGAAGCTGCATTCTTAGTGAGCTGTCCAGGAGGTGGGAGGGTCCTGGAGGGAGGGTCTGCTGCTGATTGGCTGGAATGTGTCTGCTGACTGTGAGGTACAGGGTCAAAGTTTACCGCATATGTTCGCCGTCCGCGGCGAACCGTTCGGGACATCACTATTTAGGTGATGTTAGTGTCACTTTAAGTGAATACAGTCACCTATTGTATTAAAAGAATTTGCTATGTAATGAAATGACCAGAACATTTTGCGCTGTTTGCAGGGCCGGATTAACATAGGGGCTGATGGAGCTGCAGCTCCAGGCCCAGGCCCAGGCCCATGGAATAGGCCCATTGATTTATTTAAAAAAAAAAAAACACACTACTCTTAGGGATTCCACCTGGCTTTTATTTTATTGGCATAGGCAGTATTTGAGGCTGCCTGGCTGGTGCCAATATTACAGTGATACTGGCAATACAAATGCTGGTATTTTTCTCAGTATAAACAAGAGATTACTCTGCAATACCAGCACTGGCCAGTAGGGGTCACTGTGTGTGGAGACAGGCAGGGATAGGAAGTTCCTGCCTATCTATACTCCCTGATCTGCAGGGGTGCAGCTACAGAGAGTCCAGACAGCAACTCCCACCCTGCAGAGACAGCCTACAGCTCAGGGAAGTTAGGGATGGGGGGAAAGGCTGCAAGGAGACATGGGGACACTGAGACACTAAGGGACACTGGGAGACATTATGGCAGACACTGAGACACTAAGGGATACTGGGAGACATTATGGCATATACTGAGACACTAAGGGACATTGGGAGACATTATGGCAGACACTGAGACACTAAGGGACATTGGGAGACATTATGGCAGACACTGAGACACTAAGGGACATTGGGAGACATTATGGCAGACACTGAGACACTAAGGGACACTGGGAGACATTATGGCAGACACTGAGACACTAAGGGACATTGGGAGACATTATGGCAGACACTGGGACATGGGAGACATTATGGCAGACACTGAGACACTAAGGGACATTGGGAGACATGGCAGACACTGAGACACTAAGGGACACTGGGAGACATTATGGCAGACATTGAGACACTGGGAGACACTGAGACACTAAGGGACATTGGGAGACATTATGGCAGACACTGAGACACTAAGGGACATTATGGCAGACACTGAGACACTAAGGGACACTGTGAGACATTATGGCAGACACTGAGACACTAAGGGACATTGGGAGACATTATGGCAGACACTGAGACACTAAGGGGCACTGGGAGACATTATGGCAGACACTGAGACACTAAGGGACACTGGGAGACATGGCAGACACTGAGACACTAAGGGACATTGGGAGACATTATGGCAGACACTGAGACACTAAGGGACATTGGGAGACATTATGGCAGACACTGAGACACTAAAGGACACTGGGAGACATTATGGCAGACACTGAGACACTAAGAGACATTGGGAGACATTATGAGACAAACACATGAGGACACAGTGTCCCCATGTCTCCCAGTGTCCCCATGTCTCCCAGCCAGTGTCCCTGGTGTCTCACTGTTCCCATGCCTCCTAGTGCCTCCATGTCTCCCAGTGCCTCAATGTCCCCATGTCTCCAAGCTAGTGTCCCTAGTGTCTGTGGCCCTGGTGTCTCCTTGTCCCCATGTCTCCCAGTGCCCCCATGTCTTCAAGTGTCCCCTATTTTCCCAGTGTCCCCATGCGTCCCATCCAGAGTCCCATAGTCTCCCAGTGTCATTGGTGTCTCCGTGTCCCCAGATCTTCCCGTCTTCCTAGTGACATGGGGACCCTGGGATACATGGGGACACAGGGAGACATGGGGCACTGAGACACTGTGATACATAGGATCACTGGGAGACCCGAGGACACGACACTAGGGGACACTGGGAGACATGGGGCACTGAGACACTGATACATAGGAACACTGAGACCTGGAGTAATCGACACATGGGGGCACTGGGAGACATGGGGCCACTGGGAGGAATCCATCTATACAGCAGAATCAAACTAAGTAGGTTTTTGGTGATTTTACAGCATTTTCTCTTATGTCACTCCTTGTGATTTACATCATGTGATGTCACCCATACATATTTAATTATGCAAATTAGCAAGGCCGGTATGTTTTTCCAAGAAAGGTGGCAACTCTAACTACTTTTCACATACTCTTACTTAAGTATGGAAACTTAAGTGGGATGTATGGGAACAAAACTTGTGTGGACTGGCTGACAATGAATATAGTTAAAGGGACACTATAGTCACCAGAACAACTACAGCTTATTGAATTTGTTCTGGTGAGTAGAATCATTACCTTCAGGCTTTTTGCTGTAAACACTGTCTTTTCAGAGAAAATGCAGTGTTTACATTACAGCCTAGTGATAACTTCACTGACCACTCCTCAGGTGGCTGTTAGAGATCCTTCCTGGGTCATGCCTGCCTAAAATGCATCCAAACATTCAGTGTCTCCTCCCTCTGCATGCAGACACTGAACTTTTCTCATAGAGATTCATTGATTCAATTCATCTCTATGAGGAGATGCTGATTGGCCAGGGCTGTGTTTGAATCATGCTGGCTCTGCCCCTGATCTGCCTCCTTGTCAGTCTCAGCCAATCCTATGGGGAAGCACTGTGATTGGATTAGGCCACCACTTCTAATGATGTGAGCAGACTGCTTGTTTTTCTGAGTCTAACAGCATGCAGAGTTACAGCTTCAGGCTTGAATACAGTAAGATTTTGCTATATTTAAGGAGGCATGAGGGGCCCAGGGGGGCTAGATGGTGGTGTTAACACTATAGGGTCATGAATTCATGTTTGTGTTCCTGACCCTATAGTGATCCTTTAAGGTAATGCTGACTTTGGACTCTCTAGCACTGTGGCATGTTCCCTTTCTTCTACACTCACTACATACAGCTTTTCTCTGTCCCAGACTATATACCAGGAGCTTCTGCCTGCTAGTAAGAAGGTAAGGAGACAAGTGGACCAGCGAGTGCTAGGGGACAGTCCTTAGAAAGCGTTGAGCGAGCGCATCATTAGATGCATTTATGCCAAGCTCAGGGTGCTGTCTGCATAGTATGCCCTTAGTTGGCCAGCTGCATGATTGGCAGGCAGTCTGACATGCATTCATACCAGGCTGGCCTTCTAATTCTTTGGGCAGACATATCCTCTTTTTGGGCATGTTCGCCCCTTTTGGCAGGTTACGTGATTTGTGTCAGTGGCACACCCTTTTACAGTGCCCATTGACTTCCTGCTTACTGGACACTGCTGTTAGGGGTTATGGATTTACTTGAAAGATGAAAACATAAATTAGTGATAGATTAGCCTAGGGTATGTGTTTTCTTATAGCTGCTGTTTTTGGTCGATATGATTCTGTAATTAGGCCCGTCATAATTGTCAGCACCAGGCCCACTGGGCTCTTAATCTGGCCCTGGCTGTTTGTCATACACATACCTGGAATGCTTGCCATATAGGTTTTGGTTTTCCTCTCCAACTCTGCAGCCTGTGCTCTCAAATCACTTTCTTCAGCTGGTCGTTTCCGACTCCAGAGGTAATTTTTCAGGGCTGTTACACGATCCTCCAGCTGTCTGATGGAGCGTTCTGAAAACATAAGCCATTATTTGAGGAAATGATAAACAGGCTACAAAAAAAAGATAGTCAAAGGGACAGCTTATCCTCCTCCCAAATACACAGTGCAGTAAAGAGCAAATTTAAAGTGGTACTGTCACAACTACTAATTTAGAACAACCAAATAGCTATGGACTATTAAATTATTAGGAAAGCTTATCCAACAATGTTAAATTGAGCCCATTGTGGTAAGACACCCATACCCACTAATCCAAGATGACCTCAATTAAAAAAATAAATAAATAATAACACTCATAATCTGACATCATAATTATAAAAGCTATGAAAGGTTAAAAATATAAACTGCAATGATCCCACAGCAGTATGAAAAAAAATAAATTAAAAAAAACATTAAAATTTAAATAAAACTTACATGTATTCCAGTACCATAACAGTCTCCAATCGTCCTGATAACTATTGTCTAGTCATACTTCTCACAGACAATCAATGAATCCATTGCCCAAAATATTTAATTAATGAATCTTTTTCAGTCAGAAGCCCTCTGTGAGTGTGATGACCACTAGTAATTGTGGAAACTTAAAAATGTAAACAGTGCAGTTTTTTTCAGAAACAGAATTGTTTTCAACTGCAAGGCTATAGGGGAAGAACCCCTTGTCCCAAAATAAGAAGAGATTTCTGGTCCTTAGACTGTACCTTTAAGGTCAGTGTATAAGCAAATGTATAGATCCCAGTCTGAAAGTATTTGGGCTAATTCTCCATGTGGTTTGCTCAGAACAGGACTGCATTTGTTAAACATTGTGATTAGCTGGATGTACAACAAACAGACCAGAGGAAACAAAAATCACCTACCTACAAACTCTTCAACCTTATTTTTTTCCCCCCGTTATATAATGTCAGACTAATTTTTATTTTACGCTTTATTTTTCAAAACCCAAATGATCTAATTTATAACTTGAAGATAGCTGGTGATATCATCTGCTCAGAACTCTCCATTTACCATATAACACATCTGTCCAGGGTTCGGTGGGAATGTCCAAATTTTCCCACATCATGGAACAACAGGGAAAATGTATCCAAACAGCAAAGTTCAAGTGCATTATTAGATGCGCTCGCCCCATGCAAAATGCCATCAGGCCTTTCCCAGGCCTTCCTGATATGCAATCACACCAGACTGATAATACACCCCTTATTACTGTGTCATGAAACTTAGTTGAGGTGATGATGCCACTTTAAATAATTAGATATAGTTTCAGCGTCAATTTGCAGTGGAAAACAATACGATTTGTTAACGTCAGGTGTATTACCCTATAAGCAATATCCCATGGATATAGTTGCATACAGTTAACTTTGTTGCGGCAAAATTACAAAATGCAACAATTTAGTTTACTGTATGGAATAGCCCTGATTTGTTTGTAAGATTGAATGTTAAATATTTTAATTCTATTCTATTCCTAGAATTTCTACTGAACGAAATACCTACACAATATAGAAGCTGCCGCCAGCACAGTTACTTACCTTTCAGAAGAACCTGAACAGCATTGTGGGCCTTTTGTGGTAAACGAATTAATTTTAAGTGCAGGATTCCAGGATGTTTCCGGTAAGGCACTTGAGACAGAAAGCCTGTTGAGTTGTCAAGCTGTGACAGTCCAGGAGCCTGTGTGCTCAGAGTCTATAACAGTAGAAACATGAGAAATGTAGCTGATAACACTATGCAAAGCTAATGATAATAAGATGGAAGTTTTAAGAAGTATACAAAAGAATTAGTGACAAATTAAAAAGAAGGTATAGTACCGATTCTTGGTCAGGACCCAAAAGTGGGGTTAAATTCCTAACCCACAAAAATGGAGTTTGTCCAAATTGATTAATCTGAGAAATCTCACTGTTCTCTCTAGCTCTCACTCATGGGCACCTACAAATAATAAGGGGAGGGGGGGGGACACTAAGCGGTCTCCATCGGAGAAAAAAAACATGAGGATTCTATTACGGTTCAGATAGACATGTACCCCTTAAAAAAAGCCTGGATGCATGGCAATATACCCGGGCAACCAAGACATTGTGCATATGGAATGACGCTTTCACACAAAACTGGGACATGAAAGTGAACGCAACAGTTTTTATACACAATCCCAGTGTACCTGTATATGTTATAGAGAGTATTTCAGTTAGCAGCAGCAAGTATGTGTGTGAAAGAGTGCATCCCTTCCTCAAATGCATCATTTGAGATCTAGATCTATATCTATCTCAACATTTCAGTACCATCACTTGACTTTTCTCAAGGCTTTTAGTATCACTCCAAAGGCCATAAAAGTGCAAGCTTACCTGCCACATCAAGGCAAATGCACGTGACTTTTTTTGTTTTTTTATTCTATTTTTGGGGGCTGATGAGTACTATAGTCATTGCTGCCGTCCAGGAGAAATGGGAGGTTGATCGCAGGGCTTAATTTTGTATGTTTGTATTACACAGCTATGTTACAGTGTTGCAGCCTACACTATTTGTGTATTAATAAGTGCATTGGAGTTTATATAAAAAAAAAAAAAAATTACCCCTTTTATATCTCATTAGAGGTTTTAGCTTTTTATGCTCAAAGAAGCAAGGTGAATTGTTAGTGTAGGACTCACCTAAGAGGTTTGCCTTAATTTGGCAGGTGAGCTTACACTTTAATGGCTATTGTATTCATACTAAATAAAACCTCCAGTTTTTTAAATATGCATAGGAATTTGTGATAGTGCACAAGATACGTTTTCGGTTCATTTCTTTTATGGTGTACTATTATTCCATTTCTCCATATTTCTTAGTTTTACCTACTTCCTTGCTCTCCACTCCCTGTACAGTGTGTTATCTGTCTATTCAGACCCTTTATTTTTCACTATTTTGATACTCTCTTCTTATTTCATTTTTGGGTTCCTTTGGTCCCCTGTCCTGCCTCTCTGAATTAATGTCTTACATATTTTCTGTTCATTTCACTTTTTTGTGGGCACGAGCATCGGAGACCACGAGCATCGGAGACGGCTGCCTTGTTGGTGCTCACTCTGACCGATGCAATTATTACTATTATTTTTAAAGCACCATCTAATTCCACAGTCTTGTACAATGGGTGGGCTAACACAAGTATTTTTTAACAAGATGAGCTGGATGCACAGCAACAGACTGCTTTGAGGGCCCTGCTCAAACGAGCTTACATTCTAGAGGGAGTGGGGTTAAATGACACAAAACGTTCGACAGGTATTATGGATTTTTAGTTGGCCTTTTTTGGGGATGAAAAATTAAGATTTTAGAAAAAAAAAAAAGACATCAAATGGTAAGTTTATGTATTTATTTTACAGGTACTTAGTTCTTTTGTTCCCCCCCTCACAATTTTTAGGGTAAGGGGGGTAGGTAGGGGTATATTTAATTTTATTTGGGTGGGGAGGTGACTAGGGGGTTGGGGACCCCTATTCACCTAGCGGGTTGGGGGTAACATTTTCATTTACTGCTCTGGGGTGGGGTTTGGGGGGAGGACAATAGGTCCCCCTTCCCCTGCAATTCTCGTTTAATAGCCCCCACAGGAAGGAGGATACTAGGGTTTGTTGTTGTTTTTTTAACAGTGAGCAGCCACTGGCTGTTTATTATACATGCCCCTACTCACGGTAAAGTCCCTACTCGCCGTAGATACTGTGGGAATTAGGTAGTTATCTACTAAGCAGCTGCAAGATGCAGCCGTGGCACGAATAGGATCAGAGTTTCATTCATTCGAATGAAATTCCGATACGAACAAAGTCCTGAATCCGTCCTAACACGAATGGAGAAACTGTTCTAAATGACAGCAAGTTTGGGAAAAGTGAAAGGAGGCTTCAGGGGAATATGGAGGAAAGGTGAGAATTGTGGGAAAATTGCTCTGATCACCGGAAATGAAGCACACTTTGCTTCTCCGCTGGTCAAAGCTGGTCAGGTGTAGGAAACCTCCATAAGACAAATAGTCCCTACTTTGTCTTATGTTTTAAAGAAAACTAGAGCAGACAGGAAAAAATGAAGAACAGATTCGGAAAGAGGGAGAGAAGAGGAATCGATAACAGTGCCGCTTTAAAGCATAAGACAAAGTATGGACTACTTTGTAGTATGTATTTTTCCTACGCTTGAGCAGCTTTGACCTAAGGAGGAGCTTAAGTCCACTCCATTTCCTGTAGTCAAAGAAATGTTCCCACATTGTTCATTCGTGCTAGGACACCCTTATTAACTAACATAGCCGTGTGCAGCCAGTTGCATTAGGGTGTGCACCCTAAAGCACAAGCACACGCCGTGTGTAATATATATATATATATATATATATATATATATATATATGTACTGTTAATGTACTGTGTGCATGTGGGTACTGGTAGTGTGCTGTGTGTGTGTTTGTTAGGGTCCTGTTAGTGTGCTGTGTGAGGGTGCTGTTTGTGAGGGTACTGTTAGTGTGCTGTGTGTGTGAGGTGCTATTTGTGTGCTGTGTGTGTGAGGGTGCGGTTTGTGTGTGCGCTGTATGTTTGGGTGATTTGTGGGGGTGGAGTTGGGGGCAGATTAGTTAATAAATATACCCCCTCCCTTCTTACCTTTTGTAGGGAGGGGGGATCCTTTCTGCCTTCCCTGGTGGTCCAGTGGTGAGTGAACTCTAGCCTGTGGGGCTAGAGTTCACTCTTGCGAGATCTGAGTATTGCTGCGGCAACACTCAGATCTTGCAAGAGGAACCCGGCGGAGCTGCTGGCTAGAGCTCCCCGGGTCCTCTCCTGCCTCCCTCATTCCCTGTGGGCTGGTGAGGGGAGGCTTAGAGCAGAGCGGGCGCTTGGATAGCGCCGGCTCTGCATGAGCCGACGGGGGGATCCTGAGATCTCCCCTGCCGGTCTCACTCCATAGGTGTGCCGCGGGGATTAGGGTGTGCCCAGGCACACGCCTATGTTCACTAATACCAAGCAACTTTTTACTTAGATAATTTTAGTAGATAGCTCCCTAATACCATGGGAATTATGCTATCTACTAAGCAGCTGCAGAATTAGCATCAATAAGAGTGCTCTGATAGGTACATTTTGAGCCTTGTCTGATTGGTAACTTATACACATTTGTATTCCCAAGAGCGGAGGCACAGACAGGAGGGAAGTACGCTGTGGTGGAATTATAAACAAACCTACCGAGTAAATGCAATACTGTTGAAATCACGATTTCCATTTTTCTAGTTAAAGTGTTTCTAACTATGATTGATTGAAGTATTCTCAATACTGGGCACATTGATATCATAGTGGAAACTATGTAAGAAAAGTAAACTTAAAACAAATTGAATTAGTTCATAAAAGAGCGGCGGGAGAGTAGTCTGAATTGGGTTACAGGGTGCGCACACATCCCGTGCAGCTACCTTGCCTCAGCCATTGGACTAACACTGCAAGCCGTGAGTCACTTCCAAGACCCGGAATGTGAGACTGCATCAGCCGTGCGAGACGTGGGAGGGGCGAGGGATGAGCCTCAATCTGCGGCACAGCCTCCCCCCAACCACGCTGCAAGGCGTCTTCTGCATGGTCCCACACCACGTGACGGGCCGGTCCACTCCAGCGTGGGGTTGCTGGGGACTCACTCACCCTGAGTATCGGGTGACACCCTGTAAGGGCGACAATGGGCTCTTCTCTCAGACCTTCCCTGAGGTATATATATATATATATATGGGAGTGACATCACTAACGTGACGCGCTCAGTAGGTGACCTCAGCAATGAGCTTCCCTTCCGCACATCTCCCATTTACGAACGACCTCTATATATGTGTCGTAGTCAATATAATGTGTACACTCACTGTGACAATTCTTTGGTTTGGGGTTTTTTTTTATACAAAAAGTTTTCCTTTGTTTTTCACATTATTCAGCTGAAACACGCTTTACAAAATAGAAACAGCAATAATCACAATCAGAACATTTGTAAAGCGTTGGCAACGCCAACATTGGACTGATCCCAGCAGCACTTGCTCCCAGTATGCAAATAAAGAGGGTGGAGCCTGAGAGCACGTGCACTCCTGAACCCACGGCGCTAAGGAAACGTTTTTAATTACGTACATACAGTGTCCATGTTACAAATGACTTACTCGAAGCTGCTGGAACCGGAGCCGTGACAGCAACATGGTGCAACGCCCTCCGTGCCAGCCGTTAGCCTCAAATGAATGCCAATAAAAGCAACAGTCTTCTCTCATAAGCCGAACCCCATAGACAGCATTTTAACCCCCAGCCAATCTACACTAACAGCAGCGGCTAGCCAATCACCGCGCTCATACTGGAATGATGACGCATTTTCCCTCGGTAGCTGGGTGGATCCTACGGCCTATCGTGTCACATGACAGTGTTGAGTGACACTTCCTGCGACCAATAAGCGATTGAGCCCAGCTTTCCATTGGCGCCTTGGAAATAGTCACCGATCTGGGAACATGTCTGGGCGAAGCGGGAAAGGCCGGGGTGAGCGGTACCGTTAATTGGGGGGAACATTACTAAACAGCGAACTGAGAAACAAAAATTGTCAATTAATAAAATACCTGATGGTTTGTAGAGGTGTTCTCCCCACACACTACAACCACTGCGCACACCATAACCACTGCACACACTATAACCACAACGCACACTATAATCACAACACACTATAACCACAACGCACACTATAATTACAACACACACTATAACCACTGTGCACACTATAACCACAAAACACTATAATCACAACACACACTATAACTACTGCGCACACTATAATTACAACACACACTATAACCACTGTGCACACTTTAACCACTGCGCACACTATAATTACAACACACTATAAGCACTGCGCACACTATAATCACAACACACACTATAACTACTGTGCACACTATAACCACTGCGCACACTATAACCACAATACACACTATAATCACAACACACTATACTCACAAGTTCCTATTAGTCTCATTTGTACAATTCGGCTTCCCCAATCTGCTTTATAGTGAATAAACCCCACTGTTACCGAATTCTCTGCACCGTGAATGTGTGGGAGAAGTTGGCCTGTGTCTGGGTAGATGGTCATTGCATCTAAGACGAAGGAACAAATTTTCCTTATGACTTACAATCTTATTAAATATAATGTACAGACTAAAAAGGGAGCATGAGTAGATAAGGGTGCACATAGTTATTCTCTAAACAGCCAATTGCAGAAAAGTCCAAATGGTAAACTTTATCTGTACAAAATAGTTTGATTTGTAGCTGAAGCCTATAACTGAATTGTAGATTATTTTTTTTCCAGCTGTTTTTCCATTCAGATTCTAGTTCAGAGGAGACTTGTTTTAATTGCTAAAGTTAGAGTTTGAAGTTAATTTCAAATGTGAGGTCAAGCTAGCTGAATTGGAAAAAATATGTCAGCTATGATTTAAATTTGGTTAAAGTAAGCAGGGAAAAAACAGAACACATTTGAGATTAAAATAACATATTTCAACACCATAAACTAGGGATTTGGTGTATATTTTGGTTTTCTAACACACTATCAAAACTCTATATAAACCTATATCTTAATGTTAAATGTATGTGTGATTATGAATATATTTTTATTTCAGTAATTTTATATGCACACATTGCATACTGCCATACTCTTGTTTTTTGACATCATATACAAACACCTCTAAAGATTTCCACTATCCATTGCAAAGTGAAAAAAAAAATGGCCTAGAGAGTATGCAATAGCAAGTAACTTCTAAAGTCTGGTTAGCAGTACAGCTCTTCATATTTTAAGCCCTGATATATAATGTACTCAACTGTTGTCAAAGAGCCTTTATGAACTTGCAAAAATGAGATGCTATGGTATTATGAGAGCACGTGCACTCCTGAACCCACGGCGCTAAGGAAACGTTTTTTAAATACTATTCTGGGACACAGGTATCTAACTAATGGCATAAAATAAACTTTTGTAATATTGTGAAATACATAGCTTTTAAAAAAATAAAATAATTAGTTTTACTTTAAATTTAAAGGCTTACTCCAAGCACCATAATCGTTACAGCCTGCTGTAGAGGTAATGATGGAGTACCTTTTTATTGGTAATGATGGAGGCCCTTTTTATTGGTAATGGAGCAAAACATCTTACAACACTTTGCAGTCTTACCGGGCACCGAGGGTCCTCCAGTGACGGCCTCCGGGTTCTGTAAAGCTACAGAACCCCAAAGTCAATGCCACGGCCATTCAATGACTGAGAGCATTAGTATATTGCTCTCTGCCAATGAATGCAATTCTGTGCTTAGGAATATGCAAAGAATTGCCTGGAACTCTAGTTCCGTGATGACTAATGACAACGCTAAGACGCTGCAAAGCGGTTATGCTCCCTATGTGCAGTGGTTCAAAGCAACACGTTGCAAATACAGACTCAAAGTACAATGACCACTTCAAATGACTGAAGTAGTCATGGTGCTTGGAGTAACCATTTTATCATGTTTTGCTCCTTTAATTTAACTTCATTCCCCCACCTTTCCCCAGCAGTGGCTTCTCAGAAAAGAAAAGCTGTAACAGATTCAAAACCAACGATTGAAGTAAAACTTGAGCCTGAAGATCTGAGTACTGAAGTAAAACTTGAGCCTGAAGATCTGAGTACTGAAGTAAAACTTGAGCCTGAAGATCTGAGATCAAAGTCTGTAGTAAAAGAAGAAGTTGAGACACGCTGGGAATGGCAAGATGGGGACGTGTGGATGGCTTATGCTCCTGAACTGAACACTCAAATTAATCAGGCATTCAGGTGAGGAATTAAATATGACCAGCCCATGACTTCTTTGTCCATAGTTTTTATATTATTTCTCAATATGTAATTTGCATTTAACTTTGGCACTTTAGCTGTAATTTTACTATAATTAACTTCATGGGCTACCTCATTAGTATAATGGTTACATGCTGTAGTAGTAGTTATGGAGGAATCCCCTGGCACTGTCCCACAGTATGCCATCCAGTTGTTTACAAATAGTTTGACATACACCTGGCTTAGTGGGGTTCCGGAACACAGTCCTTCTGATCTGCACTGATTTGGTAAAGCAGAAGCTCATATTTTGGCACTTTGGAGATCATTTATTGGCTAAGAATGTTTTCCAAAGCTGAGCAAATTGATATTATTATTAATGTAAGAACTGCTTTAGCACATCAGTGCAGCTGGCCAGTACCATCGGTTACTAATAGTGCTCGTAAACAGCTCACTACGGGTCTAATTCAGGGAACTCTTGTCACATTAACAATGTGAACTGTTTGCTGCTTTGCCTGTCCCTGTAAGATAGTTATCAAACTAAAAGGCACAGATGGCAGCGGCAAAGATTGCTGATTCAACCAGGTGCTCAGTGGTTCTTTTTAAATTATATCAACTTGCTGCAGGCATTGATTTTTTTTTTTTAGAGATTTGCACTGCACATCAAGGCCTCCCAACCGTCTTTATTTCAGCAGGACAGTCCAGATTTTCATGTCCTATTTCACCATCCCAATTTAGTTCCCTAAATTGTGCTGTGTGCAGGGCACTAGGACCCTGCAGAGATCACTGAAACGTGATTAGAACCCAGGGGAGTATAGAATCCCCAGTGTGAATATAGCAGTTCCCCTCCAATCATGAGACCAAGTTACGTGTTGAGGGTAAAACAGGAACTCCATTTTAATGGAGGCACACTGGCCTTTTATGCAAGTTTCCCAACAAAGGTGACAACCAAGTGTACAAGCCAATAAAAACAACGTGACAGCGAATGACACTCCCACATACAGTACACAATCCCTCCCCTCTGCCGGTGATATAATCAAGGCAGATAATGCATTAATATAATTATCCCCAGGCAGAAAAAACACACATTTTTATTAAGTACCACAAAACACACCATATCCCCATAAATGTTACATCCCCTGATCTGGGTAAACAACATATCCAAAAATCACCCAGATCAGATAAGGTATTTAGAAATTTTATGGAAGTCATATTTTTGCACAAGCATGATCCCATGCCCAAAACAGTTCCATAGAATCGCAGCTAAGTCCCCCTGAAGTCTATTCGTGGTTTTGGTCCATGCGAACAAGATGGCCGCCACCACGTGTTCGAATGTTGAATGGCGGCCACTTCAACTGTTTAGGAGTTCGAAGAACCATTGTTTAAAGTCCCAATAGCCACAAATAGGGTCTCTCAACCACAAAAAAATTAAAGGGGCCATAGTCACAGGGTAAAAGGCTGGCAAGTAGTCCCCTCCAAACCCCAGTGGCGAAGTGGCTTTCATCACATGCACGAAGAAATGATTTAATTGTCGTATTTATTACATACAATGGACAGTTTACTTAGCACACCTTAGACCTAAAAACAGTAAAATTAACGGATAGGCTGTTAAATTGAACTTGAGTTGTTCTTTTAGTCTTGTTTAACTTGAGGGTTAAAGAGTTAATTTTAAAATTCTAATAATTTCTTCCATTAATTAAAGGTTAATTGGTTCATATTGTTTTTTGTCTTTATTGAAAATTTTCTTTTTACATATACATAGACATACATTTGTTTATATTCATGTAATATTAAAGCGGCACTGTCATGGGCGCATCTGTTTGTTTGTTTATTTATTTTTTACCCCCCCCCCCAATATTATGCATGTGGCTGCTCACTGTTGTGAATTCCCCCCTTTCCCCACTTATCTATCAACTAGCGCGAGTGTGGGCTATGCCCCGTGGGTGAGGACCCTAAATGACCAGTGAGCGGGGGTGGGGGCCCTAAGATGGGGATGGGGGGGGGGCCTATTGTCCCAGCCCCCACCAATGAGCTGCGGGTGAGGCCCTCGTGACAATGGGGGGGGGAGCATAGGTCCCCTCCTGGTCCCCACCCATGAGTGGCAGGTGGGGACCCTACATGAAAATGGGGGGGGGGGGCGGAGCCAAGCCAGAAGGCTGACAAGTCTTGCCTCACATGTGCTCCTGCAAAAAGTGCTACATACTCGACAGATACTCTGGCTATTGAGTTGGAAACCCCCGCGTAATTAAACTACATAGGTGGAGGTACCCGCAGATACCAAAATCAACGCTTGGTACGACTGAGAACAACTGATGCACGAGAAGACCTAAAGGAGGCAGCGGAGGGGAAGGACGGTCGCTTTCCCCGTTGTCAGGTTACCTTTGGTGTCTACCTCGGAGGAGGTTAGACACCTAGACGTCCATCCTTCCAGGGGGGCTGACTCACCCGATCCTTGCACTCCTCCCGGTCATTTACACGCCGGCCGCGATAGCTCCGCCTCCTTTTATGACGCGGCGCTCAGTAGCCGACGTCATGACGGCAATCACGTTCCGACCCGTCAATCACGGCAACCAAGTGCCGAACAACGAATCAGGACTCGTTGGGGGCGGAGCCAACAGTTAAAGAGCCAAGGTATAAAAAAGGGTTCTGTGGAATGATTCATTGCCCTGTCGTGGTTCTAGCTAGTCTGGTCACTCAGTGCACTTACCTCTATTGTCTTTTGGTTCCTGACTCGGCTTGTATTCTGACCCTGCTTTACTCTCTTGTCCTTTTGACCCGGCTTGTCTCTCGCTTACCTGATCTCTCGCTCCCTCGACCTCGGCTTGTCTCTGACCATTCTTTTTGCTCTCTCCTTACGTTAGTCCGGCCACTCTAAGGTCCGGTATACGTACCTATCTCCTGTTTGTATTCTGCGTGTTGGATCCCTGTCACGATCCTGACACCCGTACTGCTGCGAACCACACGTAAGCAAACCATACTGAGCCTAGCGATACTTGCACACACACCCAGTGGTATTCTAACCAAGGCAACACATAGACAGTTGAGCCATAACGGAATTAAAGAGTGCATATGTGAATGGTTGACATGTTAGCTAAGCCATAACGACCCTTCTACCTTATAATTTACTCTCACTTCAGGACAGCTAGCCCTCTGATGCCTAAGAGCAGGGCACACCGGAAATGCCTGCAACACTAGCATAACTTACTTCTACTAATCGGTACGGTAATCAGACAGGTGCCTAGCTTGTTATTTCTAACATAATGTTAGACCCTGCAGAACTAGCAAAAATTAAGGCATGTCATACTTAGCAGAGTGTACCATTGATCTCAAGTGCAGAACGTCTACCACGTATGCGACTCCAGGCTCAATCTTTGTTTTGCATACCATGGGATTTATGTGCATGTACTCCTTGTTTTATTTTCTGTATCGTTTTTCCATATGCCTCAATAAAAACAAAGATTGACAAAAAAAAAAGAATATGGGAGGGACCTATTGCCCCCAAAAATTAACATTTTCTACCTACCCCCTCACCCTTAAAATAGTGAGTGGGGAGGGGCAATAAAGCTAAGTCCCTGTAAATAAAAATAAATACTTACCTTTTGAAGTCTTTTATTTTTTTTCAGCCCCAAAAAAGGCCAGATTAAAAACCATAAAGCCTGTTGAATTTATAAAATAAAAGGACCCGAGCGCAAAAAATAAATAATCCATGTTCACCCAGCGAGGGCATCGCGTAGACTGAGCTCCGCATGGCGGGTGAAAGGCCTTCCCTACGCCCTGCAATTTGACTCAGAGGGCTTGGAATCCAACTAATCAGAGTGCTCTGAGTAATTTTACACAGCGTGGGAAAGTTCTTTGGAATTTTTGCACGCTGTGTAATTTGACTCATAACAATACTCTGAGTGGCTTGGAATCCAGAGAACAAGAAGCAATTGGGGAAAGGTGAGTTCGTCATGACAGTGCCACTTTAACGGTGCGTTATTCCAACATAAATACATTTGTGGCACTTCATAACCATTCATTCCTCATTCATTCCCCTAAAGAAAGAAAATAAATAAAACACAAAATAATGCAGATTTTTTTTTCTCTGCTTGATTACTCTCAGAGAGAATTATATCATAGTATGACTCAAGAAGGAATAAGAGTTCATCATATAGGCTATTTGATGATGAGACCGTGCTTTTAGTCTAAGCCAAATTACATACATATATATATATATATATATCTACCCTTTTCTATCTTTTTTTATTTTGCTTCATGCACAGGGTATATAACATTTGAGTTAGGAAATATTGGTCCACATCTCCCATACTTTTATGTGTATTAAAATCTTATTTGACTTTCGGTAAAATCCTTCTTCCATTTGTTGTTTGATATATAATCTGGTTGTTTATTACTGGCCATATTGGTGCCAATTAGTTTTTCTAGTTTCTGGCTAACGTGAATAAGAATAATATTTTTTGTTCATGGTTGCAATTTGAAAAATCCAAATGAAATAAAAATGTCTGGGGTAATAATATTGCCTGAGATCTTCCTTTTTTATTCTAATTCCTCACATTTCCTTTCCTTCGCATATAGTGTACCTATTTCCTTGGAACACCTCCAGCATTTAACTATTTTTACATTTTTTTTAATTCTATATGGAGTGAGATACCATCTGTGGGTGATTTATTTTTTAATTTTTTATAAAGGGTCTCTTGTATGTTAAGACTGTGGGTGATTTTTCTGATCCCAGTAAATACACCTTCCCGTGTTTCCAGTGTGAAAGATTTATTTATATCTCTTTCCCATTTTTTTTAAATGGGTTTGGTTTTAATCTATAACCATAAGGTCCTTAACCATATGTGTAACTTTAGAAATTTGTTTTTATGTTTATTAATAACATTTTCAAATTCTGGGTGTACTTTGATATCTAAGGCATTCATTAGGTGTCTTATTCTAGCATAATTCTACAGGTCTTGAATTGAATTGGAGTATCTATAAATGATTTAATTTTCCCCAGCAATTTGAATTATATTTTGAATATTACATTCTATCCATTTTGATACATCTATATCACTAATATAGAAATTAATAACCTAAAATGGTGCAGAGGAAATTAGTTCATTGCATATGCCCAATTTCTTCTTAAATAGTTTGAGAGTAGTGATTGACTTATTTACGATTTTTATTTGAGAATGAATACTTTTTATTTTTATTTTTTTTAAATGTTCAGAGCCAATCCAGGCTAGTTTAAATAGGGACGTACTTTTTGTTCCATATATTTCCAGCTTGGATCAAGATTAATAAGATTGCCCCATTTCAAGAAATGGGTAGGGATAGTACAATCATGTAATTCTATTATATCAGCAAAATTTATTCCGCATTTATTCACTCTTTTGGTGAGTGTAATATATGAAACTCTGGGTGTCTTATTTCCCCATACATGAATAAATTTCATAAACTGTTTTTTAATTGATGAAGTATTGAAGAATGTACTCTTATGGTTATGGATCGGAATTAATTTTGGGATCACATATGCTGAGACAGTAATTATACATCCCGCCAGGAAATTTCTAACCCCTTCCATTCTGAAAAGTCTCTTTAAACCATAATAATAGTTTCTTATAATTTTCTACCATTTTGTCTATATTTGATAAAATTTGGATTCATTGACATTCTATCTTCTCATTATTGGGGGATAGGTCAAAGCAATCTAGAAAATGGAGACAGGATAGAAAGGAGATGGGCTTTAGCTCCGTGTAAGGATGGGAGGGATGGGAAAGCTCAGAACAGAGGAGGTATGTAATATTGATGAAAATTCACAAAAAGTATAAATGACTCATGACAATATTAAATGTATGCTTACTAATGCAAGGAGCCTATATAATAAAATGGGCGAACTAGAGGCAATAGCATACATTAAACAATATGATAGAATAGGTATAACAGAAACATGACTGGGCAGTTAACTTAACCCCTTAAGGACACATGACATGTGTGACATGTCATGATTCCCTTTTATTCCAGAAGTTTGGTCCTTAAGGGGTTAAATGGGTACACGTTATTTAGGAAGGATAGGAAAAACAAGAACGGTGGTGGGGTATGTTTGTATGTCAACCATGAGTTAAAGTCAAATCTTAGGCATGTGGAGTGTGACAAGGAAAATGTGGAAGCTTTATGGGTAGATATCTGCTTGGGGCAAACGTAGGGAAATCAATTATTGGTTGGGATATGTTATTAACCACCTAATGTAAATATTAATGAGGAAGAACAGCTGTTAGAGCAAATTGGGAAAGCTGCAAATCGGGATGCATGTTAATTATTGGAGATTTTAATTACCCGGGCATAAATTGGGATAGAGTTACTAGTACTTCAGCAAGGGGAATCAGGTTTTTGAATGTGTTAAATGACACCTTTATGTCGCAACTGGTACAAGCACCAACTAGAAAGGATGCTGGTCTGGATCTTGTTATAACAAACAATGTTGATCTTTTGACTAACATTCAAGTAGGGGAGCACTTGGGAAAAAGTGATCGCAATATGGTAAGATTAGGGCAGCTCTACAACATATAGACTGGCATAAACTCCTTAGTGAAAAAAACACTGAGGATAAATGGAAACTATTCAAACAAATATTAGAAAGGTACATTTCTCAGTATGTACCAGTGGGTAATAAATATAAAAGAAACAAATTGAAATCAATGTGGTTTAGTAGAGAAGTAAAACAAGAGATTAAAAATAAGAAAAGGGAATTTGAATCGGACAAATCAGAGGCATCCTATTTAAGATATAAGGAAGCCAATAACGCTTGCAAAAAGGCAATTAAAGTGGCTAAACTAGAAAATGAGAAATTGATAGCCAAAGAATGCAAAACCAACCCCAAAAAGTTTTCAAGTACATCAATTCTAAAAAAAACAAAAAATGAAAGTGTAGGTACACTGGAAACAGAGATGGGTCTGTTAGTTAAGGAAGACCAGGAAAAGGCAGAAATTTTAAATAACCTTTTCTTCAGTATATATTAATGAGGATCCTATGGCAAGAGATATGCAAATGATTGCTGCAAAAAATTTGCAGATGACTTGTGATTGGATAACTCGAGACAAGGTGCTACAGCTGTTCGAGATAATGTAAATAAAGCTCCGGGGCCTGACGGTATTCACCCACAAGTACTTAAGGAGCTAAGTAGGGAAATAATTGAACCTCTGTATTTAATTTTTCAAGATTCTTTTGTTTCAGGTATTGTACCGGAGGATTGGAGGAAGGCAGAATTCGTTCCTATATTTAAAATGAGTTCAGAATCCTTGCCTGGAAATTTATAGACCTGTGAGCTTAACTTAAATTAAGGGATAATATTCAGGAATTAATTGGGAAGAACTTTGTTATTAGCAATAATCAGCATGATTTTATGAAACCTAGGTCATGTCAAACTAACCTAATTGCATTCTACGAAGAAGTAAGTAGAAGCATAGATCAGGGTGTTGCAGTGGATGTGATCTACTTGGATTTTGCCAAGGCATTTGATACGGTTCCTCACAATAGGTTAGTCTCCAAACTAAAAAAAATTGGTCTAGATCAGGGCTGTCCAACCTGCGGCCCCCACTACAACTCCCATGATTCCCTGGCTATCTGTTTCATTGAAAGAATCATGGTAGTTGTAGTTCAGCGACATCTGGAGGGCCGCAGGTTGGACAGCCCTGGTCTAGATGATTATTCTTGTTCTTGGGTAGAACATTGGTTTGGATAGAGTACAATGAATTGTCATTAATGGTACATTTTCAGGCTAGACAAAAGTGGTAAATGGTGTCCCTCAGGGTTCTGTTTTGGGACCGCTTCTTTTTAACATATTTATAAATGATCTTGAAATGGGCATTGAAAGCCATGTTTCAGTGTTTGCCGATGACACAAAACTTTGTAAAGTATTAAAATGTGAGCAGGATATTGCTTTGCTGCAGAGGAATTTGGATAGATTGGGGGACAGGGCACTAAAATGGCATATGAAATTTAACCAAGAGAAATGCAAAGTTATGCACTTCTGGGTCAAGAATGCACAATCAATTTACACCTTAAATGGTAGTGAATTAGGGATAACCACACACGAGAAGGATTTGGGAACTGTTATAGACAACAAATTAGGCAGCAATATGCAATGTCAATCTGCAGTTGCTAAGGCCAGTAAGGTTTTTTCATGTATAAATTGGGGCATCAATTCTCTAGATGAAAATATAATTTTGCCTCTTTATAATTCAAGACCACTCCTTGAATATGCTGTGCAATTTTGGGCACCTGTTCTAATGAAGGATATCATGGCACTAGAAAAAGTGCAGAGACAAGCTACAAAATTGATAAAAGGAATGGAGCATTTTAGTTACGAAGAAAGGTTAAAAAATTTAACCTCTTTAGTTTGGAAAAACGGCGCCTCAGATGGGATATGATAACATTATACAAATATATTCGGGGCCAGTACAAACCATTATCTGGAAATCTATTCATAAACAGGGCTATACATAGGACATGTCACACATTTAGGCTGGAAGAAAGGAGATTTCATCTAAGGCAAAGAAAAGTGTTTTTGTTTTTGTTTTTTGGGGGGGGGGAGGGGTTTAAAGTAAGAGTAATAAGGATATGGAATTCCCTGCCTGAATAGGTGGTTTTATCAGAGTCCATTCAGATGTTTAAACTGCAATTGGATAAACACTTGCAAAAACATAACATACAGGGATATAATTTCTAATTAGTGGGGTAATAGCTGCTTGATCCAAGGAGACATCTGACTGCTACTTTTGGGGTCAAGAAGGAATTTGTTCCTAGTTTGCTGCAAAATTGGAAGCGCTACAGACTACGTTTTTTGCCTTCTTTTGGATCAACAGCAAAAACATATGTGAGGAAGGCTGAACTTGATGGACGCAAGTCTCTTTTCTGCTATGTAATTATAGAAGTTCCACTTATACTTTTCTTCTAGATACATTAAATATTCAGAATTTATATTAAAAGTTAATTTGTTTTATTTATATTTAAGTGGTAGCCTGAATAATTACCAAAATTTTAAATTAGTTTCATTACATTTGAAATTTAATCTATTACATTGGAGAGAGCTAGAATAATATCATACACATATAAGAGTAATTTTATGATTTTCCGAATTAATCTGCAGTCCTTCAATCTTATAATTTTGTCTAATTGCAGCTGCTAGAGGTTCTATAGCGAAGACATAAAGGAGTGACGCCAGAGGACAGCCTTGTCTGGTGCCATTCCAAATGTCGAACCAATTAGATACTATGCCTGGACAAATGACTCCCGCTTGTGGGTTTGTATATAATGACATTGTACTTTCTTTTAAAAAAAAGCCTGTCAGGCCAAAGTTTTCCATCACCAGTCCCAGAAATTTCCAGTTCACCATGTCGAACGCTTTTTCTGCATTTAATAGTATAAAAACTGATTTATATTTTTTGTATTTTTAGATGATCCATCATGTTTAAGGTTTTACGGGTATTATCAGCAATATCTCTACCTGAAACCAAGCCTGTTTGATCCTTGTGAATGATTTCAGGGATCACCATTTTCAATCTTTGTGCCAGTATTTTTGAAAATATTTTTATATCTGTTTATCAGGGAGATAGGTCTATAGTTCAACAGGGTTCATATGAAAAATTATATTACTTTAGCCAGATAATGAACCTTAAAATTGATGTAGAGCTGGGTTTTAAGATGCAAAGATTTAATTTGTTTAATAGAGCCAAGATGTGAAGAATAAAGAGATTATCCAAACTGCTACCTTTGCAACATGTATAACAAAAGATTTTCCCAGATGCTCAGTTTAATCACTATCTATTCTGTGTTTGGTGCTCTATCTATATGGGTAAATCCTTGAGGTTATTCTCCAAAACTGATTCCTGCTGCTTTTTCAAGATGTTTCCTAGATTGAAAGCTATGTACAGAAGGTACATTACACATTTCTGTCAAAAGCTGAACTGCATGTACACAAGTCCTTTTTTTTTTTTCCAGTGTATGTGTGAATCTGTATTGATTTTCATCTAAAGAGATTCAAATTCAAGTAAAAAAAGTCTGTTCTCAGTCCTGCATGACAAGTAAAACCAATAAACTATTTTGAAACTCAACAGAATGAACAACCAGATAGGAAGGGGGGAGGTCAGGGTCACCTTGATAAAATAAATATATATGTATATGTGTGTATATTATGTTGTAGGTAGGTGTGTGTGTGTGTGTGTGTGTGTATATATATATATATAATATACACACACACACACATCTGAACATGCATAAATGGGGTGTTGCTTGGGGCCAAATTATACAATACACAAGATCCAGCGCACTCACCTATCCACTAAACAGCAACTTCAATGTTGACAGATTTTATTAGTTTTTTTTTTTTTTTAAACACATAATCTAGGCAAAAATAATGGGGGGTTTAGTTACATTATATGATAATACATTGCATAAGCCTGCCACAACATCAATGTACTCCATCTTTGGCAGGTCCTACTCTAACAGCCTATATATATTATATATATATTACACACATGCCAGTGTTCACTGATTTGTAACCTTTAATGTGACACTTTCATGCCAAACTTACCTTTTTCCTATTGTTTCCTCTTCCTCTCTTAGAATCTGTTCTTCTTTTCTTCCTATCTGATCTTTAAAACATAAGACAAAGTAGGGACTAGTTTGTCTTATGAATTTTTCTTAAGCTTGACTTTCATTGACCACTGACTGCTCCTGTGTTCTCACATTTTTTCATTCGCCGTTCGAACGTCCTGTCATTTAGAAAGCAAATCCACAGAATTTCGTCCAACAAAATGTGTGCAGTTTCTTCATTCGTGTGTGGATGAAATTCACGAGTTTAGTTTAGTTCAAAATTTTATGGCTTTTTGTGTGTGATATCGGGTCTTTAAAAAAAAAAAAAAAAAAAATATTATTAGTTTGGCTGGATTTATAGATCGGGGGCGGGGATTTGGAGACTGTGAGTGGTGGGGAGCACTACTCCTCGCCGCTTTTATTTTTACAAAAAGGGAGCTGCAAGCCGGTAGCTCCCTTTTTGTAATAAACTATATGAACGCCTCAGACAGGGGGGTGGAGCAATGACATGGCCACGCTGATGACGGACGCCCTCTGTATGTAGGGCGCAACCTGAGCGGGAACTCGAGGAGAACAAGTGGTTCTCAACTTGGCTTGCATCTTGGAGCTAACGGCGATACACCCACCCTGCGGCCAGATTCTGATCTTCCCTTGGTTTGGTGCCACACAAGATCTCGACTTCAAAAGATGGAGGCGAAGGCTAGCACTCAACTAGCTTGCCTAGGAGTCCATAAATACTCCATAAGAAGACATAACGTGGCATTAGGTTACCCTGGAGCATCCTCAAACTCCGGCCCCCCAGATGTTGCTGAACTACAACTCCCATGATTCTCTAGCAATCTATGTAATTCAAAGAATCATGGGAGTTGTAGTTCAGCAACATCTGGGGGGCTGGAGTTTGATGACCCCTGCTCTAACTAAATGTCAGCTGGCAGTCTATCCAGAGGTATTGGGGCAGTGAGTATTTTTGCTGTTTAAATCTTACCCATATGAATCAAAATCCATGCAACTTTACCATATAGAATCTAAATGTTGTTTTGTATTTGTTTTTGTGCTTCTATCTATATGCATTGGGATGGCTGAGAGTGATTACTGGACTAATACTTGCTTAGAGCCAGCAGTACTTACAACACTTTTTTTTGAGAGCGTTATCTATTTTATTTATTTATATATTTTTTGAAGGCGACTCCTTAAAATCTTAAACACTTCACAACAGCGAAAAATGGAGGCTTGCTGAAAGAACATAAAAACTTAATCTAGCACACTTTTTGGATACTCTAAAAATTTAGTTGATTTATTTCACTTGGTTTTCAGATTAGGACACAATTACATGCCATTTTGTTTTCAAAACGATTCAAACAGTTTGTCATTGGAGTAGGATAAGATATTGTGGAGCAGGATCATTATTTAGCTTGCAGCTTTTGGAAGCTGCTTCATTAATTGTTAGCCTGTCTAACTTGTGATGGTGTAATAAGTGGCAAATTAATTTGATTTCAACCTGGATTCACACATGAATCAATCCAGCTGAATATGGAAGCTGACGCTTTGCCAAATTATCTGTTACACCTGCCAAGCTTATAGTTGACCAAGGAAAAAAAACTGATTTTTATTTATTTTTTCCTCTGTTTGGTGAATCTTTCTTTTAAGATCTACATAAAACTGTAAACTTTGTTTGGAGAAAAGGGCAGGGTCAGGCCGAAATCCACACTGCTGATCATTTCCAACTACTGTCAAATCTGATTTATTATGTATAAGCGGCACACTGTTATGCATAATGAGGTGGATTTTGAACTAGCTCAAACCAGCTAGATATACAACTAGCTGAGTGATTATTTAATTCTTACACAGCAGCAGTGAGTTGGGCGAGCCTCAGTAATTGCAGCCAACCTGTCTGAATTAGTTTTTTGTTGTTGTTGTCGTTTTGATTTTTTTGTGTTCCTTCTTCTTACCGTTAAGAAGAAAATAAACAAATTATAGAGTAGCATTGGCTACAAAATAAATAAATTATCCCAAAAATGGAAATAAAAAGAAATACGAAAAGAAGACTGACTGATTTTTAAAAAAAGTGATAAAAGTATTTTTCTAATTTCTTTTCCCAAATGCAAGATGACACGACAAGAAGAAAAAATCAAAAAGATATATTAAGTAGGGATGCACCAAAATGAAAATTCTGGGCCGAAAATTCAGGATGCCCTTGGCTGAAAAACTAAACCGAAAATTACTTTTTTTTTTTTCTATAATTGTATTATACTTTTTAATGAATCTATTATGAAAAACTACAAGCCAATAAAATAACCACACTTTTATTGAATGTAACACACCAAGAAAATAACTTAAAGGACCACTATAAACTTAAAGGACCACTACGAAATTTAACCTCTCTAAAACTGAACTTGTCTTTCCTCCTCCTAATACAGATCCTCCTCTCTCGCTCTCCCTTCAAGTCAGTGATATCCACATAAATCCATTCCTGCAAGCACGCTGTCTTGGCGTCATACTTGACTCTGGTCTCACCTTTGAATCTCACATCCAGTTTGTTGCCAAGTCCTGTAGGTTCCAACTCAAAAACATAGCCTGCATTCGCCCCTTTCTTACGCAAGATGCTACCAAGGAGCTTGTCCATGCTCTAGTAATTTCCTGCATGGATTACTGTAACTCTCTCCTGATTGGTCTCCCCAAAAGCCGTATTGCCCCGCTACAGTCTGTAATGAATGCTGCAGCTAGACTGATTTTCCTGTCTAGTCGGTCCTCTCACACCTCACCCCTCTGCCAGTCCTTACATTGGCTCCCTGTATGCTATAGGAGTCAATTCAAAGTGCTAACCCATACATTTAAAGCACTGAACAATTCTAGCCCCACTTATATCTCTTCACTAATCCATAGATATGCCCCTGCTCGTACCCTCCGCTCTGCCCGTGACCACCCCCTGACCGCTGCTCGCACCCGTACGGCCAACTCGCACTTGCAGGACCTCTCGCGGGTGGCTCTTCTCCTATGGAATAGCTTGCCTACTGCCATCAGACTCTCCCCTAGTCTTCAATCATTTAAGAAGAGCCTTAAAACCCATCTCTTCAGGAAAGCTTATGGCCTCCCAGAGTAATCTCTACCCTACATACCTGTCTCCTGCTCTCTCCTATGGGACAGTGCTTTGCTCTCTCCTCCAGCTCTGCTTCACTCCTACTTGATATTTCCTGTCCTAAATGTTTCTAATACCACACCTCCTATAGGGTCATCTTTAACCTATTGTTCCTGTAAATTTTCTTGTAATTGTCCTATTTATTGTTACATCCCCCCTCTCAAAATATTGTAAAGCGCTACGGAATCTGTTGGCGCTATATAAATGGCAATAATAATAATATAGTGCCAGGAAAACATACTTGTTTTCCTGGCACTATAGTACCCTCAGGGTCCGCCTCCCGCCCGTCTCTGGGGAGAGGAAAGGGTTAAAATTTACCTTTTTTCCAGCACCGGGCGGGGAGCTCTCCGCCTCTTCTCCTCTTCTTCACTGAAACTGCTATGTTTATTTTAAAAAAAAAAAAAAGGGTTAATCCTAGAGGGACCTGGCACCCAGACCACTTCATTAAGCTGAAGTGGTCTGGGTGCCTAGAGTGGTCATTTAACAATATAAATAAAAATCTGTTTGTTATATAGGACTGAAGAATAATATATTGTTGATATTAATTTAATATCAATATACAATCTTCAGTTCTATGTAACAAAATCAGATGTAACTTTTTTTTTTTTTTTACGAGTTATCCAATTAAGTATAGTCCTAGAAAACTATTATATGCAAAACCGTAAGAGCTAGGTAAATTACATACATTTCATTGGTAAGCTTTAACAATGATCTGTCTGATTACATTTCCAACTCCATTAAAGTCTATATGAAGTTGGAAATATAATCAGACAATACCATCACTGTATGAAGGATATAATTATAATACTATCACTGTATTAACAATATAATTATCACTGTATGAAGGATATAATGTGTCAGAGTGCTAAGCTGAAGCACTAAACCAATGAGCCAACTGTGCATGGCAGGGCTTAGCTCAGTAGGGCTAACGGAAGCTTCTTGCAGGGGCTTTTAGCTTCATAAGTTGTTTGATTACATATCCTGGGAGGATGCATGAAAACCACCACAGCGGGGTGGGCTGTAATAGTTATGGTGCTTAAAGTTTTCCTTTAATCATTGCATTGACATTTCTCTGGAAGTGACAGTTCCACTTTAAAAGTGTAGTTGTTGTGGTGCTTGGAAGTATTCTTTTAATTGCATACTCATTGCACACTCCCTAGATACGCAGTCTTGTAAAAACTGTTAAGCTGTCAATCAGTTTTTGTAGCTATAGTAAAAAGTGTTTGCATTATTTGTATAGACTGAGTAACAGTAACTAGAAGCCATGCCTGGTGAAGAAGTCTATTGAATACTCTGTACTTTCATCATACATAATTTGATTGATAGTTTATTACCAATGCATATTTCTAAGCTACCCATCTTCAATCCTCAAAGGCTATGCATCCACAAGAGAAAGTATAACAAAAAAAAAGCTATGATTGGACACCACTTTCAAGGGAACATTCCAAGCACCCTAACCTCTAGAGCGCTGTAGCGGTTATGGTGCTAGGAGTGCCTCCTCCCCAAATTTAAGTAGTCAAACAGTTTGCTAATGTTTTGACACCTTACCATTGGTCCATTTGGCACCAGACACCTAAATGCAGCAGAGCAGGGTTTAGCTCGGGGCTCCAGACATGTTTCTCCGGCTTTGCTCCGGGCTACATTCCTCCATTTCCAGCATGCTGTCCGCCAGCGGCATTCCGCACTCACCCCGGGAGATCCCGCCAGCTGCTTCAAGGAAACATCCCGAGATGTCGAGCCAACTCTGAGAACAGGACAGAGATCATTTTGAAACATTGCGATAACTTGAGCTCTTCCCAAGAACAAGACGGAGGAGAGCTCACTCGTGGCCTGAAAAATTGCGAGGTCGCGCAAGACGATGGGCTGTGCCAGGATATCTTCCACGTGTCCCGTCACTTATAGCAACAGCGCTCCGAGCAGAGGCTGTCATACTGTGACACCGATACAGGAGGGACACATCACTGACAGCGATAATCATAGAGAGCACTGTTGAGGAGCTCGATGAGCTACTAGCAATGGGAGGAGAAAGGAATGGGCCAGGGGCATGCAGATTTTACCCTTTATTGGCCGAAATGGGATAGGCCCATTTTCGCAGCTGAAATTTTGGTGCATCCCTAATATTAAGCTGTAATAATGAAGAATCCAACCCATTACAAGCTATGGAAGTGCATGATATCCCTACAAAAGTTCTCCAGTATTTTGATCAGGAGCACTTAAATGCTTGTTTTGATACACAACTTGGTAAAATTAAAAATGAGCTTCATATCACACAGATGAATGCAAAGAGTAACTGTCGAAACTTAAAACTAAAATTCAATGTTTAGAAGAAAAGTTGGAAAGCTCAGCCTTACAGTATCATTCACAAGAGGACAAAACTTCCAATTAAACTCGACGATTTCTGAAGAAAGATTTTGGCGAAATAATATACGCTGTGGCGGAACTACAGAGTTCGCAGGGGCCGCAGCTGCGACAGGGCCCGTCACTCCATGGGGCCCGGCCACCATGCAGACCCCTGCGACCACAATGGCTTTAACTGCCGGGGCCGCATTGAATGTTATAAGGGCCACCTGATGGCAATATATTTCCAGGGGCCCCGGCCAACGCTGCTGCGCTTTAACAGCGCTACCGGGCCCCCTGAGAAGACATCAGAGATGGAAGGAAGTAACTGCCCCGGTAGTTTACACCAGGAGTCGTGCGGGAGGAAGAAGGAGAGGAGGGAGTCGGAGTGGAAACTGGCAACTGGACCACAGGTATAGTCACCCTCCTGCACCTAAAAGGTAAGAAACAGAAGGGTGACTAAACCATTTTGTGTGTGTCTGTATGAATGTTTCTCTATATGTGTCAGTGGTCCCAGAACTCACTCTACCCAGGGTATACATTTGTGAGTATATATACCTAATGAGAACAGACCACGCAGCTCGTTTTATTTTAATGAGCCTGTAAAAAAAAAAAAATGGCCCAAGTAATACAGCTTTGAGGAGTATCAGGTCCTTGAAATTGAGATAGATGAAGGGCACCAGCTCTTAACTTTAAAACAAATATTTATTGCACAAAAGATTAAAAGCTTGCATACAAAGTGTCTCTTATTCACAGTTCCATCAGTCCCAAAAAAAGCACAGCGCATTTCAACGCTTAAATCAGCATCTTCCTCAGGTGCATAGTTATTGCCTGTGTAATCCTGGTTTTTAAATCTTTTCTGGTGCCAAACATTCAAATTAGGAACGTCCCCTTACTGTAATTATCCAATTGGGACCCTTATCCTCCGTTTACCCCACTCATGGCCACCATATTGGTGCTTACGAGGGTGTGTGACGTCACTTCCGGTTCCTCCGTCATGCGTTGCAATGGCAGTATTCTTGCGTTCCACCTTCGGTTTCATTATGCCATGGCTGCATTAATCTCATTCGGTCAGGATTTCTTTTCGTGGAAGGGTCTCCTTCACTGGCATCACTGTTCCCATAAACTCCCTCTTCACTCAACCATTGTTTCAATTCCCACATAATCATCAACATGTATTTTCCCATAAGCTCCCCTATTTTTTTTTTTATTTTTTTTTTTAAATGTATGGTACATCCCTATGTACTATGGACTAAAGACTTTGCACTACTGTGGAGAAAATGCATGTTGATTATGTGGGAATCGAAACAATGGTTGAGTGAAGAGGGAGCTTATGGGAACAGTGATGCCAGTGAAGGAGACCCTTCCACTAAAAGAAATCCAGACAGAATGAGATTAACGCAGCCGTCGAAATAATCAGAATTTAGCTGAACTAGACACTGCCCTGGATGGTTTGGAGAGACTAGATTTAGTGTTAATGATTGGTTAAATAAATCCGTTAATGGTTTTGCTAATACACCACTAAGTTCTTTTAATAACTTTTGGGTGTGTCACGTCAGGCCTCATTGACTTATTTGTCTTTACTTTTGACTGTTGAAATAGAAACTCTTCCTCTGTAAACTCACATGTAACAAAGCCTGTACTCTCGCTCATATTATCTATACTGAATTTGATAATGTCAAAGATGAAGCATGGTACAAAATTGAATTGGGCCTGACTAAAACTGGCAATATCAATACAGAACTGGGGGAAATATTTTGGCGAACTACAGATCAAACTACAGTGAGATTATCTCATACATTTAAATAATTTATTGGACGCATGGATTAGGATTGATTGTCCTCTCCAAGTTAAATAATTTCAGTTTTATCTCTAACACAACTGATGTATAATATTCCTGATCTTAATCTCGCTAATTGGATTAAATCTGGCTTCACTAAAATTGACAGTTTACTTGAACATAACAAAGTAGGAGTAAGAAGCCCAAAAAATGGGAAGTGGGTGGATTGGCGCTAATCTAAAATGCAACAACCCCTCGTGTCCTTAATCATTAATAAGATACTTAATTAGATCACAAGACAAAATATATAAAAAAGGGTGTGCAAATTATAAGCAAACCACAAGCAAAAAAACTAAGAGTTAAAACCAGTTTATAAAACCACAAAAGCCAACATATTATATTGCTTTAAAATTCCAGATTAGAATCAAAGGAAATGGGTCACTCACAATATCCAGAGCCACATTTAGTAGGCTATGGCTATAAAGATGTTGGTTGATGTACTCCTCATGCAATCTGCCCCACTCCTGGTCCACTCCTTCCTCAGTAATTAGAGTCCTCCACAATAATAGAATTTTAAAAGTAATTTTCTAGAAAATAAAGCATTAAAAAAAAGTGAAAAAGCAAATTTGTATAAAGACTGGTAGTCCAAGCACAATGTGTTTAAACCTTTGTGGTGGTCTTCCTGGTGCATATACTCCTTCACTGCCAGGGACTTTCCTTCTTTGAGTAACGATAATTAGCTTCTTAATGGTGACATTTTCAATTATGTCAGAGTAAAAGGTTATATCCAAAATCACTTGATTTTAAGTAGATCTCCAAAACGCATTTTGCTAGAAAAATTTATCAAAAATGTGAAAATGAAAAGTCGGTGTGCTGGATTGCTGGCTACCTTTGACTGATTAAGGGAGATACATAAGAACACATCTTTTCCATAATAAGGAAGTGGGTGCAAAACCTAAACATTAGAATTAATACTGAAGAATGGGTTGATTTGTTGAAATCAATCGAAAAGAAAGTTTACTTCTTAAATTTATTATACCGTTTTAAATAAATTCAGTTCAGATCCCCATAGAAAAGCAGTTGGGGAAGGTTTAAATGCGCGCCCGCGGCTCTGGATTAAGGTAAGTGGCTGAAGGGGTTTTAACCCTTTCAGCCCAGCGAGGGAGAGGGGGATCTTATATCCTATAGTGCCTGGAAAATGGGTTTGTTTTCCTGGCACTATAGTGCTCCTTTAAGCCTGTCTAATAGCATAGGATTTTAAGAGTGTATTTTTGATTTTTTTACTGCAGGTTTTTTTTGTTGTTTTGTTTTTAACGGACATTTTAATCCCTCTTGGGACTTTTTACATAGCAGGGTTAATCAAACCTCTAGTGGCTGTCTTCCTGACAGCTGCTAGAGGAGCATCTGCGACGCTGGATACGAAATTCGCATCCAGCGTGCAGAGCATCCATAGAAAAGCATTGAGAAATGCTCTCCTGTAGACAGTTTAAATGCGCGCACTCTTCCCGCGCATGCGCATTCCGTTAAACTCGGGAGCTGACGTTGGCGGAGAAGGAGAGGTCACCAGCGCTGAGGAAACCCGTGCTGGATTAAGGTAAGCTGCTGAAGGGGTTTTAACCAAGGATTATATAGTGTCAGGAAAACGGGTTTGTTTTCCTGACACTATAGTGATCCTTTAAAGTACTAAATAGCTTCTTAAATTACACGGTGTCCCATTAATCTAAACAAAAACAAACTATACTTTACATTTTAATCTGCATAGAACACTTTTTTTCTTTTACATTTATAACTCTTAACTTTATTTATTAATTTAGCTCTGGAAAGTGGTCTGTGAAGGTGTCTCCTGCTGAAGGGATCTCATTACAGTTAGATCTGAAGAAAATGGTTCAAAAGAACACTCAGACTGGTTTCCAGAGGCCAATTCGACTGGCTGTGAAGGAGAACGACCAATGTGAGTTTTAAAATGTATCTTTTGTTTTGATTCTTTTTTTTTATTTTTTTTTTTTAAATATATTTGTATTAATTTCCCCCCATCTCATTTAAATCTTCTGCAGTCTTTGTATGGCAGTGGCTGTCTGATAAAGGGGACTGGGCTGCTTATGATGCCAAAACTTGTCTCTCATTGGAGATATCACTTCACTCTGATACTAAGCTGGTGTCTCTTAGATTTGGAAGACAATCCTACACCATGGATTTGGGATGCATGGTTCAAAAGAACACTCAAACGCAAAATGAAAGGCAGATTCAACGTTGCTTATCTGGTATGTGTACAACATTAAAAAGGCAATTTACATTTGAAAGTGCTTGTGAAACATTTCTTAAGCAATTTACATAGAGAAATGCCAAAGCTACCTTGTATGATATTGTTACTTTTGAGCATATGCTTTCAACTATAATTTTAAAAATTTCTAATTGTGTTTGTTCTCTAGTGGCAACAGATACTACAATCAGCCAACAGAATCAGAATGTCAGTAATGGGCCCTTAATCAAGAAGCCCCGCAGAAGCACAGGCAGTGTGAAAAATGAAGTAGAGGAAAGCAAAGGTATCTCTGTTGATGTGTAGTGAACACACACATCAAGCTACACATACTGACAATTTGTAGGGTAATAATTAGAACAGCTTCCTATGAAGAGGCAGCAGTGAAATACTTTCCTCCATTTCTTCATGCACTGGTACATTCACCTTACTTTAAATCCTTTGTGGAGCGATCCATATAATTATTGTAATTTTGATTATGCACATAAAGAATTGACCTATCAAAGAGCTGGATCTTTGATAGGTTTAATATTTGTAACAATTTCAGTAATAGGAAATGCAATGTTTCTGTTTAAACCCTTCTCTACATGTATTTATAGTCATCTGTTTTTACCTACTGTGAGTGTATACGTGTCTAGTGTAATGTTTTTCCTATTTTTAACACAGAACAGGTCCGGACACTTGTACTTAAGGGTAAAGCTCCTGTAGATCCAGAATGCTCCAGCAAACTAGGAAAGGTAAATTGTGTATAAACCTTAGTAATTTTCTGGCTAAACCGTGTGAAAGGAAAAATGACCTTAACTTGTTGGGGCCTGGGATGTATTAACACTGACTGTCTTCATCCATCTAAGTTTATTTACATTCAAGTTGATTAATAATGAATCTGTGAAAGATATTGGGAATAGGTAATAAAGACAACAAATGTATTATTTGTTTGTGTTAAAGGATCCTTGCAGGCCATACTGAAGACTTGCTATCACACGTGCTAAAAACTCATAATTTAGTAATTACCGAAGAATAGTGGATATTAAAAATAAATAATATTGTCACTATTCAGGGAATGATCTGGCAGAAAGTCAATACAATACTCATTAATGTAGCATTGTTAGTTGTATTTGATGTTTTAGAATTGCATTGATTTTCATCAATAGAGGTTCAAATTCAAGTATATATAAAAAAAAAAAAGTCTGTTCTCAGTCCTTCATGACCAGTAAAACCAATAAACAATGAACAAAATGAGCAACCAGTTAGGAAGAGGTGGTCAGGGTCATCTTGATAATATGTATGAAATGCATGGGATAGTTATGAACGGTTTTAAAAATCATTTATTTTCTTGCTCACACAGACCCACAGTTTGTTTTTCTTTAAAACCAGAATTGAGAACAGTTTATTGGATCCCTCTAGTGTTCGAATTTAGAATGTGCTTCAGCACCAGCTTGCATCTTGAACTGTGTACTCCATCTCATTTTGGGGATGAGTCACATGCAGTGGCATTTCAAGCCTGATCTTTGGGTATAATTTTGCAGTTATGTACTACATATCTGGCAAAAAAAAAAAGGTTATTCAAGGGGCCGTAAAAGATTCAGAGGTGAAGAATTAACCAGTAAACTAATAGGCGATCTGTTTAATACCATACCGAGTGGTCCTGAATTAGAAGCATCGGATATTGATAGCGAGTTTAAAGGACCACTATAGTGCCAGGAAAACATACTTGTTTTCCTGGCACTATAGTGCACTGAGGGTGCCCACACCCTCAGGGCCGCCCTCCCGCCGGGCTCTAGGGGGTGGAAGGGGTTAATTTTACCTCTTTCTCCAGCGCCAGGCGGGGGACTCTCCTCCTCCTCGGTTGAACGCGCGCGCATTCAGCCAGTCTATGGGAAAGCATTCTCAATGCTTTCCTATGGACGCTGGCGTCTTCTCACTGTGAAAATCACAGTGAGAAGATGCCTCTAGCGCCTCTCAATGAGACAGCCACTAGAGGATGGATTAACCCTATTATAAACATAGCAGTTTCTCTGAAACGCTTATGTTTATAGAAAAAGGGTTAAACCTAGCTGGACCTGGCACCCAGACCACTTCATTAAGCTGAAGTGGTCTGGGTGCCTATAGTGGTCCTTTAAGGAAGTAGGGCTCAAAACGCAGCCTTCTGCTGATCATTCTGACAATGATGAAAATGAATGTGCATATGTTGATCATAGTGATGATCATAATGATGATTTAAAAAAAAGAAACTGTTTTGTGGGTGCAAGAGGTGCTTTCACATGAATATAAAGGAATTTTCACAGCAATCTGGGCCAAATATAAATTTTGAGACAAAAAATCTTACTGAAATATTTAGCTGTTTATGTGGCAATGATCTTATAGAGAGCATAGTCTATCAGGCTAATCTCAATGCTACCCAGAAGCTTGGAGATTCCACAGCTTTCAAGCCAACATATATGGAAGAAATTAAACCGTTTATTTTGCCATCAGTCTTATGGGAATAAAGCAATATCCATCATATAGGGACTAATGTTTTTTTCAGACCCGGCTCTCAGAGCATTATATATTTCTTCAATTATGTGTCAAAATAAATTTTCGTGGCTGCTTGATCACCTGCACTTAAATAACAATAATGAACAGCCCAAGGCTGGAGAGAGAGGCTACGACACATCAATTGTACAAAGTCCATCCGTTGTTGAAACATATGAGTAGAACATTTAGTAAATGCTACAAACCCACAGAGAAGCTAACTATTGGTGAATATATGATTAGATTTAAAGGGCATTCATGTGTCAAGCAGTTTCTGCCTAAGAAATCCATAAAACGTGGATACAAAGTTTAGGTTCTCACTAATGATAATGGGTATGGTTTTGTTTTTTTTATTTGAAATTTACATAGGAAAAACTGGACAAATTCCAGAGTAGCCAAAACACTAACTTCAGATCTAACTGGAAAATACCATAAAGTGTTCTTTGACACTTATTTTACATCAGCACCCCTCATGCTCGATCTAAGGCAACATGAGATATATATATATATATATATATATATATATATATATGTGTATATGCTTGTGGCACTGTAAGGAAGAGAAGAGTTGGAATTCCAGACTTTGATGAAGAGAAGGGAATGTCACTTGAAGCGTTCCAGTGCAGTAGTCAAGGCATTGTTGCAATGCTTTGTATGGACCGGAAGGAAATTTCTTCCTTTCCAACTTCCATTACGTCACAAACATATCTACCACAACACGGGAGAACAAAGATGGCTCTCAAGTTGAAATTAAATGTCCAGCTATTGTCAAAGATTACATTGCGAACATGGGATTAGTGGACAAAGCTGAACTGTTGAAATCAATCTATGAGATTGATACAGTAAGAAATGGTGGCATAGGTTTTTGTTACATTTGTAAATGCATTCATTATTCATAAAACTTGTGATGGGGGAAACAACTACTCTAAGAGAGTTTCGACTGTCTGAAATTGCTGGCCTAGTTGGGGCATCCTCCTCCTCAACACCTATTCGTAAGAGGCCGCAAACAACAAAGCAGGTTTAAACCCTATGTAGCTCCAGAGATACGTACGACAAAGCAGCTCATATGCCGGAAAAGGGGCAATCTCAGAGATGTGTACACTGCAGCACCCTTAAGGTACCACATCAGATCAGATCATTCTGCAAAACATGCAATGTGGGACTTTGCATAACAAAAACAAAGAACTGCATAGAAACTATGACATGTATATTTTTGCAGTTTTATCATAATGAAACCACCAGAAATATGTAACTATAATAAAACCGTTTACATTAGTGTTTTTCATGTCTTTATATAACAGTAAACATTCTTGTATCCTTCATTGGTTTGTGTAATTTTTGTTTTGGAGTGCTGGTGATACAAATAATATTTATTACAGGGCCTTTATAATACACTTTTTTTCTGCTTGTCTTCCTGAAATGTCAGAACTTCCTTGTGTATTTATATTTAAAATCCAATAATGAGAATTTTGTCTGTAAACTTGTTTGTTTTCCCTTTTCTAGGCACATGTATACTGCGAGGGCGAAGATGTATATGATGTGATGTTAAACCAGGTGAGAACATAACTTTGTCCGCTTTTAGTAATACTAGAGTTACTCATTCCTCATTTCCTTTTACAGTATTATACACATTCCCTGTCCACTCAAATGCTTGTTAATTTTGTAACTATGGATGTCCATTTTTTTTTTTTTTACATAGAGCAAAGGTGTGATTATGTTATAGTCACTCAAAGATACACACAATAAGTAATGTACACAAAATTGGAATTTGCATTTAAAAAAAAGAAGAAAAAGGGTATAACAAAATAAGAGGCTTCTTTGCAAACCTAGAGTCCTTGTCCAATAAGAGGATTTTATGAGGTTGGTTCTATCAAGCGCGACAGAGTTCAACATGAAAATAAAAGTGCCTTGCCATTTTTAGAATTGTCAAACACACAATCAAATGAAAAATGGTAGTGTAATTTTATAGTGACTCTTGGGATTTCTTGGACGTAGTAACTGCAGCTTCAGCCAATCTACAAAATTTATACACAGTGGTGACAGAAGGGAATACAAGAATAGTGTTTACTCTCTGTAAACAAACATTAACACATGGATCAAATCAGCTTACTTCTCCCCTTAACAACGTTAGGACGTTCCATGACATCATAACAATTCTAAGCTTTGACGCCATTAGGACAGGATGGAACATCCTTATGTTTTGGTACAAGCAAGATTAACTCATGGGAGATCTCCCTCACATGCTGCAGTCACTTAGTACAAAGCACACTGCATTGTGTGAGCTGAGAAATTCCTCTGTTAAAATTACTGCTGAAATCTGCAAAGGGAATCCCTATGAGTTGGGGATAAATTTAGGGTTAGTGTATCGGGTAAGGTTTAATGCTGGGTTAGGGATAATTTTGACAGTTAGTTTAGGTGTATGGTAAGAGTTAGTGTAAGCATAGGGGTAGGATTACCATTAACTACCAAAAATTAGTTTAGATCTTAGACAAATGAGCCATTTAACAATCAGGACTGATATGTGAATCTATTTTGACATCTTTTTCTTTAAAGGGTTATTCCAACCCTTTTTAAATCGATCTTTTTATATTAATTTTTAATGCTTTATGGGACATTACTAATATTTCCCCAGCCCCACCTGGCCCCCAAAAATCCCTGTTGCAAGTCTTAAAGGGCCACTCTAGGCACCCAGACCACTTCAGCTAAATGAAGTGGTCTGGGTGCCTGGTCCAGCTAGGGCTAACCCATTTTTTTTATAAGAAACTGCTATGTTTATAAATAGGTTAATCCAGCCTCTAAAGCCTCTAGTGGCTGTCTCATTGACAGCCGCTAGAGGCGTTTGCGTGCTTCTCACTGTGAAAATCACAGTGAGAAGACGCAAGCATCCATAGGAAAGCATTATGAATGCCTTCTTATGAGACTGGCTGAATGCGCACGCAGCTCCTGCAGCGCATGCGCATTCAGCCGAAGAGGAGGAGAGGAAGAGGAGATCTCCCCGCCCGGCGCTGGAGAAAGGTAAGATTTTAACCCCTGCCTCTCCCCAGAGCCCAGCAGGAGGGGGTCCCTGAGGGTGGGGGCACCCTCAGAGCACTATAGTGCCAGGAAAACAAGTATGTTTTCTGGCACTAGAGTGGTCCTTTAAAACCTACTTGTAATCCATGCCCGGTCCTTACATCAGTTCTGCAATCACAGGCTGATGTCCCCGTTAAATGCGTAGTAATTCACAGACGGAGGATACCGCACTCACACTAAGGAATCCAGGTACTTATCAAGGTCAGGGTTGGTAAAATCCAGTTTAGTAGATAATATAAATTAGGTCCAGGCACTCCAGATTGCTGCAGGGTTTATTGTAACAAAAACTACAAAGTTTCGGCCTACACAGAGACCTTAATCAAGCTTGATAAATGGAAAATTCTCATATACGTGTCTACATGCCTGCAAACCCTAACAAATGGAGGTTTGTGATATGGGCAAATATGCTTTATTGATGATTTTGACATATTACAGAAAATACACGTGCAGAAAATACAGAAAAAGAGAAATCTGATTTTGCTGTTGATCCAATAAATGCAGTTTTTTATCGCTTCCATTTTACAACAAATTAGAAAAATTAATTTCTTCTTGACCTCAGAATGGCAGTCAGATCTTTCTTTGATCAAGAAGCTGTCACTCAATAATTTGTTATATCCCTGAATAATGTGTTCTTGCAAGTATTCATCTGATTGCTGTTTAAACATCTGTATAAACTCTGATAAAACCACCTCTTCAGGCAGATAATTCCACATACCTATTGTTCTGACTGTAAAAAGCACTTCTTTTTGCCTTCGGCTAAATCTCCTTTCGTCCAGTCTAAATGTGTGACCTCATGTACTTTGTATAGTCCTGCTTATGAATAGACAATGGTTTGTATGGTATCTCCATTTTTCCTCTCCCAGCAACTTCCAGGCCTCACTTCACTCACCCAGAACCAACAGTACTGAGTCTCTCAATGTTTTCCTCAGCACCATTCATTCACCATTAATGACTTTATTTTTAAATCAATTGGGGTGAACGTGCCCTCGCCACGAGCTCCTGGAGGAGCCCGCTTGCTAGCCTCCTGCCTCAGGACTATGGGCCATGCAGAAACGCTATTGAAAGACTGAGTTTGTGGAATTCCCTTGGACTGTTCAGGAACCAAACCAACCCACGAACTGCGGACCACCTCTGAGCTTATTGACCCTTGTTAACCTTTCCTGACAGTTCTATCAGTGTAGGTTCTAATTGTGCGGGTGGGTGGGTGGCTGCCGTTCATATGCACGAACACATGGGAACTGTGTGGTGGCCATCTTGTTCGCAGGAATGCAGGCAGCAGTGTTTGGACGTCAGATTGCTTGGAACTAAAATCGGACACTGAAACTCCCGAACACCGCTGAACTTGGACGAACACCTTCCCGCACACGTCAGGAGAGCACCATTCGGTAGGTTTGTTTGTATAGTTCATATGAACAAATGCTACCAAGAAGCCAGAGTGTGCATTCGGTATGTCTTTCACATTGAACACCCGAAGTTGACCGACCAAAAGCACAAAACGCCATGGAACTGTTTTGGGCATAGGATCATGTGTGTGGCCGGTCAAAACTTCCACACTGTGGCGTTTCGGCTCTGTTCGTGGGATCTGAGTGATTTTCAGATATATTGGGCGCTCAAATCCAGGCTATCTGGATATGTATAGACAGTGGGGGTTCCTATGTGGGAAATATGTGTTATTATTGTTAATCGATGGGATTGTGAAAATATTAGGTGTAGCTTTATATATTTGTGTTTATATAATTTTTATTTCTTTCTATTTTATTAAATATTTCTTCTGTATGTATGATTGGTGATGCCCATTGTGGAGACTGTCTGCTATGTTAAAAGGTTTACTATCCTTTATTCATTATGTATCTCGTTATTCTGTAATGTAATTGAAGTTACAGATTATCGCGCATTGGGGGGTCACCGACATCTTTGGTATTACGTTAGTTCGCTAGCTTTCAGATTATCTTCTGGACGTGTGCGGATTGATGTTGCGGCGGGTGCATGGTCTTGCGCATGAGCATTTGGTCCGCTGAATGCGCATGTCTGTGTTTTTTTTAATTTTTATAGAGATTGAGATGTCATTGAGCGGACGTTTTCTCATGCATTGAACGTCATGACGCTGACGTTACGCACATAGCGGAAAATTAGTCCTTTGGTAATTTTCTGGATCTCTTCAGTTTTCAAATTATTCTCAATCTATTTATTTAATTTATTTATCCAATTATTAACTTATTGGTTTTGTAAGTTGTGGGACAGCTGACAGCCTCTATGTTTGAGTAAGTTACATTTGAGTATATATACTTAGATTTCTTTGACCATGTTCATTATGTTAATCACTTGTATTCCTATAAATTGGTATATGTATATGCATTTAAATTCTTGACAAAAACCGTTCAGGTCGAAACGTTGTGATTGGCGGTGGGTTTATTAAATTGCCCTCGTTGAATCCTTGAGTGCCTGGACTTTCTTTTTTGGCTTCATACAGTATTCGCTAATAGTCGGGCAAGTCCACCATATGTGCCGAGGTGTGCCATCGAGATGTGAGCATCTTCATCATGATGCAGAGGTGTTGGAGAATATTTTATGTATCTTTGGTGTGAGGTGCCACCTGGAGATTCTTTTAAAGTTTCCTTCCTCGGTATATGTACTGATGCAGGTCTTGTGAATGTTGAGGAATATTTGTTTCCAGTCATTTTGTGTCAGTGTAAGGCTCATTTTCCCATGAGTTAGTGTGCTTGGGAAGGGAGGGAAAGACTTCCTGCAAAAGTATTTTGTACATGAGCGATTGATGTTTTGTTTTTATGTTGTTAAGGCACAGTGGTTTTCGAATACCGTTAATTGTCTATTTCCTGCGTGGATATCACGATTGGTCGAGATAAAGTCAGTAAGCTGAGAGTGTCTTAATCGTTGTAGTGTTGACGGTGCTGTGTCTGTCTCCAGGTCGCTGATGCCCTGACCTCTTAATATTGCATGTAGTGGAAGGTAGTGAGAGGAATGGTAGGATGCAAAGGATGATGGGTTAAGGCCTGGTGTGAATTGTGTGTCATGTGTAAGTGTGTATAGGGGTGAGGGGTCCAGGGATTTAATTTGCATACCTCTAATTCGTGCCCAAGTCTTTAGGGGTCGGTGTTATTGTAGGATGTGTGGAGTGTGAAGGTTTAAGGGATAGTTTCCCAACTGATTGTCATGGAGTAGTAAACAGTGGGTGCGAGAATGCGGCTTTCTCGAGGAGGACCCAGTGTTTGCAGTTGTTGGGGATTGACCATTCGTATATTCTAGTGAGCATAACTGCTTTATGGTAAAATTCGATGTCTGCTAATCCTAGTCCCCCTTGATGTTTGTGGGTCGTTAGGGTTTTGAACGGGAGTCTTGGGTGGTTGTGTGACCAGAAGTAGCGTGTATATGTTTCTTGATTTCTACGAAGAATCATGTGGGGATAGTTTGAAGTAGGTATAGGATTTTAGGTAGCACCGTCATCTTTATTATGTTTATTTGGCATAACCAGCCAAATTGTGGTTTATGCCATTTGGTTAGGTCTTGAGAGATCGCGTGTAAGAGAGGCAAGAAGTTTAGTTCATAGAGTTTGGTAATCTGTGTAGGTAAGTGTATGCCAAGGTATTTGACAGTCTTGGGTGCCCATATGAAGGGGAAAGTGCTTTGTAGGGTTTTCTTGGTGGATTCAGTAATCATCAACGGGAGGATTTCACTTTTAGTAAAGTTAACCTTAAAGTTAGAAACTTGGTGGTATAGGGATATTTGCTCTAGGATTTTTGGCATGGATGTAAGCGGTTGTGTGAGTGTAAATAGAAGATCGGGAGAAAATGCTGCCACCTTGTACTCTTTGCCTTGCACCGTAATACCTTGAATATCGGGGTTGTCTCTGATGCCCTGGAGGAACGGAGCCATGATCAGGATGAATAGTAGTGGTGACAGTGGGCACCCCTGTCCCGTGCCATTCGTGATTGGGAGGGTTTCATATAATTGGCCATTGATTCTGATCCGCGCTCTCGGTTGGGAGTATATGGATTGTATCCAGGTTGTGCCAGAGCCCCATGGCTTTGAGGGTCGTGAATAATAGGGAACCAGTCCACCCTGTCAAATACTTTTTCTGCATCAATTGATAACAGTAGACTCTGGTCGTTTGATTGTTGTGCCATGTACATAAGGTTCAATAATATGGTGGTGTTATTTTTGGCCTGTCGTCCAGACACGACGCCCGTCTGATCAGGGTGGACTAGTCCCTGTAGGAGGGGCATAGTCTGGTGTGATAGAATTTATCTTCTAACCCACCTCTGTAATTTGCCATAAATTCATTCCATATATGTGGGTCTAGAGTGCTTTCTGAGGGCATGCCAGCTTTCTTAAGTAACTTCTTAACATTCTTAATTGCTCCTTGTCCTTTGTGATGCTTGACAATAGTCAAAGCCGTAAATCCTCCTTGGGTACTTTCAGAGCTACCCATCTTAAAACTTGTAAGGGTTAATTACTTCCTTACACAAGACAAACTGTACAAAAACAGTGTATTTACACTTAGGACCACTGCAGTGGAATTTTCACAGTTTTGACTTCTAAACACAGATCAGGAGATCTGCCCTTGGAGGATTCTAACTCAAATTATAAAACAAATGACAACGCAAACAATAAAAATAACTTTCAACCCACAGTTATATTCCACTATCTCAAGATTCATTTCACAAGACAACACAACCTCCACCTGAATATAACCATAATACCACAGAAAACAAGTTCTTTAGATCAGACGTTAAGTCGTTCTTTACCCAGACAGACTAGTAGGACGTGGATCTGAGAGCGAAATTGATAAAGGTAGAAAAAAAGTTTTTCTTACCTTCCTGTACTGCTGATTTCACTGTCAAAGGGACGTCCACCTGTACGCTAGTGTCCGAGTCTCTCGACCGTCAGATCCCGGGGTCACGGCACCAAATTGTTGTGAATCAGAAATGTTGATCTTTGTTATATTCAGAGAAAGCCCAAATTGTTGTTATAAGTGCACTTGGAGAATCGAGAATTAGACACCAGACACCTGTTGGTATTCAAAATAAGCACTTACTTTTTAATGTATAAAACCCAGCTGATGAATAAAACGTCAGAGGCTTATTTTGAATACCAACAGATGTCTGGTGTCTAATTCTCACTTCTCCAAGTGCACTTGTAACAACAATTTGGGCATCCTCTGAAAATAACAAAGATCAACATTTCTGATCCACAACAATTATCTTGGCAAAGAATTTAAGGTCGTTATTAATAAGTGAAATGGGACGGTAGCTACCGCATAGGGTTGCATCCTTGCTTGGTTTAGAGATCAGGGTGATGTGGGCTTCTAGGGCTGCTTCTTTTAGTTTCTGGGATGCGATGAGTGAGTTAAATGCATCTATAAATGGGGTCGAGAGTAATTTCAAAAAAGTTTTGTAATATTTGGCTGTGAAACCATCTGGACCAGGGTTTTTGCCTAGCAGAGAGGTTTTTACTGCAGATAGAAATTCCTTTATCTGTATTGGTGCATCCATGTGTTGCATAAGGTTTTTGGGTATTGTTTATGAAAATAAGTAAAATACAGTAATGGAATAAAAGAATAATGCAATGTTGCTATAATCACCAATAACAACGTTATGACGTCTGAAATGGAAAAATCAATCAATAAATTGATTATTTCTTTGTGTATCTGCCCCTGGCCAAATTAATGAAACAATGCGTGCACTCTCCCTGAAGTAATTCACACCAGACACAGGTTCCAGGTTGTTGAATAACTTGAGGAATGTTTATTCAGAGGGGACGGCAGGTCCCTTTTAAAGCAAAATTACATCATAAGCATTGTCAGAGATAACATGGAATAATACATCAATAATTGGTTAAGTGTTAAGTGGTCTTCTTAATGCTCTGCCTACTAAGGGTGATGTCACTAGAACCATGAGGGTCTCCCACGGATTCCAGCGCCATCTTGTTACACGAGGTAGTTAGTCGGTGTTATAGGGAGGGAGGGGTTAGAAGCTTCTAGCAGCCATTTTGTCTAAGCATGCGTGTATAGCTTATATACTGACTTTAGTGAGATGAGTAAATAGACATTTTACTAACTAGAAAATATATCAATACCTTATTTCCACAACAACGTCAGACTTAACGACATTACGTTGAGTGCCGGAATATGAAAGACGAAAATGACGTCATGCGACCTTACGAACCCGGAAGTGAAATTAAAATACAAGTGGTAAAGACCGAACCCGGATATAAAAAGAAGACTTGAACAAACCGGGACTATGCACTTGATAAAGACTCATTCTAGAGTAGAAACACGTTGTGCTATTTATTTTGTTTTATTCATATTGATTTTATTTGCTGTTATATTTTCTGCACTGTGTGCCCAAATAAAGAGCTTTGCACTTACTAAAGTTTGGAAGCTACGTTCTTGGGGGAGAGCAGATCCAGTGAGCAGCAATCTGGAGGTTCCATATATTGAAGAGCCTGTAAAGTCTGAGCCTGGTAGTAATAGGCTCAGCAACATGTGAGTTTGATCAATTGGTACTTTTAAATGCTGTATCCTGCAACACATTACGCTATGATTTGTACTGGATGTTTTATTACAGATTTTTAACCGCTATTATTTACCATTCAAGATCCTACAGTGCTAGTATTTTACCATTTTTTTGTGTTTGCGCTCTCACCTAACTTTATTACTATTTTTTGGTTATTGTTTGTTTTTGTTTGCGGGGGGGCTAGATATTCTATTTCCGCATGTGTTGGTAGAGTTGTGCGTATGTTGTAGAGCTCAGAATAAAACTCTTGGAATGCCTTGAGAATGTCCAGGAGTTTATGGGACATTTCCTCTGTGTGTGTTTTTATTTTGGATATAAATGTGGACTGACGTACTTCTTTAAGTGCGTTTGCCAATAGGCGTCCACATTTGCCTCCTTTAGAGTAATATGAGTGTTTATTAAATAGCATTTGACGTTTTACTTGGGTATTAAGGAGTTGCTGTAAATCAGATCTCTTTTTAGTCAGTTGTTTGTATAAGTCTAATGCGTTACTGCATTTGTGTGTATTTTCTAGTGTTCTTATTTCCATTATGAGTGAATTTGCTTGTTCCATATGGTGTTTCTTGAGCTTTGAGGCCAGTGCTTGAGTTGTCCTCGGATCACACATTTATGGGCTTCCCATATTAGTGTGGGTTATGGTAGGGGGTGTTGCGTTTACATCAAAATATTAGTTGATCGCCGTATGAATGGATTTAATAGCTTTATCTTTGTTTAGTAGTAGATCGTTTAGCTTCCATTGGAAGGAGTGGGATGGTAGGTTATGGATTTGTATGGTAAGAGACAGGGGCGAATGATCTGACCATGTGATTGGTCCGTATTCGCATGATCAAATGAGATGGAGGTGTTTGTGTTGGATAAAGATCATATCTACCCTGGAGTATGATTTTGTTGTGTGTGAATAAAGAGAGTAGTCACAGTCCTGGGGGTGTGTGGTTTTCCATATATCTAGAAGTGAATGATTCTCCTTCTGGCAGTGGATTGGTATCTGGGGGCTGTGGAAGTTGTGTCTATGTGCATGTCTAAGGATATGTTGAAGTCACCCCCATAAGGAGGATACCTTCCGTGAAGTTCTTCACTATGCATAGGTATTTTTTAGTGTTTTACCTTGTATTCTATTGGGCATATAGACGTCGATCAATGTGATCATGTTTTGTCCCACCTGTCCTTTGACCATTATCAATCGGCCAGAATCATTGGATTTGTGTGCTTTGTACACAAATGGGACCATAGCCCCAATCAATATGGCCACCCCCCCGTGCCTTGGAGTTGGTGTAGTTGCTGAAGTATCCAGTAGGGTAGTGTTTGTTTCAAAGTGTGAGTGGCGCATCTGCTTTGAAGTGAGTTTCTTAAAGGAACGCAATATCTGCTTTTAAAGTGTGCAGTTCAAGCAATACTTTTTAGTGCAGGGTATGAGCAATCGGTCTGTGCAACCAGACCAAAGGGTAATGCAAAACGTTAACTATGTACTATATCAGAGCAAAAAAAACAAGCCAAAAAAAATCACAATCTAAGCTTAATTTAACGATGCAATAATATCACTGACACATTTAACATGCTTTTCTTATGTGTCCCAAGACATAATAACCGGGCATTCGTTCGGATGTTTGAACTGTTCTGGGGGGTAATGAGAGTTCAATTTGGCCTGTCAGTAGTTGTACCGGTAACAGGGCTTTCTGAATCAGTCTCTTGTGGGAGAGAGTCCGTGATTAAGTGAGTAGGTCAGAGATTTATATGTGCACCTGTGTTGTTGCAGTTTGTAGGTGCTACTGTCCTGAAGGTGGTAGTGGGGAGGTCATGCCAAGGAGTGTTTGTTCATCAGTCTTGTAGGCAATGTATGCTCCTTGTGTAGGAGCGTTGTTGATATTACAGTCCAGGTGAGATAAGGAGGATTGTCTATGACCAGTGGGGTCGTGGGATTTGTGTATGGTTGGACCTCTCGGCGTGTTCAGGGCTTGCTAGGCTTCCGAGGGGTCCTTCCTCCTCTTCTTTGCCGGGGTCTGCCCTCTCTGCCTTTGTTGGAATTGTAGAGGCAGTTCGGCCTGATGTAGGCCGTACCAGTTGGAAACTTGCACATCTGGAAGGTCCGAAGCTTGCGTGAATATCCGGGTGTCCAGTACAGAGGGGGGAAAACAATGGCATTTTTACATGCATGTTGCATTTTTGCTGAGTATTTCTTACACTTGATATGTACCACTATTATAAAAAAAAAAAAAAAAAAATTATGCTCAGTTACATCTTCTGAGTAAAAATACAGTAAATATGCCCAATGTATGACCTAGACATTCTTTTGTGAAGTTACAGTGCTGTAATAGAGACGTGACAAGTTCAGGTTTTTAAGTGTGAATTTTCATGGACGGTTTTGATGTGTACGTGTCCCACTTTGGAGCACTTGAGCAGGCTACATATTCCAACTACACCATAAAGGCATTCCATTTCTTAAAGACATCCCAGGGTATTTCAAAAAACATATTTTTTCTAGCGTGGGATACTTTTTCCTCTAGCTTGTACCAAGTATAGTGGTGCCTTTTTGACACACAGAGTGAGTTTGCACAGTATATTTTGCAAACTTTGTGTGCTACGACTGTATAATACTTCATAAGTTGCTCAGCTATGTCGGTTGAGTACAGCAATACCCCCGTATGTATCTTTGCCAGGTATATGTGGACATTGAATGGGGCACATTTGAGACACAGCCATTACAGGTTTTTTTTTAAACTTTGAATTTTTACGCTGTGTCGATGTCCCATTTTAGAGTATTTTAGCAGGCTATATAATCCAACTACACCATAAAGGCATACCATTTCTTAAAGACATCCCAGGGTATTTCAAAAGGCATATTTTGAACTTTAGCGTGGGATAATTTTTCCGCTAGCTTGTACCAAGTGTAGTGGTAATAAGCATTACCCCCGTATGTATCTTTGTCAGGTATATGTGGATGTTGAAGGGGCCAATTTGAGACGCAGCCATTCAGTTTTTTTCTAACTTTAAAGTTTTACGCTGTGTCCATATTCCATTTTGGAGTAGATTAGCTGGCTGGTTATTCAAACTTCCCCACGAACACATTATTTATTAAAGAATACACCACGGTATAATTCAAAAAGCATATTTTGAAACTCAGCATGGGATCATTTTTTCGCTAGTATGTTCCAAGTGTAGTGCTAATGAGCATTTTTTTAATGTATTTTTTAAATGTTTTAAACTTTCTTAACTTTTTTACACTTTTAAAAAATTTTATAAACTTTTTTTTTTTTACCGTTAACCCCTAACTAGCAGTAAGCAGCACTAACAGTAAATTCCCCACTTTCCCATAACTCCCAACCACCCCAGCTAGCAAAATATATCATTTAAAAATATTTAAATTAATTAATGAAATAATGAAACCTCTGAGGGTTAAAAATATTAAATAAAAGTTAATCCTCAGGGGTTAAAAAAAAAATTCGATCACAGTATAATACTGTGAAAAATATTAAATAAAAGTTAACCCTGAGGGTTAAAGAAAAAAAAGTATCCTCAAAGTAAAAAAAAAATCAGATGAGCGTAAAATGAAGCCCCTGCCAATTTATCACTGTAGTCAGTGATCATTTGGCAGGTAAGGGGTTAATTTTATTAAAGCAGGGGATGGGATTTAACTTATTTTTTTTTATTTTTTTACACAAGATGAAGAGGATCACTGCTGTTCTGTCTCCCTGCACTTCACTGACCGCGGAAGAGCAGGGAGGCGGATCGTGAGTCCCTGCAGCACATGTGCTTGCTCTGACAGCCTGATCGGGTGCTCCCGGTCTGCCTCTAATACAGAGGCAGACCGGGTGAGCGTTAACCGCGCGATCTGGGGTTAACTTTTGTAATTGACGGAAATTTTCCATCAAGGGTCTTTAACGCAAGGACAAGCTTGTGATCTGGGAAATTCCTCTGTTGAGGTCTGCATTAAATCCATAGTCAGCAGAGGGAAATCCTCTGAGTTAGGGGTAGGGTTGGTGTATAGTATCTCATAGTTAAAAAAGCAAACTGTTCCTTACCTTCCCTCCCCCCTCTGGGCCCGCGGTGCCTCTGTGCAAACCTCTGGGCACAGCGCCGTACTTTGGGACGGTCCTTCAGGCTAGCGATCAGAGAAGCAGCGGCATGGATTGGCACCGCCTGTGTGGGTATCCGCCTACAACCCCCAGAGCGGCCAACCGACGACACAGATGCCAAAGATCAGCAAGGCGGAAACCAGCGCCATGTTCCTCGGGAGCAAGCACATGCTCCCACACACACACCAGACCGGGACCACCTAGCATGCCCGACCAACATACCATACAGAGGCACCAGAGACCCCTGCCCAGCGTACTACAACACTGCACCTAAGGGCTCAAGCTGGAAGCCGTGAAGCTAGACATGCAATCACGACGGGACCGAACCGAGGGGCTCCAGAAGAGAGCAGGGGAGTTTTTCCAATGGGGGCTGCAACGGGGCCCAGCCCGCGGAGACTCTCGCACACCAAGGAGGTCAGGCGCCAAGACAAGGGATAGGGTGAAATCCCACTGAGGTACCACCTGTGCATTTCAGTTACCACCATGCCTTTACTCCGCCGACTGATTTGCACCAACCCTAGCATGGACTGTTCGCGCCACATTACCTACTCGGATGACTACCCTTACAACCCTGAAACTGAACCGCGGAGCATATTGCGATCTTTACCATCACTTTTACGCATTATTCTCTGGGCTGGACTTGGACTATAACCCCCATAACTACCATCTGGGGACCAATACACATGGAAATTGCTTATTCCTAAGTTCCCCACAGGGGCATCTCCTGCAGAAATAACTCATGGTTATATATGTCTCTAACTGTATATATATTTTCCTAGCCTAGTAACCATTGGCACTCTAACTGCCTCCCTACCTAGCCTGTTTACCTAACACTAAATGACCTTGAGCCCTAGTGCAGATCATATGTTGTTTTATGCAGTTTTGTCATAGCTAAACTAGCTGTTGGGGCATTGTAAGCCTGATGTGTTCTATCCTTGCACAAAGAAAATAAAGAATAAAAAAAAACTGTTGTATAGTATATTTTACACTTGGGTAGATTATTGATGCATTACATGCAGTGAAGTCTGGGTAAATACATTGTCCAAACTGACAGCCTTGCTAAAGTAGCCGAAATGCAGGTTTTTAAAAAGATCTTTTACAAATTTAAGGGTGAAGTCTTCGCCAATTTTGAAAAACTTGCACTAAGATTACTTGTTTTTTTTGTTAGTAATGTTTTAAAATGCCATTTTACTATATTTGGAAATCCAAATTCAAAGGTTCCTACCAAAATATTTAATAAAATGTGTGTATCACATATGTGGTACTATTATTATTTGTACTTATATTACAATATAATAAAAGGGGAAAATGTAAAATAAATAAATAAATAAATTAGATAATTACAAAATGTTACAGGATCAATAGGTTAATGAGGACTTTGCTCAAATAAGCTTACAGTCTAGAGGAGGTATATAAGATAAACTTTGTACATTTCTGTCATAATTGTATTGTATTTTATTATAATTTTTTTTTAATTCAGTCCCCTGTATTATTATAATCTGTCACATACATTGCATTTAGTCACTCCATAATCGGTTTATGAGTACTTTTCAGTAGAACAATGCATTTATTTTCATAAACTGTATATCTTGTTGAATAATTCAGAAAATTGACTACATGTGATTTTGGCGGCCATGATTATGGATGGCAATTTCAATTGCCTACAGCCTAGCCTTCTTACAATTCTCAGAACCACTGTTTACTCGAAATTTCTGCATTACTTATGTTTGTAACCTATTAAGTTGTTTACATTTAAAGGATCACTATAGGGTCAGGAACACAAACATGTTGCCCCCCCATCTTGCCCCCCTGGACCCCTCATGCCTCCATAAATATAGCAAAATCTTACTGTGTTCAAGCCAGAAGCTGTAACTCTGCATGCTGTTTGCCTCAAAAAAAAAAAAGACGTCTGCTGACATCATCAGAAGTGGTAGCCTGATCCAGTCACAATGCTTCCCCATAGGATTGGCTGAGACTGACAAAGAGGCAGATCAGGGGCAGAGCCAGCATGATTCAAACACAGCCCTGGCCAATCAGCATCTCCTCATAGAGATGAATTCAATCAATGAATCTCTATGAGGAAAGTTCAGTGTCTGCATGCAGAGGGAGGAGAGACTGAATGTTTTGATGCACTTTAGGCAGCCATGACCCAGGAAGGATCTCAAACAGCCATCTAAGGAGTGGCCAGTGAAGTTATCATTAGGCTGTCATGTAAATGTTACAGTTAAAGTGCAGAAATCAGTTAATGTGCACATTACCTGCAGATTAACTAGGGCGATCAGTTAAAGTGCAGAAAATTATTTTGTTTCTCAGATATTTCTCACATTACCTAGGTAATCTGCACATTACCTACTAGGCACTCGTTAAAGTGCAAAAAAAATAATTCTGTCCTCCATCTCTGAGGGGCTCATGGCTCTGGAGGACACCATGGTGTGCACAGGCTGCTGTTGTGTTCTTGTCTGGACCACGTAGTCGCATACCTCTTAAAACAGTTATCCCAAACTGGTAAGAAACGAGGAGCCCCCACCACCACAAGAGAGCGAGCGCTTCCTGCACATTATGCAGCAACAACCTGAAATGATCCCAGAATATACTCTCCACTGTTCTCAATATCATCATATATTTAAGGACTGTCTAAATCAGTGGTCCATGAGCAGACCTCTCCATGGTCTCATTCTCCTCAATGAGAGAAGTATTTCTCGGACTTACGGAGCAGCATTGTTAGTAGCCAGCCCCCTCTGAGAAGCAACAAGCCATGCGTCTTTGCTTTGAGAATTTGGTGGAGGGCATTGAAAGGAACATGCTCACAAAAAAGAATCGAGACAGGTTCACACAGAATCTTTCTGCCTTCAGACGAGAAGTGAACGACTCTGCAGAGACTGCACTGAAAGGTAGAAACAGGTTCTGCGAGGACGTTTTTGTAATAAATAATTTCCTCTTTACGGAGGGAAAGAAACGAACATTTTGCACTTTAACTATACAGAAGCAGTTAATGTGCACATTACCCTGGTAAAGTGCGGAAAACTCTTGATTCCGCACTTCGGAGCAAATCAGTTAATCTGCAGATTAACTAGGTAATGTGCACATTAACCCCTTAAGGGCAGAGCTTCAAAAGCTTGTCTTTCACTTAATGACAACAGCATTTTTTTTCATTTTTTGCTGTTTACGTTAAACTGCAATTTGCATTTTACTAATTTGTTGCACCAACACATATTATACATCGTTTTTAAAGGACAGAAAGGGCTTTAATTTGATGTAACACACATATATATATAAATGCTTATTTATTATAAAAAAATATAGAAAAATGTAAAAAAAAATGAACATTTTGGTTTTTTTTTTTTACAGTTTTTGCAATAATAATGTGTGCATAATTAGTACAGGTTAAGAAAAGTAATTAAAAATAAATTAATTTAGTTGTTTTGATTTACAGAATATATAATGTGTCTGGGATTTAAAGTTTTTTTTGGTAATTACAGGTCACAAAGCACAAGGAGTAAAATAGACTTTTAATGTGGAGCGATTTTAGAATTTGGTATGTTTGTTTTGTAAGCTTAATAGCCATAAAAGAAAACAAAATTGCCACACAAAAATATATATTTATATAAAGTAGACATCACGGGCTATTTAACTAGGGTTGTTTTGACACTTTCTACGTAGCCATTTCACCGCCAACCTCTGCTAAATATTGGAGTTAAATTGTGGGGGGGGGGGTTGTTTTTTGGCACACAAACTTATAACCAAGAAATTCTCATGTATATTTTGTAAAGTTGGTGTGTGCTATTCCTGTACAAAGTTTTATTTTGTGTTCAGTTACATCTGCTGAGTAAAATGACACACCCATTGTATGTCTTTGGCACTATTTCGTGAAGTTACAGTGCCATACAGGAGACCTATCCTTTTCAGTATTCACAGTAGAATTTTGAGAGATGGATTTGATGAACCTTAGCTTCCATTTGGGGTATTATAACAGTTTGACTGTTCAAAAAACCCCCACAAAGGCCTACCACTTGTAAAAGTAGACACTCCAGGGTATCTCATAAGGTGCATATTGTGCCTTAACATGCCCCTATTTTTTCACCATTATATGCCAAAGTATGTGGTAAAAAATAATTTTGTGCATTTTTTACATATGGATTGCATTTTTGCTGGGCGTTTTGTATATTTCATATGTGCCACTAAGTTCAAACCTCCCAAATTATGCTCAGCTAAGTCTTCTGAGTAAAATGACACCCCCAATGAATGTCTTTGGCACTATTTCGTGAAGCTACAGTGCCATATAGGAGACCAAGCCATATCCGTTTTTACCAAACTTTGAATTTTGACGCTGGGCCTATGTGCAATTTCCAAGCATCTTCGCAGGTTTTAAATTCAAACTACCCCACAAAGGCCTACCATTTCTTAAAGTAGACACCCCAGGGTGTTTCAAAAGGTATATTTTGAACCTTAGCGTAGGATCATTTTTCCGCTAGCTTGTACCAGATGTAGTGGTAATAAGCGTTTTTTCTGCCTTTTTGACATACAAAGTGAGTTTGCACAGTATATTTTGCAAACCTGTGTGCTACGACTGTATAATACTTCATATGTTGCTCAGCTATGTCGGCTGAGTACAGCAATACCCCCGTATGTACCTTTGCCAGGTATGTGTGGACATCAGAGGGGCACATTTGGGACCCATTCCGTTTTTATTTTTTTCAAACTTTGAATTTTTATGCTGTGCCTATGTCCCATTTTAGAGTATTTTACCAGGCTATATAATCCAAATACCCCATAAAGCCATACCATTTCTTAAAGAAGACATCCCAGGGTATTTCAAAAGGCGTATTTTGAACCTTAGCGTGGGATCATTTTTCCGCTAGCTTGTACCAAGTGTAGTGGTAATAAGCATGTTTTCTGCCTTTTTGACATACAAAGTGAGTTTGCGCAGCATATTTTGCAAACCTTATGTGTGCTATGATTGTATAATACTTCATATGTTGCTCAGCTTTGTCGGCTGAGTACAGCAATACCCCCGTATGTACCTTTGCCAGGTATATGTGGATGTTGAAGGGGCGCATTTGAGACGCAGCCATTCAGTTTTTTTTCTACCTTTGAAGTTTTACACTGTGTCCATGTTCCAATTTGGAGTAGTTTAGACGGTTGGTTATTGAAACTTCCCCACAAACACATACTATTTATTAAAGAATACACCCTGGGGTAATTCAAAAGGCATATTTTGAACCTTGGCGTGGGGTATTTTTTTCTCTAGTTTGTTCCAGGTGTAGTGGTAATGAGCGTTTTTAAAATGTATTTTTTAACTTTTTTTTTTTTTTAACTTTTTTGCTTTTAAAAACTAGTTTTTAAACTTTTGTTTTGCTTATTAATTTTTTTTAAACTTTCCTTAACTTTCTTAAAACTTTTTTACAGATTTAACATTTTTCTAAGCTTTTTTTTTTTTACCGTTAACCTCTAACTAGCAGTAAGCAGCACTAACAGTAAATTCCCCATTTTCCCATAACTCCCACCCACCCCAGCTAGCAAAATATATAGTTATAAAATATTTAAATTAATTAAATAAATCGAACCCCTGAGGGTTAAAAAAAGAATTAACCCTCAGGGGTTAAAAAACGATCATAGTAAAATGTAATCCTGCCAATTGATCACTGTAGTCAGGGGTTAATTTTTATTAAAATGGGTAAGGGGGTTGGGACTTTAAAATATCTTTATTTTTTTCTTTACAGCAGGGGGCAGGATGAGCACTGTTCCGGCTCCCTGCACTTCACACAGAACCAGGAAGTGCAGGGAGCCGGAAGATAAGTATACAGAGCACATGTGCTCGCTCTGACTTGCGGTCAGAGCGAGCACATGTGCTGGGCAGCCTGACCGGGTGCTCCCGGTATGCCTCTAATACGATAGCGGCGATCAGGGGTTAATTTTTCCGTGACGGACAAGGTCCGTCACTCGTCACTAAGGGTCTCCCCTCTGTGACGGACCTCGTCCGTCACCCGTCCTTAAGGGGTTAACTGATTTCTCACTTTAACTGTAACATAAACACTGCATTTTCTCTGAAAAGACTTTGTTTACAGCAAAAAGCCTGAAGGTAATGATTTTACACACCAGAACAAATTTAATAAGCTGTAGTTGTTCTGGTGACTATAGTGTTCCTTTAATGGCATATCACTAGTCTGTTATTTCTCATCCAATTAACTAGGCTGCCTGGTGACACCAAAAAGACCTTGCCGTAGGTGGAGTTTCACTTTCTGCAACAGAGGGTATTAACGCTGTATGTGAAGCCTTTCATAAAAAAAACTCTTCACATACAGACATCAAAACCAGTTAAAATCACTGAAGTGTTCATGGTGTTTGGAGAAACCCTTTAAGACGACTAGACAATAGTCTCCTTGTAAATGATCCAAGGACCCCAGCCACTGTTTCCTGCTGATATGCTGTTAAATTTCCCATGCTTTTGTGGCTTGGAATTAATACAAACCTAGCATGTTTTTGTCCCTAGAACTCCAAATGTATGCTTGTTTAGTAATAAAAGGAAGTGTATGTTAGTTTTAATCATCTGACAGATAAAATCATTAACCTAGAAAGTAGGAAAAGTTTTTTTCAATTTGCATAATAAATCTTCTGTTCTAGATGGTGATAAACAACCTTCTTGTTCTCTCCAGCAGGATTTATTTTAAAAAGTGCCTTATTCTCATTTACGTGCAGATTGCTTTGACTTTTGTGCTGTTTTATGTTTGAAGTCCTTTTACCAACGTAAGAACATCCTGAGCACTGAGGCTGTCAGCTTATACATTTACTGCCACGGATGCCCCCTATTTTGTATTACACTCGTACAATATGTATATTTTCCTGAAATCAAACTTTTCTTTTGGAACTGCTAATGACACTACACAATGGGCTGTTCAGAAAGATAAGGAATGTTCTTTGGGAAGTGCTGCTACTTTTATATATGTGAAGTTTATACATCAGCAGTTGGAGCTAATTTGCCTGTGTGTGATCACTGACAGGGAGGGACAACCAGGCATCTCCAGCAGCAAAGTCAAGGTAAGGATTGCCAACAAGAAGAAGTTTCCCTGCAGCTTCCTCAACAGTGCCATACCTGGCAACCCTTGCCTTGTTTGAGAAGTGAACATGGTCTTCAAGGTCACATATCCAATTTGAACCTCTCTGAACTGGAGGAGTCTCCCAGTTACACAGATAGAGTGGCATTTAACATGGGTGGAGATAACGTGGACAGCTATGTGCCCTACCCACAAAGGAAATCTACAGTCTGGAATTTCTTTCACCTGAAGGACCCCAGCATTGGTATCAGAAATGCCACCAGTGTCTTTTGTAACCTCTGCACAAGGGAGGTGAAACGTGGCTCCACCCCTGGTAGATTGGGTACCACTGCCATGCGCAACCATTTGGCAAAGCACCACCAGAGAGAGTGGGCAGCAACTGGCAGTGCAGTAAATGCACCAATTGTATCAAATCTTGCTTACCACTGTTGCACAAATTCCTCAACTTCCCGGGCTTCTCCAGAGAAACAAGTGGTTCCACTTTTGCACTCTGTTCTTGACATCTGTTACTGCTTTTTTGCAACCGTGTGCACACTTTGTGGGTCAGTGATTTCACAGGAAGAGACTGTAAGTGCTAACCGGGAGTATTTAATGTTAACGCATATGCAGTCAGCACACAGCAGTATCCTCCGGGTATCTCGGAATGAGATAAATGGAGAACGTTGTGCAGAATATGACAGCAGCAATTCCTCTTTGTAACCAACCTATCACTATTATATCACATGACATTCAGTGACTTTTCGCAAACCTGGATAATTGTACTTTGTAATTTGTTTTGAAGCAATAATGATCACCTGCAATCTGCAAATGTTTTACATTAAACTTGCAAGGAACGTGACTTAAAATAAATGTTTAAAAATAATTTTTAGTGCACCAACATATTTAGTAGCTGTGTGCTATGACAACGGTGGACCTGCTTTTTAAATTTGACAAAACATTAATGAAAATAAAATAAAAACAATTAGGCATCTACAAATGATGGGTTGGAACCTTTCTCTGGACAAATGCTTTGTAATATCGAAACTTGATAGACAAGGAAACAGTCAAGAAACTAAAGTAGATGCTTGAGCTTTACAGTAAATACCAAGAATAATGAAAAGACAACAGTGAACTCCGTTATTCACTAAAGTGACACTGAATGTAAAGGAACACTTTAATGTTGGGAATACAGAGATGTATAATTAATGATTATTATAGACTTAAAGGACCACTCTAGGCACCCAGACCACTTCAGCTTAATGAAGTGGTCTGGGCGCCAGGTCCAGCTAGGGTTAACCCATTTTTTCATAAACATAGCAGTTTCAGAGAAACTGCTATGTTTATGAATGGGTTAAGCCTTCCCCTATTTCCTCTAGTGGCTGTCTCATTGACAGCCACTAGAGGCGCTTGCGTGCTTCTCACTGTGATTTTCATAGTGAGAGCACGCCAGCGTCCATAGGAAAGCATTATGAATGCTTTCCTATGAGACCGGCTGAATGCGCGCGCAGCTCTTGCCGCGTGTGCGCATTCAGCCGACGGGGAGGATCGGAGGAGGAGAGCTCTTCGCCCAGCGCTGGAAAAAAGGTACGTTTTAACCCCTTTCCTCCTTCCAGAGCCGGACGGAGGGGGTCCCTGAGGGTGGGGGAACCCTCAGGGCACTATAGTGCCAGGAAAACATGTATGTTTTCCTGGCATTATAGTGGTCCTTTAACCATGCAATGTTTTATTTGCCTAAGCAACCTATTAAATAGTTATCTGTATAGGCCTAAAATAATGCTACTTAGTTACTTGGAAACCACTCAAGGAGCAATAACTAAAAGAGGAATAAAGTTATTTGGTATAGAAAAAAGGCAAAAGCATCATTGTTCCCTTAAACATGATATAACTGTATTGGTTTAAAACATCTATTTTCTTACAGAATGGGCAGCAAAGTCAATATTGAGTTTTTATAGCCTTTAGTCTTTATGAACAATGTATATGTGAGAGTACATGTACTTTGATGTTTTCTTAAAAGAACCTAACTATGAAACAGACACATCTTTGTGTTCAAGTCGCTTTATTATTTGACACACTTGTTGTTATTCACAAATGCTATATTGTGGCTTGGGTGCATCAACCATATAATTCGGGCCAAAACAACCAGGTTGACGTTTTGTTTTTTCCATCTCCTGATAATATTTTAGGATGAATTTTGAAGCTTTGTTGTTAGCATACCACTGGAGGTCAGAATCTTGTGCTTGCTGTAAAATGAATGTTTCATTAAATTATACGGTGATGATGACCTAGTGGTGCATTACTGTTGGATTATGCTATGTCAGTGGTTCCCAACCTTTTTACTTGAGTAGCCCCTGGCAGCTCATTTCCATAAATTGTACCCCTCATATTAGCAAAATATAGTTGCTTTTATTTAAAACGTATACATTTTTTTTTTTTGCCCCGTCTCCCCTTTCTCTCTGACCCAGCCTCCCCTGCTCCTCTTCTGCCCCAGTCTTCCCCCTGCTCCTTTTCTGCCCCAGGCTTCCCCCTGCTCCTCTTCTGCCCCAGGCTTCCCCCTGCTCCTCTTCTGCCCCAGGCTTCCCCCTGCTCCTCTTCTGCCCCAGGCTTTCCCCTGCTCCTCTTCTGCCCCAGGCTTTCCCCTGCTCCTCTTCTGCCCTCAGGCTTCCTGCTGCCTCCTCTCTGCTCCTCAGGCTTCCCCCTGCTCCTCTTCTGCCCTGGCTTTCCCTGCTCCTCTTCTGCCCCTGGCTTTCCCCTGCTCTTCTCTGCCCCTGGCTTCTCCCTGCTCCTCTTCTGCCCAGGCTTTCCCCTGCTCCTCTTCTGACCCTGGCTTCTTCCCCTGCTCCTCTCTTGCCCCAGGCTTTCCCCTGCTCCACTTATGCCCAGGGCTCACCCTGCTCCACTCTGCCCAGGGCTTACCCTGCCTCATCTTCTGCCCATGGTTCCCTGTTCCTATCCTGCCCAAAGTTCCCTGCTCCTCTTCTCTCTGCTAAAGGTTCCCTGCTCCTCTCTGCCCTGCTCCTCTGGCTTCCTGCTCCTGCTTTCTGCCAGGCCCCCTGCTCTCTGCCTACCCCAGGCTCCCCCGCATCTCTCTGCCCCAGGCTTCCCCCGCACCTCTTCTGCCCCAGGCTCCCCCCGCACCTGACACATATGCAGATACACATACTGACGCATACAAATGTACAGACAGATACTGTCATGCGGTAACACTTCTGGGTTCGGCACTCTGCTGTGTGGAGCCGGAGCCCGCCCCCCTCTGATGCGGCTTCTGAATATGCACGCCGGCTCTACAAACTCTGAAGTCGTCCTAGCCTTCTGGACTAAGACAAGTATGCTTCATATCATAGAGGATTACTGGAGAACGGAAACTCACTTACTTTACAAGTGGACCATATCCCTAAACTATTGGAGGACAACTCAGATTAACCTTAAGTATATCTTTCAGCTATTTGTCTACATTATCATTTATTAATGAACTAATTCTTGCTTACTCAAATCTTCATTGCTACAAGCTACTAATTATATGGAGGACAACTCCCATCATGCTTATTCACTATGAACTGTTTCTTGCTTTGCAAATACACTCAGTGCTTCAAGCTACTAATTGTATGGAGGACAACTCCCAACTTGCTTATTAACTATGAACTGTTCCTGCTTTGCAAATATTCTCAGCTACTTGCTTAAAGTTACCATTGAAGATTATTCTCATTAACCTAAAGAATGGTACTTAATGTATCTCAGAAGAAATACTTAATGATGAACTTTGTGTTGTTGATTACTTGCACCACTTCTTATTGGATTATTGCCTAAATGCAATTCATTTAAGTTTAACACTTATTAAAACTTCGGTTGAATCAAGTTGCCAGTGATTCTCTATTTTTTTAAAGCTACAGTATTGATACTTTTAAAGATTCTCCGTTTCTTCACAATTGTAATTAGGGAGTTTTACAAGATGCAGTTGAGTTCCAATCCAAATCACCCAGATGCACACTGACACATATACAGATGTACATACATACACACATACAGATGTACAGACAGATACACACATGCTGATACACAAATACAAACACTGACACTTACAGATACACACACTGATACAAACAATGACACACACACATACAAACACCACATACATACAGAAATAGGCACTCAATACACTACATACAGGTGAACATTTTAGCCACCCTCCAGTTTCTTACCTTATGGGAGCAGGGGTTGGAATCTGCTGGCTGGCGTTGATGGGAGTTCAGAGCTTCCTCTTCTGGCAGCTAAAGGGGATGGGGCTATCACAAAGGGGGCAGAGCTATGCCGATTAAGGGTGTAGTTATAGCGGGGGAGGGGTTATGTCGGTAAGGGGGATGGGTTAACACTGTGGGCGGGTGGGGGCAGGCACTACTAGCTTGCAGTCCCGCCAGCCCCTTCCTTCCAGCTCTCTAGCAGCCCCTGGTGGGGCGCCTCATGGCACATGTCCATCGGGTGGCCCTGAGTGCGTGGGCCACCTGATGGACTTTTACTCAGGTTCCCAACTTGTGCCAGGCGGCTGAAGCGCCGCAATAACCGATTATTTTTTCGAGTAACCCAAGGGGCACTGGATTGTACCCCTGGGGGTACGTGTACCACAGGTTGGGAACCCCTGTGCTATGTGAAAAAGTGCCATGTGTTCTTATTACACTACATTGTATGACTGATGCACTGAGCACGTCTACGGTCATTGTGAGGCGGAACAGAGAACCGAAGGTGATCGAAATATATCAGAACCCGGAAGGAACTGCTTATGGTTGGCATTTATAAATCTGTTGAGCAAGATAGTGGATACGTGATAAGGAGGCTCATCATTATTTTAAGTAAAATCATTTTAATGTGTATTTTAAGAATGCATTGTATTGATTCTGCACCGTTGGGTTCCTGTTGTCTTTTGTCTCTTTCCCTGTTAATTATTAAAGGCAAAGACACTGTGTGGCTGGGGATCCTGGGAGCTGTGGGATATATCCCTCTCCAATGGAGCCATTAATACACAGCCAGGGTAGATTAGGCTATGGAACATGTGAGTGTGATTATTGGCTATACATTAACTCACTAAATTTGCTTTTGTTTAAAAATTAGGTGGTCTTCACTATTATGTATTTGTATTATTATTTACATAGTTTATTGTGAGAAGATTGTTTAAGTATTATCCGAGGGCACCACTATGTTGTGTGTCTTGTTGAATTTGTGTCTTTAATAGGGGTGAGTTCTGTTGGTTTTGTATACAATTGTGTTTGGACTGATTTTTATATATATATATATATATATATATGTATGTGTGTGTGTGTGTGTGTGTGTGTGTGTATATATATATGTGTGTGTGTGTATATATGTGTGTGTGTGTGTGTATATATATATATATATATATATATGTGTGTGTGTGTGTGTGTGTGTATATATATATATATATATATATGTGTGTGTATATATATGTGTGTGTGTGTGTGTATATATATATATGTGTGTGTGTGTGTACACATTGGATTGAGTTTGGATACATTTATTTTATATTTAAGTGCTTTCCACTATTACTGATTGAATAATATTTATGTTGGTACATATATACAGCGCTACGGAATTTGTTGGAGCTTTAAAAATAATATAATAATGTGAATTTATGCTATGTTTTTAATACTTATTAACAGTTTTTGTTTTGAAAGGTATATAAATAAAAAGAAAGTATTTCACCGGGTAAACAGTACCTAACATATCTTCACTTCTCCCTTTAGACAAACCTGCAGTTTAACAACAACAAGTACTACCTAATACAGCTACTTCAAGATGACAATGCTAGACACTTCTCTGTGTGGATGCGCTGGGGCCGAGGTGAGATCAGACGTGAACCTAGATAGCAAGTGTGAAAATGTCTTGCGAATGTTATGTCAATTATTGTGTATCTTGAGCTACTTTGTCATGTAGTCAATGTGCCCCAGTCATCCAGGCAGTATAAATGTGTAAGAGAGTGTAAAATATATAAACACACCAGTGGGAGCTGTGTGTATTGATACATAATATTTGCATTAATTTGTGTGTGTTTGTTTGTTTAAATGTGTTGTGAAAAGTATTTTTATTTAGATAATACATTTCTTACAGTTGGTAAAAAAGGTCAAAACTCTTTGGTGGCCTGTGGAGGAGATCTCCAGAAAGCAAAGGATATCTTTGAGAAAAAGTAAGATTGATTCTTAGCTATAGACTATATCAGAGTCCATTTTCCATATTTTAGCTATTTAGTTTCATTTCTATATAAAATGTAAGAATTTTCAGTTTCTTCATTCTAAACTATATAGTACAGCTAAGTCCATCTTTCATGTATTAGGCATTTACTTTGTTTTATTATACATACGAATATATATATATATAGAATTTTTACTTTCTCAACTTTTCTCTCTTTTGGGGTCTCCCTTCCCCCCCCCACACCCCTCCTTTAAAATGCCAATTTGATTGTTTTCACCACCTTCTTCTTTTATTTTATTTTTTTACATTTTATTAAAATAGGTTTTCTGATAAGACCAAAAATGAATGGTCTGAGCGTAAGCTGTTTGAAAAGGTTCCTGGGAAATATGACATGCTACAGATGGATTATAATTCTACCACTGAGGTATGTATGCATGTTAAGATTGTATGTCTTTATGCATTTCTATTGATTTTGACACGTGGATACTTTGCAGTTTGCCCTTCTCTGAGCTACATTTGCAGACCTCATGAACAAAGAAAGAGAGCAAAATTGTGGCACTTTTTTGTCTCATATACATTTGTATTTGGGATACTTTTCTCTCTCCTCCTAATTTGTATAAAAATTGCCAACTCTAATAAAAGGTGAAGGAAGAGAAAGTAGTGAAAGAAGAAAAGGTGCCTAACCTACCTAAACCAGAGTCAAAGCTAGACAACAGAATACAGGAATTGATCCAGCTGATATGTAACCTGCAAAACATGGAACAGACTGTGCTGGAGATGAAATATGACATAAAGAAAGCACCTTTAGGTAAAGTTTTCCATGTCATTGCCATTGTTTGTTTTTTTTGTCAGCTACATTGCATCCTAAGTTCCCAGTATTAATTTCTCCGACATGATAAACATTTCTTCTGACTCCAACAGGGAAGCTAACTGTAGAACAGATTCGTGCTGGATATTGCTCTTTGCAGCGCATAGAGACCTGTATCAAGAACCAAAAGTTTGGCCGAGATCTTATAGAAGCATGTAATGAATTTTACACCCGTATCCCTCATGACTTTGGGTCAGTATCTTGGTTTGCCTTTCTTGGAAAAAATGTGCAAGCACAGTGTGTGTAAACAGTCTGTAACTTCTATGTTGTTTCTCTACAGTCTCCGAACACCTCCTCTTATAAGAACCCAAGAGGAGCTAGCACATAAAGTTTGCCTCCTGGAGGTGAGAAGATACACCCCAACAAAATGCTTGAATAAGGACCTAAATCTATTTACTTATAGAAACATGTTCTATGTCTGTATATAACTATATCTGAAACATCTATAAAGCTTCTATTGAGTTCAGCATTTGTTTTGTAGGATCGGATGTTTAATAGGGATTTTATACTTGACCACTCTACATATATGATGTATAATAAGTATTCTTTTTTTAATAACAACTTGCAGTATCATTTCTACTAATAAGAACAAGGTGTAGAAAATCAGATCTGAAATAGAAACATTTTAAAGTTTGCTCTCCTAGTTTAACTATTATGATGTTCACATTATGAATAAATTAGGGCTATGTAGGGCTATATCACTTTTACTTTATCCACGCACAGTTGGGGTGTAATCTGTTTTGTGAATTAAAGTGCTGATCATTGTGAACATTTATAAAGGTATCTCTTCTGCTATTTTTATGTAACACAGGGATAAACAGATTGTTCCTCCATTACTATTAACCAATTAAAAGCTGCCCGTGAGTCCTGGTAGTTCAAGTTCAATGATGGGTTACGCAGTGTAGATTAGAAACAGTAGACAGTCAAATGATTTATAAGAAGATGAAGAGCAGAGCATAAAAATGACATGAAACGGGCCAAAGAGTATTTTGTATTAATTTTTTTAAGTGTTGAGATACTCTAGGCTCCATAGAATATAATGTAGAAAAATAGAAATGTTCATTGCATAATAGCTACCCTTTATCAGATATAATTTTTATATTTCTCATTACCTATTTAGGCTCTTGGAGACATTCAGATTGCAGTGAAACTTGCAAGTATGGAGTCTGGTTCTCTGGAGCATCCAGTTGATCGTCAGTATCGACAGCTGCACTGCTCCTTAGAACTTGTGGAGCATACATCAGAGGCCTTCCAGGTACAACATATCTAATCTTTATTTTCTTTTATGTCTGGTTTCCAGTGATAGAAATGTTGAACTATGATTTTTTTTTTTTATTGTCCAGCTATATGTGTGTGTGTATAAAATGTGAATAAAATTGTGGGTGAGAAGGACATTTTTCAGTTTTCTGCTTATAACAGTCCTCATTGTTAAATGCCTCATATGTCTACGATTTAAATAAAACTTTTTGGTAGTTAAAGCTAACGCTATATCAACCCCCTCCTCCCCTGACACCACATTGCTACTGTCAGTCTGGGGCCACTAAAAATGATACCTGTTTCTCCTTGTGTGAGCAGGGATTTAACCCTGATCACACCGCATTGCAGTCGATGGGATTTAAATCCCAATTAATGGGCTGTACAGAGCATCTGACAGTTGTGGCATCTAAAACAAAATGGCCCCAGCTGTCAGAATGTGCTGTGCTGTGCTGTGCTCTTAATGAACCTTAAGTGGAATTTGTGGGATATCTTGTGTGCACATAACTATCTTCAGCTGCTGTTAGAGGGCACAGACTGATGCTAGGCACAGCTATTGAGTTATGATATCTCAATGTGTTTGCATCTTAGCTTTCGACTTGCATGTTCAGTCATGTTTAAATTTAGGACATAATCACTCTTCACTCTCATTAACTAAAGTTTATCTAATGCTTGTCTTTGTGGTCTGGATCTGTATGTAGGTGCTGAAATTACCTGTCTCAACAAATATGTAGTAGCCAAACGTGACATGTAGTGCAACATTTCATTTTCTCTCACTCTCTCTAATTTCTACTTACAGATTATTGAGCGATACCTGAAGAGCACACATGCTGCTACACACAGTGATTACACCATGACCCTGTTGCATGTGTTCCAGATGCAGAGGGAAGGAGAAGAGAGCAACTTCCAAGTTCACCTTCCTAATAGGTTTGTAATATAGGACTGCCAATGCACATGCCATTGTTATTGCTTCGCTATGGGTGCAATTTACACATCTGCCAGAAGGCTAAAATCCAGGCCTGCATGTTTATTTTTTATTTTGATATATATATATATATATATATATATATATATAAATAGGGAAAACATTTCACAGTGTTTACAATGATTCAGTACTAATACATGTTTAACATTATAGTAGAATCTCTACATACAAAAAATAGATATAAATACCTGCTATTATTAAACCTGTTTTACACAATACATTGTGAAAATAAAACAAAACTATAACTATAAAAATAAATATTGAGGTATGGAAAATAGGAGGGGCAGGACATTGGTAACGTTTACAACATTTGAAATATGAAAAGACATTGCCCTGTTGGTTCAATGGCCTATTATATTAACATTCAATACTGAGTGTGGTCATGAGGAATTAATCATAAAGAAACTTACTTATTAAAGTTCCATTACATAGCTTATATTAATACAAAATAATCCTGTATGGGCACAGCTGGCGAGTCTTCTCAAATCTGTTTTGTTTTTTTAAATTATATTTTAATTGTATTATTATGTTTCTTGTACCTTTTGTTTCTTTTCCCACATATCCCACGCTTGTTTGTATTTTTTTTAGTTTTGCCTATGTTCACTCTAAAGAAGCGTTCATGCAAATTATTTGCAGTAACTTGGTATATGCATTGCGATATATCTGGAGCTATTCCTTTCTCTATTGTCGACATAGAATCATAAGTGCAGCTATATTAATATGGTACTTAAGGTACCTGTCTGTATATGAAAGTTTAGTCGGATAATTTTGTAGCAGGAGACATTCTGGGGTGCGAGAAATAGTAATTCCTAAGCTAGTGTCTATTAGATGTTTTACTGTTGTCCAGAACTCCTGCTGCTTTGTGCACTGCCGCCAAATATGAAGCATTGTGCCTTTTTCTGTTCCGCACCTCCAACATATATTCAATGTATTGGGAAACATACGCTTCCCGCCGAGTGACGGACCTGGTCCGTTATGGCTGGGAAACCGTTAACGCTGAATGAGGGACCAGGTCCGCAATGTAGTAAAGTTATCTGCCTCTGTATTAGAGGCAGACCAGGAGCACCCGATTGCGCTTCCCCTGCAGCAGTGAACGCTCTGACATGTGCTGCAGTGACTCACGATCCGCCTCCCTGCGCTTTCGGGTTCGGTGTGAAGTGCAGGGAGACGGATCACTGCTGATCTTCTCCCTGCAAAAAAATAAATGAAGTTAAATTAAAATCCCACACCCCTTTACCCTTTTTAAATAATAACCCCTTCCCTGCCAATTGATCACTGTTTACCGTGATCAATTGGCAGGGTATACATTTTACTGTGATAGGATTTTTATTTATTTTTTTCTTTAACCCCGGAGGGCTACAAAAAATAAAAGTTGACCCTCATGGGGTTATTTTATTTTATTAATTAATTTAAATATATTAAAATGGTATATTTAGCTAGCTGGGGTGGGTGTAAGTTAGTGGGGATTTGGGGAATTTGGTAATTGATGTTAGGCTAGTTAGAGGTTAACGTTAAAAAAAGTTAAAAAAAAAAAAAAAATCCCACCCTCCTTTACCCAGTCCTAATAAAAATTAACCCCTTCCCTGCCAGTTGATCACTACCTACAGTGATCAAAATACAGATAACGGGGCGGGGCCTGACAGCTAAGATGGCCAGACGTGTTTGTTAACTGCTCCTGAGCAACTGAGTTTAACCGAAGCCTTTACCACTTAAGTCGCCTGAAATTCAGAGCGGAGTAGATGGTGGATTGTCCCTGCAACATGTGGGCACTCGTGGGTGTCCTGTATACTCCTCTAGACCAAGGAAATCCGCTGTCCGAACATGCGGCCTAGCGTGACTAGCAGCCTGAAGACGGGGGGAGGCGGCCGCTCCCTCAGCATAGGGCCTGCTCTGATCAATGGCCTGTCAGCTGCCCTGCAACCCCCCCCTATGGACCGGTGGGGGTCATCCCGGTCCCCGCTGGGGAAACTCACCTCTTCCACACAACGAGGCTCCCTGCTGAAACAACAACCGCGTGGCATGCAAAACATGGCCGCCACTCCTCATCCTCAGCAACACCAGAGTTGTACCGCTGAGCCGCAATGGAGAGAGAGCTTTGAGGCGCGCTTTGATGCTCTGTGTGACCGGTTCTGGCGGCGCATATACCACCGACCACCCGTTCCTGTCGAGACGATTAGTCTGAAGGCAGCAACGTCTACTCGACCGAAGAAATCCACAAGCAGCCGACCCGGCACACGGAAAGCCCACCGACAAGCGGTGTACCAGCGGACCCGCTCTGACACAGTGCGGCGACGGAGCACCCATGACTGCTTGGCTGTAGAACAACCTGCACCTCGGGCACGGTGGAACAGAAACCTCTTGCACAGTAAAACTCACACAGCACTTGGGAATGTGACCCGGCTGAGGCAGCGGGACAGAGAGCAGAGAAACACCTCACACAGGAGCCGCAAAGGGGCTACCTTGGATGTCTATACATACGCCGACCAAGCGGAGCCTAATAGACCAGCAAGTCACACACAGGGCCTAAGAGTGGGAATTGGCTGACCGCTGACTGGCACAGTAACGCAGCCCCACACCGGACAACAGGACCTGCGTCACGTTCTGTGGACTCCGACTCACCGTTGTGGGACTCTCGTCACCCTACAAGAGGATGCAGCATTCACACACTCTGGACTGCCAACACAGGATACCCAATCCCGGGCTCTTGCCAGAGAACACCCAGTGAGAACTCTTCCAATAACTTGCAATGATGTTTGTTTGCAATAACTGAAGTTGTCTTTGCTTATTAGCTTTGCTCGACCGTAGCCTTATCAGTTCACTTAATCTAATGCACGATAGGCATAACCAGTTGGATATCTGAGGCTAATAATGAGTGCAAGTAAACAGAATGGAGTAAAATTATCTAATATACCTACACTCCTGCAGACATGCTGACTCCCCTAGGGAAACAGCTGTACCCTTATAGCCGGTAGTACTCAGCAGCCTGGCAGCTTAGCATGATAACTTCCCATTGGAGGAATCTTTATACTATAATGCCTAGATTAATTGCACTGTCAGCTAAGCACTCTAATGGGTATACTGTTCATATGTGCCTAAGACCTTCATAATTGTAACTAGGCACAATTTCACTGTTACGATAAGCTACCTTTTCATCTTAATTTTAATGACTTCTACCTATATGTGACTCACCCATGTATAACAGCTAGACCCAGCCTATATCAATCAGTTCATCTGTTATCGCATGGTATTCACAGCAACTTTAGCGAGGATATATTCAGTTATAACTGTTATGATAAGCTACTTTTTCATTCTCAATTTAACGTCTTCACTGTTTAGCCAAGCTGATGTTTATTATGCTTATACAAAAATATGCAACTCCTCTTGCCACTGTTCACCCTAAGTACATTCTTACACACGCTGTTGTGGCGTATGTCATTGCTATGTATAACATGCACAACAAAAATAAAGAATTGCAAATAAAAAATAAAAAATAAATAAAAAAACCACGTTACAAGGGATTTTTAGATAAGATAGATAAGGCATAAGCTCACATATAGTATTTCCAGTGATGGAGGTCAAGATATTTTTTTTTTGTTTCCTTATTATCAGATTGATAATCAGAAGATTGATAACTGTTTGCATTTATAGACATTATATGTAATGTATACATTTTGATCTATTTTTTTGCATCCAAAATGGCATGTAAACTATCCTTGACAAATACCGTGTCATGTTTGGGTCAAATGTGAGTTTGGTCATTTAGATGAACATTTGAATTTTAGCAACTTTAATTTGTTTAATTTTTTTTTAAAACATCCTCTTCTGCCACTAACGTTCTTGAAACCCTGATAAATGGAAAATTAAGCTACAATGATATCATTGCCTACCAATACAATATTTTCACTTAACGCTATTAAAATGAATGATTTTACTTATTTTGTATATCGCATTGTACCATTAAACACCTTCAAATCACAAAAAAAAAAAATACAGATAACAGTATTAATAGGGTTAACTTATATATTTTTTTTAACCCTCAGGGGTTACATTTATTTCATTTTAATATTTTAAAATTATATATTTTGCTAGCTGGGGTGGATGGGAGTTATGGGAAATTGGGGAATTTACCATTAGTGCTGCCTACTGCTAGTTAGAGGTTAACGGTAAAAAAAAAAAAAAACGCTTATAAAACTGTTAAATCTGTAAAAAAAAATAAAAAAAATAATAAAAAAACGTTTAAAAAAATGAATAAGCAAAAAAATGTTTAAAAAAGTTTTAAAAAAATACATTTAAAAATGCTCATTACCACTACACCTGAAACAAACTAGAGAAAAAATTATCCCACGCTAAGGTTCAAAATACGCCTTTTGAATTACCCCAGGGTGTATTCTTTAAAAAATAGTATGTGTTTGTGGGGAAGTTTCAATAACCAACCGTCTAAACTACTCCATAATGGAACATGGACACAGCGTAGAACTTAAAAGTTAGAAAAAAACTGAATGGCTGCGTCTCAAATGTGCCCCTTCAACATCCACATATACCTGGCAAAGGTACATACGGTGGTATTGCTGTACTAAGACAACATAGCTGAGCAACATATGTAGTATTATACAGTCGTAGCACACATAAGGTATGCAAAATATACTGCACAAACTCACTTTGTGTGACAAAAAGTCAGAAAAAACGCTTATTACCACTACACTTAGTACAAGCTAGCGGGAAAATGATCCCACGCTAAGGTTCAAAATATGCCTTTTGAAATACCCTGGGATGTCTTCTTTAAGAAATAGTATGGCTATATGGGGTATTTGGATTATATAGCCTGGTAAAATACTTAAAAATGGGGCATGGGCACAGCGTAAAAAGTTTAAGTTTGAAAAAAAACTGGAATGGCTGTGTCCCAAATCTGCCGCTCCGATGTCCACATATACCTGGCAAAGGTACATACGGCAGTATTGCTGTACTCAGCCGACATAGCTGAGAAACATATGAAGTATTATACAGTCGTAGCACACATACGATTTGCAAAATATACTGTGCAAACTCACTTTGTGTGTCAAAAAGGCAGAAAAAACGCTTATTACCACTACACTTGGTACAAGCTAGCAGAAAAATTATCCCACGCTAAGGTTCAAAATATGCCTTTTGAAATACCCTGGGATGTCTTCTTTAAGAAATGGTATGCCTTTTACGGTGTAGTTGTAATATGTCGCCTTCTCAAGTGCTTCAAAGTGGGACACGGACGCATCATAACCCTTCATGAAAATTCATACTTAAAAACCTGAACTTGTCACTTCTTTTACAGCACTGTAACTTCACAAAATAGTGTCTAGGTCATACATTGGGCATATTGTTTTAATCAGAAGGTGTAACTGAGTATAATTTGTGGATTTTTATAGCAGTGGTACATATTAAGTGTAAGAAATACTCAGCAAAAATGCAACATATATGTAAAAATGGCATTTGTCCCCACCACCACCACAAACATTGACATAAATTGGTGAAAAAATGGTGACAAGTTAAGGCACAATATATACACCATATAAGATACCCTGGGGTGTCTGCTTTATCAAATGAAAGCCCTTTGTGGCATTATTTGAACAGTCACACTGCTATAATACCCTAAAATGAGACATAGGCTTGTCAAATCCATCTACAAAAATTCTAACTATAGAAACTGAAATAGCCTTTTCTCTTATATGGCACTGTAGCTTTACAGAAAAGCACCAAAGGCATATAATGGGGGTATCGTTATACTCAGCAGATGTAGCTGAACACAATATGGGGTTCTGTGCAGGAATAGCACACACCAGCTTTCCGAAATACACATTACAAAAACCTTGTTATATGTGTATATGACAAAATAAAGAAAAAACTGAATTTTACTCCAATATTTAGCAGAGACTGGCGATGAAATGGCTACGTAAAAATTGTCAAACTAACCCTAGTTAAATAGCCTGTATTGTCTACCTTTTATAAATATATACTTTTGTGTGGCAAATTTGTTTTCTCTGATGGCTACTAAACCTACAAGACAAACATACCAAATTCTAAAATTGTTGCAAATTGAAATTTTATTTTAGTCCTTGTATTTTGTGACCTGTAGCTTTCAAAATAAGCTGAAATTATGTACTCTATAAATCAAGACACACAAATGAATTTATTTTGAATTACTTTTTCTAAGCTGGACATATTGTGCACACGCTATTATTGCCAGAACTGTGTGGGGGGGGGGATTTATTATTATTAATTTTTTTTCATTTTTTTGGCATTTTTATATAATTAATGAGAATATATATGTGACATCAAATTAAATCCCTGTTTGCCCTCTAAAAAATGATGTATAATATGTTTTGGTGCAATAAATGACAAGCAACAAGACATGAAGTCATTCTTGTCTTGGTTTCAAGACAATCTGGCCCAGACATTTGAGTCATTCAAAGATTCTGCAAAGTCAAAGGTTACAGCTCCTGTTAAAGCAACAACCAAACAAAGGCTAAAACGGAAGAGATCTTCGTCTGGATCAGAACTGTCCTTGGGCGAATGTTTTATTTCTTCCTATTCGGAAACTTCCAGTGAGTCTTCTGTTACAGAAGTCTGTTTTCCACATGAAGAATTTAGATTTATTAAGGAAATATACAAAGACAGTGTGAGAGAGAACTTTCACCGAAATTGTAATGATTGTAGGGTAATTAGGGCATAAGTCAACGTGAAGATAATAAGGAAGATTAGAACGGACTTACGAAAGGCAAGACCAGTACTAGTCCTACTACCCTGATGAAAGCTGTTAATCCAATAGTAGGCTTAGTGCCATAATACATAAAAACTATTTAATTTTACTAAACCCCTAACTGGATAAATAAGAAACAAAAAACATAAATGACTGTGTTAGCATAAAGTGCAAAAAAAGAAGAGCCTTATGATAGTATACAAAAGTAAACCCTTACTTGAAATAAAGACACAAACACTAGTTGCCCTAATACAATGTTGCAAATAGTTGCAATGAGAAAGGTGCTGAGCTAGGTCTAAGGCTAGGGGTAATTGGATGCTGTCAAAGGGTATACTATGGGGAGAGTATATACATGTATATGCTATGAGAAGTGGTCAGCAAGTTAATTGCAAATGAAATGATATATGTATATCACTGATTAAATGTTAAAGCTCAAAAAATCCCTCAAAAGCAGGAGAGTGGGTGCAGTCTCTTAGGGTAAGGTAAAGGGATATATGGGGAAATCCAAAGCAGCAAACTCCAAATTGATTTGAATAACAATTTGGAAGCTAGCGATGGGAGTAAGAAAAAGATATCCCCTATTAATATATCCCAGTTACTTACAGTACAATAAATTAGTGCGGTGTGATTTTACAGATCATCAGTGGAATACACTCAGTAGCATAAAGAGAAACACGGTGCTGTATGGAATATAGCACTTTGATATAACAGACACAATAGTTGAGATAATAGACCAAATTCGTCTGTCGGGTGTGCTCTGAAGGGTATACAATTCTGTAAATAACATAGCTAGTAATTTATCAAGAGCACTGATAGACAAATAGGAATAAGGAATCCAACTGTTGTTTTAGTGCTGCAAGTAGATTGCTAGACTGGCGATGACCCATAGATATATACTGCCTATTAAAAAAGCAGATTTAATAGGGATATCTTTAGTAGTGTGAAGAAAAAGATAGCTAGAGTAAAGCCTGATAGTCTATTAAAAGTTACTGGTAGCTGCTTCAAGGCAGCTCCTGGTCTAGTTAGAACTATTACAAAAGGGGGGCATTTATTTCCAGACATTTCAAGAGCATTGTTAAACTACAGGGAGAAAACTAGTGGGAAGACTTGCCAGTCGTTGACGTACAAGTTGCTCAGTTATCTAAAAAGACTACCATACCGATTGGAGAAGTCTCTAGTCTTAAAGACCCTATGGAAAAAAGTGCAGAAACATCCAGCAGACGAGCATATCAGGCAGCAGGCTTTCAGGCTAAAGCAGCATTGTCAGGAGCTTCGGTGGCTAAAGCTCAGTACCTTTGCCTTCAATGATTGGAAGATAGCCGTGGTGAATATCAAGACAAAGATCTTTCTCACCTGTTCCAAAATGTAAGTTTATCCAATAAATACCTGCTAGATGTTATCACGGAGGTGATTAAACTTTCGGCTTGTGTCATGGGTTTGACATCTGTGGCCCGCAGGGCACTATGGCTTGAGGTCTGGACGGCTGATACAGCATCAAAGTCTGCACTGTATGACCTTCCTTTGGAGAGGAAGAAATTGTTTGGTTCTCCTTTGGAAGAATTAATCCAACAGATGTTGGAAACTAAAAAGGTTCTCCCTCAGGAAAGGAAGTATTCATGGAAACCCAGATACAAGAACTTCCAGTACAAAAACCGTAGGGGAATCAAGACAAACCCAGGTTTTTTTCATCAACAAAGGAAAGATCTGAGGTTTGATGCACACAAATACATCAAATCTGACAGCAAAAACATTCTGACGCCACACGAGCGGGCGGAGGGATACAATTTGCTCACTGATGGAGGGAGACCATTGCAAATCCATGGATTCTGAATATGGTTGCGAAAGGATACAGAATACAGTTCTTAGGTGTACCAAGACCAAGTTTCCTTGTCTCCTACCGTTCAAAAGTAAAAAACCAAGCCCTCTTCTCCGCCACGTTCACTGTTTTAAAGAAATGTGTTGTAAAAAGAGTTCCCAGTACCCAGCTACATCAGGATGTCTAATCCCGGTTGTTCCTGGTCCCAAAACCAGATATGTCCTTTCGTCCCATTTTGGATCTGAAAGAGCTGAACAACAAGATTCAATACCAGCATTTCAGAATGGAAATTATAGCATCAGTCACTGATATCTTTCAAATGGGGGATTTTATGGCGACTTTGGATTTAAAAGATACCTACCTTCACATTCCTATGGATGTAGACTCAAGAAAATACCTGCGGTTTGCTATAAGAAAAGGTCACAAGGTTCATCACTTTCAATTCAAAGCCCTTCCATTCAGTCTCGCCTCGGCTCCCAGGTTTTTTTTACAAAGGTCGTCACGCCTATCAAGCCTTCTTAAGGGTGCAAGGAATCACAGTTGTTCCATACTTGGACGACTGGTTCATAAAGGCAAATTCAAGAGACGCTCTAGAGTCAGAAGTAGCTTACACCCTCAGAATCCTGGAAGATCATTGTTGTGTTATAAACCTGTAAAAATCCTGTCTGCTTCCTACATGGTCCATTCAGTTTCTAGGTTTTTTTATTCAAGTCAGACACTCTTTCTATTCACCTAACTGGGGAAAAAAGAAAAAGTATAAAAAAAACTGATAACCGATCTTTAGCGAAAACCAGAATGTTCTGTGAGAAAAGCTATGCAGGTGTTGGGACACCTCACCTCCACCATCCAAGCAGTGAAATGGGCCAGAGCAGAATCAAGGCCTTTATAGTGGGGAATTCTTGCGCAATGATCAAAGAAAGAAGACGACTTGGATACATTGATAAGTATATCAGATCTTGTAAAAATACAACTAACTTGGTGGCAAAAGACCAGTTTCATGGCAGAAGGTCTATCTTTTTGACCAAAAAAATTGGGTCATAATTCCAACGGACGCTTCAAATACAGGTTGGAGGGCTCACCTGCAGTGTCACTTAAGGCAAGGCACATAGTCAGAAGACGAAAAAAGGGAATCTTCAAATTACAAGGAGTTGATAACCGTCTTATACGCTCTTCATCAGTTCAGAGCTCTCATATTGTGGAAAGCGGTGAAAATTCAGTCAATCAGACTACGGTGGCTTACCTGAACAAGGAGGTTCGAGGGTAAGAAAATTGCACTCAGTTTGCACTAGGATTATGTCCTGGGCTCAAAGTCATCTAGATGACCTGTCCGTTACTCACGTACGAGGGATAGACAACATTTGAGCAGATCAAAATGGTCCCAGAATGAGTGGTCTCTGAATCCAGTCATTTTTTTCTCAACCCTCTTCAAGGCAGACATGCCTCTGGTTCTGGGTGGGCTGTCAGTCAGGAGGGACCTAAGCCTTGAATACATATTTCACCCAGTGACCCTAATCCCAAGGATTCTGCAAAAGGTGAAAGCAGAACAAGCAATGGTGCTGGCCATGATTCCATACTGGTCAAATCAAAGCTGGTTCTTGCTTTTAATGAAGATGGTTTTGAAGTACTGGGAACTTCCGGTGTCAACAGATCTCCTGGAGAACGAAGGGCAAATGTTCAAATTGACAGCTTGGCTGCTGCACGGCTAATCCTGCATAACAAAGGCATTAAGAAAGAGAGGTTCAAGTTGCTGCTAAATTCTACCAGAAGCTCTACCTCTGCTATCTACTTGAAAATTTGGACAAAATTTCTTCATTGGTGCATATCATTGCATAAGATCTTCTCCTTCTACTGATATAATCTTGCATTTTCTTCAAGACTGCCTTAACCCCCTAAGGATACATGACAGGTGTGACATGTCATGATTCCCTTTTATTGCAGAAGCTGGGTCCTTAAGGGGTTAAAGGAGGTCTTAATTTATCTACTCTCAAAGTTAAAGTTTCTGCACTCTTAAAACTTAACTTCACATCCTCTCGTTAGGAGATTATTTTAAGGCTGTCAGGTTCATCAAGCCTCCAAGAAAGGAGTTTTTTTTTTTTTCCCTCTTGCGGCCTATCTTTGGTTTTGAAGTCTCTTTGTACCCAGCCTTTCAAACCTTTGGAGGAAACTTCCCTGAGACTCCTGTCTCTGAAAACTGCATTTTTGGTGCCCATAACTTCCGCTAAGAGGATAGGTGAAATTCAGGCCCTTTCATCATCTGCTGAATTTACTAAAATTCTTCCTGACAAGGTTATGTATCTGAAACCTTCATTTCTACCGAAAGTCATCGCTTCCAAGGCTATCAATCAACCAATTTCCCTGCCTTCCTTTGGTTATCCACCTGTCTCCGATTTGGATGATAATTGGCACAAGTTGGATGTCGAAAGATCTCTGAAGATCTACTTAGACCACTCCTCTAAATACAGGAAGACTGACCATCTTTTTGTCAATTTCTTTGGAAAATGTAAATGTCATGTTGCCTCCAAGTCTACATTAGCGAGATGGCTCGTGGACACGATTAAATTGGCTTATTCTGTCTCAAATCTGCTTCTGCCTGCCTCTTCAAAAGCTCATTCCCGCCCATAGCTCTGGAATCTCGATATATCCCTATTGTACTGCCACCACATGTCAGGAAAAACTGCAATATTACTCACTGTAAATTCCTTTTTCCTTTATATGGTGGAAGTACATCACTCCCTCCCTTTGTTAATAAATTTGATATTTTTGCAGTAATATGTCTCTGAGGGTTTATTGGGACGTACTGAGGTTCCAAGGCAGGTTGGTGTCATACCTGTTTGGGGAGGAACTTTTATGTTAATTGTTTATTTCAGATGCTTGTCCATTCGGAAGAGTACATGCCTGTTGTACTGCCACCATATTAAGGAAAAAAGGAATTTACAGTGATTAAATTTTACAGGTTTTTTTTATCAGACTCAAGCCTATTGAATTAGAATAAAGTAAAGATATTAACTTAGTTGCTGGTTTTCATTTTAGCAGATTTTATTTCGAAGATTGTCAGCTGTTGCTCTTCCTCTTTTATATTTATTTTGTTCCTGCATCCACAGTTGTATGTCTGTACGAAAAATGTGCTATGAAGGGGACTTTATAAATTGTTTGCAACATGCAAAAATCATAGAAAGTAGTACCGTGGAATAATTTGAACATAAACCTAATATGATGTCGTACCCAAATTTCCTAATTAAAATCAGGAACAATAGATCTTGAGAATGGTTCACTAGTGCTATGTATATGTCTATGGGTATCCCAAACATTAATAGTAAATGTTGTTGTTGGTAGCATTGATACTTCTTTGGGTCTGAGATGTCTTGGCAGCCATAGTAAAGACAGAAAGGAATGACCCTGTGTTATTGTATCTTCTAAATGTACCCATTGCGGCAGGTTGAATTGTAAGTGATTGTGTTATGGAAGTAATAATTTCCGCCTAATGGTATAGTTTTATGTTAGGGAGATTATAACAAATTCACCCAAGGAGGAATTAAAGTGTGAATGCTGCTTTTCTTGGGATGTTATTTGCACAAAGAAAGGTGTTTATTCATTTTTTAGTCTCTTTGAATAATAAGCTGAAATGAAGATTGGAAGAGTTCGAAATAGGTACTGTAGTTTGGGGAGAATAACCATCTTGGTCGCAGCAATGCATCCTGACCAAGAAAGGTATTTCCCTTGCCAAGAGCATAATTTCTCCTTTATGTCTGTAAATAGTTTTAGGTAACTGGCTTTATACAGATGTTGTGTAGATTGTGTGAATTTGATACCTAGAAACGTTAAATTAGCACATCTCCAGTCAAAATGAACCGTTACTATATTGATGTAATAATGTGGTGAATGTTTGTAATGAAATGTGTGGTTGTGTCATGGTAAGAAGGATGTCATCTGCAAAAAGTGAGTTTATATTCTCGATTGTGCAATTTTATACCGTGTATATTTACATTCTCTCGAAGTAAGTGGGTGAAGGGTTCCAAGGCCAATACATATAGTAAAGGCGAAAGGGGGCAGCCTTGCCTGGATCCGTTAGAGAGTGTGAATGTCTGTCTCAGAAATAAACCCACTATTGACCACCTTGGCAAATGGGTTACTATACAGGGCATCTACCACCAACCTAAACATCTGTGGAAATTCAAACTTTTGCAGAGAGGAAGGGCCAGTGCTTTCTCAGGATCTAGTGATAGAAACTTCAGCTAAGTACACATGATCCCACCTGTGGAATGGAATGTAGGGGCATAAGGGAGATTTTCAACATCACTATATAAATATTTTATTTATTTTTTACTTTTTAATTTGCGCCACCGAGTTTTAAGCAATTTGCCTGAAACTGACTGAAAATAGTACATAATATTTTTGTTCAATTGCAAACAGTCAGTGAAAAATAATTTAATGTGCATCCTTATTGAAATTGTGACTCTTGAGGACTTATATTTCCAATGTCTAGACTCTTCCATAATATGTCTCTATTGTCTTTATGCCTTTGAAGTTCTGAACACAGTGCAGATAATTAAACCATTGTATCATCACCGGACCGCATTCCAGAATTGCAACTATGACACACTAGACCAGGGTTGCCCAAAAGGTAGGCAGCCAGAAGTTGCTTTGCTCATGGAAGTTGTAGTTTTAATTCATCTGGGGATTTGTCCTTTTGGGAACCACTGCACTAACTCTCAACATATGCTACAGGCTATTTTTTTGTATTTGTATTGCTACACAAATTTTTGTTCCTGAACACCATTGTCATTGCAGAATTTCTAATACTGAAGGCATTCTGAAAGTTTATATTGGTTTATTGATATCCTAACAGCTAAGAGAAAATCACAGTGCACATCATCACAAACCTCCTTCTTTGACCAGGCCAACTGTTCATTTGTTTAGAAAATTTGTTTATAAACAAACTGGATATATGACCAAGACACCAGATGCTCTGTCATCATGCAGAAACACTACACCAATGCTCCCTACTGCCCTAGAGACACTCATTAACCACAGCCTTTCCTGGCTTATTCCAACAAAGTTCCAATCCAAATTGGAAGAATTAAAACGACATGGCTTCCAAAGTCTCAAGATTTGAATATTCACACTATAATACAGCTCTGATACCCGTTTGAGGGACTGATTACCTAATTTGGATGAGTTTTTAAATTGATAAATGAACACATTAACAAATCTTAACTAAGTAGCTAGTAAATGAGTTATAATAAAGACTGTCTCTTGCAAAAACAAATACTTGAGTCCTCGTTATCATGGTGTGTTTTTTACATTTAAATTATGCTATTAAATATAAAAATAGTCTGTAAACCATGCTTCTCCTATGGTACAGAAATAAAAAAAATAAAAGAAAACACATAAAAGAGAGAAACCTACTATAATATTTTTGTTTTTATAATTTTTAATTATTTTTGTTTTTTGGACAGGATGCTTCTCTGGCATGGATCACGTCTGTCAAACTATGTTGGTATTCTCAGCCAAGGACTGCGTGTTGCTCCAAGAGAGGCTCCAGTCACAGGTTACATGGTAAGGGATTGGGTACTGGAAGCGTTCAATGTTTGGCCTACCACAGTAAACAGGTGGGTCTAGGCTAATGCTTGAATTTAAGTTACTACTGTGTATGTAATGTAACAGATAATGGTACTTTGTGGCAAATCTGTACAATGCATATATGTACACATTATGTGTTAACTGTTCCATAAAGAAAACAAGTTGCTTTTGGTGACTATTGCTTTATGACACACCCCAGCACATGTAATTACAGGGTATACTGGGGTGAGGTGTGCAGTTGAGATAGGTATAAAACACTTTTGCTTGACACGGCAACATCAAGGTCCCATGATTCCGAATGTTGCAATGTGCTTATTGTGTTCAAGAAATCATGTATATCAATATACATTTAATGCTAGGTTGTGCCATAACAGCAATATATTTGCTGCAAGTAAAATAAGTCTAGATGTTGTACTTTGAATTCTTTATGGTCATTTACTTTTATAGATTAACGTAGACAAACGCAAACATTTTGTCAGTAAGATATAAAGTGCACATACACAAAAAATTCTATACATATTAAACAATCAATAAGTTGAATGGCACCATCTATTTCAGTTGAGTGACCAATGAGAAGTCACTGCTTTATGGATATATAAGATGGAAGTTACATCTGAGATTGATTGGTCACAGTTGGTAGCTATCCTTGGTTATGGGGAAGGGAACTAGCAGAATGATTGAGAGAGAAGTAATTTAAAAATAAATCAGGGAGATGAAGGACAAACAGGTATGGAGGAATCCCAGGTATAAAGTGAAGAGGGGGGGAGGAACACTTGGTAGGTTACATAGAAACATAGAATGTGACGGCAGATCCAATCTGCCCAATTTTCTAAATACTTTCATTAGTCCCTTGCCTTATCTTATAGTTAGGATAGCCTTATGCCTATTCCACGCATGCTTAAACTCCTTTACTGTGTTAACCTCTATCACTTCAGCTGGAAGGCTATTCCATGCATCCACTACCCTCTCAGTAAAGTAATACTTCCTGATATTATTTTTAAACTTTTGCCCCTCTAATTTAAGACTGTCTTCTTGTTGTGGTAGTTTTTCTCCTTTTAAATATAGTCTCCTCCTTTACTGTGTTGATTCCCTTTATGTATTTAAATGTTTCTATCATATCCCCCCGTCTGGTCTTTCCTCAAAGCTATACATGTTAAGTTCCTTTAACCTTTCCTTGTATGTTTTATCCTGTAATCTATGAACCAATTTATTAGCCCTTCTCTGAACTCTCTCTAAAGTATCAATATTCTTCTGGAGATACGGTCTCCAGTTCTGTGTACAATACTCCAAGTGAGGTCTCACCAGTGTTCTGTACAATGGCATGAGCACTTCCCTCTTTCTACTGCTAATACATCTCCCTTTACAACCAAGCATTCTACTTGCATTTCCTGCTGCTCTATTACATTGTCTGCCTACCTTTAAGTCATCAGAAATAATCACCTCTAAATCCCTTTCCTCAGATGTTGAGGTTAGGACTCTATCAAATATTCTGTACTCTGCCCTTGGGTTTTTACGTCCAAGATGCATTATCTTGAACTTATCCACATTAAATGTCAGTTGTCACAACTCTGACCATTCTTCTAGTTTACCTAAATCAATTGCAATTAGGCTTATCCCTCCTCCTTCCCAACAAGACCTTCTGCAATATCACTAATAAAAATATTAAAGAGAATGGGTCCAAGTACAGACAACCCCATGCTTCGAATATACTCCCTTGACTACAACCCTCTGTTGCCTGTCACTCAGCCACTGCCTTAACCATTCAACAATATTGGAATCCAAACTTAAAGAACTGCAGTTTATTGATGAGCCTTCTATGTGCAACAATGATCTCCCTGAAGTAAACCCATATTGTCTCTGTTTTTTGAAATCCATGTGATTTTAGATGTTCAACAATCCTATCCTTTAACATGGTTTCCATTACTTTCCCCACTACTAAAGTAAGGCTTACTGGCCTATAGTTGCCCAGCTCTTCCCTACTACCTTTCTTGTGAACGGGCATAACATTTGCTAACTTCCCATCTTCTGGGACTACTCCTGTTAACAATGATTGGTTAAATAAATCTGTTAATGGTTTTGATAGTACACCACTAAGCTCTTTTAATAGCTTTGGGTGTATTCCATCAGGTCCCATTGACTTATTTGTCTTTACTTTTGAAAGTTGAAATAGAACCTCTTCCTCTGTAAAATCACATACAACAAATTACTTATTTGTACTTTTTCCTAACTGAGGCCCCTTTCCTTTCTTTCCATCTGTAAATACTGAACAAAAATATTCATTGAGGCAGTCAGCTAGACCTTTATCCTCTTCTACATACCTTCCTTCTTTTGTTTTTAATCTAACTAATCCTTGTTTTACTTTCCTTTTCTCATGTTTTGTCCTCCTTTTTTTTTCTTTTCTTTTTTTTTAAACTGACTGTGCTATTTTCTCTCTTGTGTGTGATTTGGAAGCTCTTATAACTTGCTTAGCCTCTTTCTGCCTAATCTTATAGATTTGTATATCTTCCTCACTCTGGGTTTTTTTTATAATTACTTTTGGTCACATCTGCAGAGTTCCACAGTGGTTTCTTGAATTTTTGGCTTTTACGGACAAGCCTAATGCAATTTTCTGTTGCCTTCAGCAGTGCAACTTTTAAATAATCCCATTTCTATTGGACTCCATTTAAATTGCTCCAGTCTGATAATGACTCGTTTACACATATTCTAATTTTAGAAAAGTCTGTTTTTCTAAAGTCTAAAAGTTTTTTTGTTTTTTGTGTGGTGTGACTATTCTTATATTAACCCACACTGACTGATGATCACTGGATCTTTGACTTTCCCCTACAGTAATATCTGATACCAAATCTCCATTTGTTAACACTAAATCTAGTATGGCCTCTTTACGAGTTGGCTCCTCGACGACTTGTTTTAGAGACAATCCCAGTAGGGAGTTTAGAATATATGTGGCACAAGCAGCTACTTTGGTTTTCCAGTTCATATCCAAAAGATTAAAGTTACCCATGATGATAACTTCCCCCTTCATTGTCATTCTAGCTATTTCCTCAACTATTAGATTATCTAACACTTCTATTTGTCCATGGGGCCTATAAATCACACCTACATGAGTTACTTTGCTATTACCAAATTCTAACGTAACCCAACCGGATTCTATGTTCGCCTCGCTAACTTTTATTAGGCTATGTACATTAAGAATGTACATTAACCAGCTTGGAACTCTTGTTCCTGGCTGGCTAATGGCACACCAATGATGCTCCGGAGGTCTAGTAACACCTCAGCAAGCAAAGCGGGTTATCTCTTTTAAGTGTAGGGTTTCAATGCAAAATGCTGCACATAGTTTCCAGACCAGTCCTCAAGGCATGCCTGCCAGTGCAGGATTTAGGGATTACCAAGTTGTGTCTAAGGTGTTATTAGAAAAAGAAATAAAAATACAACTTGACAACTGGATAATCCTCAATTCCTGGACTGGTCGGGGTGGCTTAAGAAGTGGTTTGGAAACTACTGCTGCAGGCACTGTGCCCACTGCAGATCACTGATCATGGTGCTTGCAGCAACCCTTTAAATATGCAGTATTCAATAAATAGCGAATTATTTATTTGGTGGAATAAGAAGGAACACAGTCAATAATGATATAAGAAGGCAGTAGTCACTTCAAACATTCTGAATATAGTTTACAACCATGACAATATAAATATAACAATTCCTGGTGATACCAATGGGAACCTGTGTAATTGGCACTATATGTATATATAAGGACAGCTTGAAATTCAACTTTGTAACTATAACTGATATTGAGTGTGGTCATTGCAAACCTGGTCAGTTCTGGCTCTTGCCCAGAAGATTGCTAACTAACCAACCCAGATTCCCAACACTAGAAGTTTAAGTGAGGAAAGAAGAAGAGGTGAGTGGAGAGAGAAATAGAGTTGAGAAAGTGAGGGGAGGAATGGGAAAGGATGAAAAGGGGAGAGAAGGGGGATATTGACCCCCTCTCCCAAACTGAGACGAACCATGAATCACAAAGACAAACCCAGGACCTAAGTGCTGCTAGATACCCCACAGGGCTTAGGTCTGGGCGCAGCAGTCTGAGCATCCATGAAGGGAGGGCGTGAGGTAAATCACACTTCCGCCATCTATTGACGTAGGGCGAACACACCCGTCGTCCGCCATCTACCAGGGACTTAGCTGCATTGAGTAGATGTTTAGTCAAGGATTTTTTTTATACAGTCAAAGGAGCAATTTAGTGTGATGTAACAGCATTGGCATGACCTGCAAAGGCACGGGATGTATCCAAGACCACAGTGGATAAGTTGACAAAATTTAGTTAAGTGTGCAGGACCACAACATGTGGAGGTCTCCAAGACTCCCCCATACATGCAATGTACCTTCCTTTAAGCAGCTATTAATTCAGTTCCTGTAGTTTAGCACTCGTAGCACTTTGATGCATTAGTATATTCACCTTCTCCCACTATTGGTCTGAGTGTCACTCCAGTATCCCATTCTCAGCAAGAGGCTGATTTCTCAGGGTTCTCCTGGGGCTGTTTTCAGCAGTATGGAGTAGATGACAGATTCCTCTATATCAGTGGTTCCCAAACCAGTCCAAGATTTAGGGATTACGCTATTGTGTCTAAAATGTTTAGAAGAATTTTTTTTAAGAAATCCTTTAGACGCAACAGGGCAATCCCTAAATCCTGGACTGGTTGAAGGTACTTGAGGGCTGGGTTGGGAACCCCTGCTCCACACAGATGTTTGAGTAGCGCACGGGGTTTTAGACGAAGTCAAGTATCTGTGTAAAAGATATTTTCCCCTTTGCCATGCGTAGAATGCCTGAGAGCAATGTTTTGTCGAATGTGTTTTATAAAAATTGTGTAGTAGATTTGGATGTTGTCAAAATTAGTTTTGTACGAATGCATTAGGATGAAAAGAAATGTAGCTTATTCTGAATTGAATTTCTTGCATTTGGACATTTTGGCACTGGGCCAGGCTCCTAAATCAACTTCAGTCGATCGGGGGAACTTAATCCGCACTATGCCTTCCAATGGGGATTCTGAAAACAATTTACGCGTCAGGACGTCTTTTGTCGTTTCTAGTAGTCTAATCCCATGAAACAGTAGGAAGCGCCTCTAGTGGATGTCTGGTGCACAGTGCACTTAGCCCACTTTAATGATATGAGGTTGTTTGTGTGCCTATCCTGTCCTTTTAAAGGTACCAAATTAGTGAGCAATTTAGTAGATAGATCCTTTTTGGTATCCTTATGGCAATCCCATAAGCATTAGAGTGCTAAGAATCCAAAAGACCAAAACTGCAAAAAAGCCCTACCAATTGTCCATGGGTGGGGGTTAATATTAAAAATTATTCCCCCCACCTGTAGAAGAAAGGATTTAGGGTGCAGAGGGGAAAGAAATGAGGGGATTTCAGAAGCCTGTATCTCCCTCCTTGTAATCTAAAACCAATTGCACAGAGGGAATTTTGTCCAACAAGCAATCTATTCCTGGTTTCATTCACAATTTGTATTTGTCTTTTGATTAATGATCAAGTCTACAGTGTAGTGGCCTTTTGGTATTAACAATTCTACATATCTGATAAGGGAATTGACTGGTGTAGATCCTTACCTTACATTTAAAATCAATGTTTTTGTAAAGCAAATATTATAAACTTTTTTTTTTTTTTTTTTCAGTTTGGGAAAGGTATATATTTTGCAGACATCTCATCAAAGAGCGCAAATTACTGCTTCACATCCCGTGATAAGAATGTTGGCCTGCTGCTGCTATCTGAGGTAATAATTTCTTTACGCATGGTGCACTCATGTACCATCGCTATACTGGAAAGTCTTTTATACTCACAATTTTAACCTTTAATATGTTTGTTAACCTTTTGACTATCAGGTTGCTCTTGGAGAATGTAATGAACTCTTGAATGCAGATTATGATGCTGAGAAAAAGTTGAAGGGAAAACATAGTACCAAAGGCATGGGTCGAAACATACCTGCCCCTAAGAACAGCATCATACAGTGAGTAATATATATTTATCATCCATTGCACATTTTTATACTGACAAACTTTCTGAACTTTACTTTGTAACCTCATTGCAGTGATGGCGCCCTGGTTCCATTAGGGCCACTGGTGGACACAGGATTGACAAACAGTGCTGGTTACACTCTGAACTACAATGAATACATTGTATACAATCCAAACCAAGTTCGGATGAAGTACCTGGTTCAAGTGCGTTTCAACTATGAGTCTCTCTGGTAACAAGCATCCCAAGACAGTCTCTTTAAACTGACCCAAGGGGGAATTTAGCACAACTCAGTGTACAGCAGCTCTGATCTTCATTTCTCTTCTAAAAGGACAACATATTTATTCTGCTGCTAAACATGTCACATTATATTCGTGTGAGGACATTCAAAAAAAAAAACTGTCCTCGAAACATATTAACAATCATTGTTTATTTGAATCTGCATACAATGTTATCACAGCCTCACTTTCAAAGAAAGAAAAGTGCACTCTGGCTGTGGAACGGAATAAAGATCTTTAATGGGTTTCTTGGTCCTATGTATATTTCATACAACAAAAATCAATAAAATAAATGTTCTTTATGAAATATTTATTGCTCATTTCTTTTAAACAACAAAATATATGCAGGCCTAGTATAATTCGAAATAGATTGAGATTAATAATCTTTGCAAAATCACACCTTCAAACATGATGTAACTATCTAAATATTACAATGACAGATCCACACACCAGTATAATCTTAACATACATATAACCCAGCTTTTCCTTTACTCACACTGGTACTTGCTTTCAATTATTTAATTGCATCTTATATGCAAGTCAAGAGATACACATTTCCATACTGATCTCCGCAGGCTATCTGAGGGATTGCAGGGGATGAGTCACTCTCCAGTTTAGGACAGAGTGACAGGCAGGTGATAGCTCCTTCACAGTGGAACATTCCTATCTGGAAATACAAATTAACATTACTACAAATGACAAGACCAATTTCTGTTTAATCATAAGTACTGCAAAAGTATTCACATACCTGTTTGAATGGGTTACGCTTCCAGATCTTCACGGACCTGTCCATGGATGCTGAGACAACGTAACCATCCATTGCACGGAGGCAGGAAATTGAAGCATTGTGCATCTGTAAGCCAGGAATAGGGGAAGTTCAAGGCAAGAATTGTGCCAATAGCCATTTAATATAAAAGAACACATTGTTTAGTTAGAAATAAAGATATTTAATCCTTTGCCCCTCGGATGTTATTTTGTCAGATTGTGTACAGATTTGGTTGTCTTTTTTATGGTAGCAGGATTTATTTTATTTTGCAGTTTAATAAGAAATAACTTCAAGCTGGATGTTTCACTTTCTTTTTAGTCAACAATCCGTAACTGCTTGAACAATATGGATTTGAGTCACTCTTCAATGTATATAACTAGCCGGCCAGGGTAAATAGATAAGTTCATCAATTTAGTGATCCAGGCTGGGCTTTCCCTATACTGAGGGAAGAGTGCACATTGTTTTGTAGTCTTCCGTCTGCTCAATTTTTATAGATATTTCTTATACTTTACTTCACATACTTAAAGGGACACTGTAGGCCCTTCATCTCATTGAACTAATTGAGCTGGCTGGAGTCCCAGGTGTTGTCCATTCATTCTTCATTAAATAGTTTTAATGCTAAATTAGAGTCCTTGTCCCATCTGTGCTGCCTGAGCTAATGTGGAAGTATTAGCCCGAGCAAGAATGGGCATCTGTGAAAGGTTAAAAGCTGTACCATGCACGCTCAGCCAATCACAGTATCCATTGCCAGTATGAATGGTATGACTACAAGGAAATGTGTAAATTCTGGACTGCAGTGTCCCCTTAAAGAGCAACTGTCACATCCAGAAAAGTGACAGTTCTTTGTTCCTTCAACCCAAAGTGCACTTCCAAGATGCTATGCAACATGTGTGCTCACTTACGAATCTAACAGAGAAATGCAATACTTACACATGCAAGCTCAGCATTTCCTCCAGCAGTGGTGCATACACTCATGCTATACAAAACTTTTAGCACAACCAATAACTAACTTTGGTTAACTATACAGCTGTACTTAAATTTATAAAGTGGCTGCTCTTTAAAAAGACATTTTAAAGTGGTCTTGTATAATAAAAAAAAAAAGTCTTGCATATATACAGAATTCGGATTGAAGTAATATTATTGCAAACAAGGCAACCGTTAAAGGGACACTATAGTCACCAGAACAACTACAGCTTATTGAATTTGTTCTGGTTAGTAGAATCATTACCTTCAGGCTTTTTGCTGTAAACACAGTCTTTTCAGAGAAAATTCAGTGTTTACATTACAGCCTAGTGATAACTTCACTGGCCACTCCTCAGATGGCTGTTAGAGATCCTTCAAACATTCAGTGTCTTCCCCTCTGCATGCAGACACTGAACTTTCCTCATAGAAATTCATTGATTCAATTCATCTATGAGGAGATGCTGATTGGCCAAGGCTGTGTTTCAATCATGCTGACTCTGCCCCGATCTGCCTCTTTGTCAGTTTCAGCCAATCCTATGTGATTGGATCAGGCTACCACTTCTGCTGATGTCAGCAGGCAGTGGGCAGGTTTTGTCTGTCACTAGCCGCTTAAGATACCACACATGCTCAGTGGGATCGGTATCTGGTTGCTTCGAATGCCATTAAAAGACATAGCAGAATTTTGCTTCTTTAATAATGGCTAACATGGCATGCATTAAATACTAAAATTTTATACTGTATTTTTCTGCAAAATTTGTATGTATCTTTATTTTCATTTAGGATGGCTTATAGGTTTCTCTCTCTGCCTCTCCGCTATGGAATAGTCATAGAACAAGGGAGTCAAGTACGGAATGACCCAATCATAAGAGTTTGACTGGCTGCTGCTCTTAGAAGGCAGTACGCTTAATATGAAACGAGTAAGTAAGGTGGCAGAGTACGGTAAAAAAATATAGGATGACTCCTGAAGATCTTCAAAAATTGGATATCTAAGGTGATTGCAGAAAGAATACAGGATGTATCATCCAAAGCAGTTTAGCAGTCTGTGCACAGATTGAAATTCAGAGAATGGTCCAAACCAGATAAAACATGAAATATTCAAGAAAAGTTTGCAAAAGTGTGTAAATCATAACTCAACTAAGGATATATGCAGTACTCAGACTGTCAAAATGAACAGTGCTTCCCACATTGATAATATACAAAATTTCTATTGGAGGGTCCTCTCAGTAGGACATTTCCTTGAGTCAAAGTAATACAAAGGTAGATGTGGTGCTCCAGACCCTGGATTAGGCACACACCCTTAGTTACAGTGTCCAGACAGTTTTACAGTTGTTCAACTAAGTGCCTGGACACCTGTCTTTTGCTTGGATCCCATTAATAATATGGCATCCTTAAAGGGATAATATAGGCATCAATATAACTTAAGAAGCGATATAGGTCTCACTGCTCAATTCTCTGCCATTTATGAGTCAAATCACTTATTTATGTCCATGTAGCCACAGCTCCCACTTGTGACTCACACAGCCTGCATTATTTCCCCTCCATTTTCAATCAGATCTTGACTTACAAGTTTTTATCTCATGCCATATAAATTAAACTTTAATTTAAGGGCGTTCTATGCCGTCCCGCATTAATGTGACAGTGGTGAATTACGGTTGAACAGACATATAGCGCAAATTCCAGTTTTTGTTTTAATCAGAACGTGCACTATTGACTCCGTCCTGAAGGGGTTAAAGGGACTCTCCAGTGCCAGGAAAACATTAGTGCCCCTCTCCCTCCCACCACCCATCCCAAGTTGCTGAAGGCTTAAGACCGAATGTGCATGCGCATTAGACCTCCCCATAGGAAAGTATTATTCAATGCTTTCCTATGGGATTTCGGCGACGCTGGAGGTCCTCACATAGCGTTCTCTGGTCACTCCTTCCGCATAGGAGCCGCTTCATCAGCCTCCAGTACAAACACCCCGATCCACATCATCAAGAGACTGGGTCGATGGAAATCCTCCATATACCATACGTACATACCACAACCAGAAAGAAAGCTTCGCCAAGCCTTCAAGAATTTGGTTATGTAATAAATGCAATAAAGTGTGTTTTTCCTTGAACTTCTCTTTTGCCTGCTTTTATTTACAGGCCCACTCGTACGTTGGTTTCAGCACACCACAACCAACTTTCATCTCAGACACTATCCATTAAGCATTAAATTCCGAGCACAAGTAGGAAGGCCATTAGGCCTGAATTTGTGGGAGGAGTAAGTCCCCTACTTAAACTCCCAGCCCCCACTCACCTCTGCCGTTCCAGTTGATTGTCCTCACCCACCTTCACCCTTATAGCATTACAATTCTCCTTGGTGGGCCCTCTTTTATTTAGAGGCCCACTCGTACGTTGGTTTCGGCACACCACCACCAACTTTCATCTCAGACACTATCCATTACGTATTAAATTCCAAGCACAAATAAATAAATATATATATTTTCAACAGCAGCCTTGGTTCTAACTAAAACCATATCTAGGTGAATGTATCTTTCTATAGCAGATAAAAATAAAAGAATAGGGCAAAATCTTCTTTCCATGGACGTTCTGTATAAAGCCATTCTGAAAGTGGCAGAGGGTAAGAAAGCTCTTCTGCAGGACTGAAGAAAACCATCATTGTTTTTCGAAATAAAGAGATATCTAGTCCTTTCATGATAGACTATGGATCAGGACAAGTATACACACAATCTTCTTACTGGAAATCTCAAAGTCATGAGGAGAAAAGAAGCAGTCCAGAGCCTTCTGAAGGTGCAACAGAACAGGAAAGGAGTAGGACCTTTCATCCGAACTAATACTACTATACCCAATGTATGAGTTCTAGAGAGTGGTTACAAACTAGAGCCAACAAATTCCACAGCGCTGTACAATGGGTGGACTAACAAACATGGATTTGTAATCAGATGAGTTGAACGCACAGGAACAGAGGAGGTTGAGGGCCCTGCTCAATGAGCTTACATGCTAGAGGGAGTGGGGTATAGAGATACAAAAAGTAAGATGTATAGCCTTAATTGGTTGTTTTATTTCTTTATTAGCTGTTGAGGGAGAGAGCTGACCCAGTTGTGATGATGCCACTGAAATTAGTGAGGAAATAAAATTACGGCAAATACAAATACATTTTCCCCTTTACAGGTCCTTTGAAATGGAGGAAAAAGAGCACATAGTATGACTAATTGTACCTGTATTTTTTCCCACTTGACTGTCATCTTTCCTTTAGAATCCTTAACCTCTTTGCTGGGAAGCCACAGACCCCCTGCTGTATCACATACACCTGTATAAAAGTAAGTGAGCAAGTCAGAATAGCATTAAGTAAAACATTTGTTTCACGCATTAAAATATGTGTACCATCTCACACCATTAGAATTAGTAGTTAACTGCATGAGTAAAATTTGCAAAATAGGTGCGCAGAAGTCAGGTATTATTTTCTAGCAGAACTCTGGGGACCTCTCAGTTAAATGAAACTAAGTATCGATCATTATAGCATTATTTAGGAACATAATAGATTAAAACAGCAAACATCACAAATGGACTTATAAGAGTACACATATTAAAAGTATTATTAAGTTTTAAAAAGCTTTGTACCAATGTCCGATTTCTTTGCATTGATAAAGGTGCCAGGCTGCAACTCCTCAGGTGGCGGCACCCTGGCTTCTTGCACAGAGCTGGATTCAGAATAATTTCCCTGCTGATTTAAAGAAACAGCCCTTCATAATTTAGCTTTAAATAATGCACAAAGAAACCATGTTCAGCTATTGATAGCCATTCATTGTCAATACCTTTAGTACACCAGTCTTTGTTTCAAGGAGAAACCTATTTCCAAGCACTGTAATCAACTCAATCTGTTCTGAAGAGGTTAGATTTGCACTGACCACCTGGGACTCCATTTCCACACTGTATGCTTTCTTACTTCTGCAATAACCGAAAGCACAAATATTTAGAACGTTATTTAATGCATGCTCAAGTGTCCAAGAATCTCCCACTCAGAGGAAATTTGTATACAATATCACTGTCTACCCATTGAATTCCCAGTGGCGTGTTTACCCCCTGCTGATGTCAGACACCCTCATCTCTGCAAGCAATGGGCATCGACACCTTCACTTGGGCAGAAAGGAGAAAGACTGGAAGTTGTAAGGGAAGAAGAATGTGTCAGGGGAGTGGACTGTCAAGTGCAATTTATTTTAGATTCCTTCTCTTACAAACTCACCTGAAGCCACCAGCTTTGCATGGAAACAATAGCCAACGTGACACCTTCTTGTCATTGGATACCACACAGAATGACCGTTGAGTGGTAAATATAAGTGAAAACACAGAAAGTTCACTGCACTAAATAGAATAAAAAACACAACAGAACACACAATTATGCCATATTTCAATAGTACAGGAACATCATCTACATCAGCAACCACTCCTATGCACTGGCGTTACCTGTAATGTGAGAATGGGTTTATATTGCTTCCATACAATTACAGCTCCAGTCTCTTCACCTGACACCACTACCTTTCCATCAGGCGACCAGGCAATAGCAGAAACTGCACCGATGTGGCTGATGGGTAAAACGCTCTCTGGAGTGAAAAAGAATAATATAACTATTTTTTTCCTTTGTAATCCTAGTGATTTCCAGCTAATGATATGCAAGAACAGTTCCTATTTTTTATTTCCATGACACTTTTCCCAACAATTCAACTGTGCATTACTTACTTAAGTCAGCCACAGTACATACAGTGTTCCTGTCAGTTGATTTACACGTTACAACTATAAATTACATCTTCAAACCAACATATTTTAACTCGGTCACACAGAGTAGAACTCAGAAGTTCTTCCAACTTGACATACTCTCTCTGCTAGGCTTTCCCCACAATCGCACTGAGCCATCGAGTGCTGCTGTAACCGTGACTTCGCCGTGTGGTGCACTTGCTGAAGCGATCACGGTGTCTCCATGACCACATAACATTTGCATCTTTTCCATCTAGAAGACAGATTGAGGGATGGTGTCAGAATGCTAACCAACCCATCTGCAGTCAAGAAATTAATCATGCATATTTGTCAAAGTGTCTCACCTGCAGAGGGCTCCACTTTAAAACAGATCCATCAGAACCGGCTGTATAAGCCACTAAATTGTCATCATCTGCAACAAGAAGTATTTAAAAATTATTAACAAAGAGAACAACCTTTTTGTGACATTACAAGTTCTGAGCTATATAGCTATTATTTAGGGCAAGTCCACCTAAAGTTCTGGCTAAATCATTTAATACAATTCAGTCTTAAAGGAACACTATAGTATCAGAAATACAAACATGTATTGCTGACATTATAGTGGTAAAATAAATGTTTAGCCCCCTTTGCCTTTTAAAAGGAGATTATACTCGCCGCATCTGGCCTTGCCTCTGTGGCGGAGATCCTCAATATTGACTATCTCAGACAACGCAATGCTTTCCCATAGGAAAGCACAGGAAGGCTATTGTGATTGCATGGCAAAACACTGCACTGAGCCAACTAGTATCTCCTCAAAGAATTGCACTGAATCACACTGTGCAGCACTGGACTAGGAAGCACCTCTAGTGGCCTTCTGAAAAGGCAGTGTTTACAGTAAAAATCCTGCAGGAACATGCTATAGACACCAGAACCACTGCATTAAGCTGTAGTTGTTCTGGTGACTCTTGTATCCCCTTAAGCAGATGTAGAGGACAGTGTCTTTGCTAGGAGACTGGACATGACCTGGGATTAGAAAACTGAAAACTTGGAAGAATATAAACACTGGGAGATAAAATCATGTCAGCCTGTTCAGTGGACATAAAGAGTGGCACGGACAGACCTCCTCCCTCTCCGCCCCCCCACGATTTTGATTGTTACTTGTCGTGGTGTTTATGTAAGCAATGTGGGGCAAAAAGTTATGAGCATGTACTTGGTGGTATATGGTATGAAAGGTGGTCAAGTCATCTAGGACTGACTGGCACTTTGGTGATGTTTAATAAATTATGTTTACAAAGTTACACGTTATTTGGTTAATTGTTTTAAAGTGTACAATTTGTTATGCCCCCTCGAGCTTTAAATAAAACACAATGTTTTAGCCCAATAAAAGTTAACAATTTGTGTCTGTTCTCAATGTATGGTCTCTATTCAAATATATACGATTGCCTGCCATACCATATTTTTTTGTGTGAATTTGTTTACTTTCATATTTAGACTGCTAAATAGATAATATACTGACCCTGAACTCTATCTTCATAAAACAATACTGTCAGACTAAGGCACTAACTGTAGGTGTCTCTGTCTAATTTATGTAGATATTAATAAATGCTTCAGATTAGATACTCAAAAGCGTATGTGCAGAATATAATGTATTGACATCTTTGCCACATGCAATTACCTTGGCTTTCTTCTGAATCCCAGTACGCAATTATCTGATTTATTTGGTCATGGTGAGCTTGAATGCTGGCAATCTCAACGCCTGACATATTCCAAACCTTCAGGCATCCATCCCTACCTGATGTCAGTACACGTTCTCCCTGTAACAGCATTACAAAGCAGACATCTATTTCTGTGACTATTCAGAGATGTGAATTTTCAAATGGAATATAAGTACATACCACGCAAATAGCACTACTGATTGCACTATGATGTCCTGCAAACTGCAAAAGGCATTCCTGCAGAGTGACATTCCAGAGACACAAGGAGCCATCTCCCGAGCATGATACCTACAAGTAGAGAAGGAAGGGCTTGTTACCTGCTATCAATAAGAAAATGCTTCTTTGTTCATGTGCACGTTTTGCAGTTCAATGTATTTATCATTAAAAAACAAAAAAAGAGCTGTGAACCCCGAGAACAATAATGAAATCAATCTATAAGCAAACCTGAACGGACTTCTATATCCTTTTTATCTACTCTTAGTCGGATCACACCTTGGCTCCACAACTTACTCTGATCGTTTTCTTCTTTTGAACTCCTTCCTTGCTACAGCATAACATCTCCCTTACTTTTTTTTCCCTCCCTCTCCCTCTCATTCTCTCTCTTAATCCCCACTTTGAAAGTTATGGTTTTAAACATAGATATAGTTTAGTTCTCTTCCTGCATAGGAAATACAACAGACAAGAAGGAACAATGGAGCTTGGGAAGCTACGCATTCACAGGCTCCTTGGAAACTCTTGACCGTTGCTGCAGATCAAAGGATGAGCAAGAGGAAAGGGAACCCCACTACAAACTCTGAACTTTTTGGTTTTGATTGGGCAGCAACCCATATATGTCCAACTGTATACATCTGTATTACCACATTGTCTCATTTCCTTCATATGAATGCATTGCCATGGTGAATGTATCCATGCATTTACTTGTACAAAGAATGCAATCACTATCTTAAGTGATGTTCTTATTATTGTTGGGCAATATCTATGCAGTTTTGTACTCTCCCACTTTTTTTCTGAAAATTTAGAGAATTAAAAAAAAGTTGTAAGATTTTCTTTCTTAGTAACAATAATAAACATTTATAAAGTTAACTCTTTAAAAGGGCAATTAATTTTTTGGGGAGGTCTAATATTTTTACAATAAAAACGAAATCTAGACAATTTCACTTCCACTAACGAAATCCAAAACCAACCTGTCCGCTTAACCCTGCAGTGTATTAAACAGTACACTGTAAAAAAAAAAAATAATACAGTTTTGTATTCCTAACAGTTTAGTGTTCTGTTATGTCAAACCAAAAAATGATTGTCCTGGAAACCGTTTAGATAAAAACATATGAAAGCATTGCTTAACAATAAAGGGAGCTGGGGCACTGCGGCATAGGTTTTTTAATTGGCTTATTAAACTGGCATGTAAATGGCAAATTTTCCCAGGAAGCTGTTCCTACTACATACACATCTACTCTCTGAATCACAGTTCCATGTAGTAAGAGGCAGACCACACCTTCACAAAGGTGACTGCTATGATGGCTATATATGAACTAACATGAGTCTTGAAATCAGAATAAGGCTATCCAGTACTGCCGAGTCATTTTGCCCATAAGAACCAGTATTTTGTCTCCAACCATGCTACATTATTTAAGAAGACTAAATATAAATGGGGCACGGTTGAAACCGGGAATGACCAATATCCATACCCTCTTCGTTCACCACAACAAATGACCTGATATGCATTAGTGCAAATCAGACCCTTAGTGTTCAAATAAGGATTGCCGACATTAGAATGCACTATATTGCTAAAACAATATAATCGTAAAGCCCAATAGTTGCACCCATTGTGATTTCAAGTTCAAATTAAGAAATACCAAATGTTTTAGAGGTGTTATGGTGTAGGAAGTGGACTTAGAAAGAAAGCTTTTGTAATGTATATGAATGTATTCAACTACCATTCATTTGCTAAGTGTACAGTCACTGTTATGGTACACTAACACACAGTGGTGCACACATGTAAATATATGCAGGCACTATGCATAGATGCATTTGTTTTGTTCAGTAATAATAAATTCAAGGTGGAGACATACTTGTGTTCTCCACCTTTGTTCATGGTTTAGGATAACAATAGGATCATGTATACAAGTAGTCATGTCTCACCAGTTTATTATCCTCAGTCCATGCACAGTCAGATACCCAGTCCCTGTGGCATGACAGCAGAGAGTGTACAATAGCAGGTGGGCTTAGAGAGACATCCCAACAAAACACAGACTGAAAGAGAGGAAGATCAGTCACATAATGAAATAACTATATCTGTCTATTAACATTTAGGGTTATTCACTAAACTGATGAGAATTAAAAAGGAAATTGTAACTTTTCTCTTGAACTGGAATAGCAGATTTGAGAAATGTTGCCAGTTGAGCTATCAGGCCTAAGATTTAAATGTAATGGACATGCATCCTTAGCTCTTGCAACTATTATTTTTATTCCATTGATTTAAAACTAAATGTATTTCTTCTTCACCAGCCTGTAAATCATCACCATTTTTAACTTGTACCTTCAACCTTTAGATCCTATCATTATACTTTGATCCAGTTTATTTCTAGCCCTGATTCTCCCTGAAAATTAAAACACATATTCCTGAAAATAACCCAATAATCCGTCCACATCTTTATCATTCTCCACCCTTCATAATCTACTAAACTGGTTGGAAATGCAATTACTGGTCAGGCAATTTTTTGCCGTTCCACTTTTTCTAATATTATTTTAACTCTTAATCTTCCCTTACCCGGTCCTTCCCTCCTGTTGCTAAAAGTCTTCCATCCTGGCTGAAAGAGCAGCATGTAACTCCGGCTGTGTGGCCTCGTAGGACAGAAACTGGGGCAGAAGGCAAGGCAACTCCAAGCAGATTTTCCAATGTCCACAAGCAGACAGAAACATCGTCTAAAGTGTGACATACAATGAGACTTGTTAGAACATGGAACTATACTAGTCAATTTTAAAACTCACATTAGCACTTTCATAGTACCACTTCAATAGACTGTACCTGGTCAGACACATAGGGTATTTATAGCTTCAATAGGGTGTAGTCTCAGTTAAAATATAGGATTATTGTGTGCTGCTGTTTTTAATACAGATGCAAACTTTCCAGAAAAAAATCTTAAACCTCAGCATATCTAAAAGGGCTCTGGTGCCACAGCATATAATTATTCAATGGAAAATCTCTGTTTTATGAAAAGAAGAGCCCTAATATCCTGTGATGAGGTAGCTATATACATTCAAACTCTAGAAAGAAACAAACAACTAAAACTTATTATAGACCATGGGTGACTACAAATACTCACCAGATGCAGATGCCAAAAGTTGAGAAGATATAGCAAGTGCTTGCACAGGGCGCTGATGTCCATGAAGTGTCAGTTGACAGACAGAAGCTCCAGGTGTGACATTCCATATTCGCACCAAATTATCAGAACTCCCAGTGACCAGCACACTGTCCGAGAGCCATAGGAGAGTTCTTACTGCCACATCTGTGAAACTGCATAGTGATACACGGTCACCTGCCAGAAGTAAAGAGATGTTAAACTATAACCAGTAACGACAACATATAAAAGAAGTGTGTTTATAATATATATATACACAGATTTATATACATATATACACACACACACACACAAAGAATTAAAATAATGTATGCAAAATTAAATAATTTTAATAATCTGTACCATGCTCAGTGTAGAATGATTCCACAAATAAATAAAAACATTTACAATAACATGTAGCAATTGTTGCACTAGGAGTGTCCCTTTAATGCGGTCTTTCATTCTAACATAGCTTATACAAATTATTCCTCTTCAATTATTTATCCATAATTTCATACTAGCTGGGAAATGTTAACTATAAGTCACCCAAGGAAGAATGAGAATGAGGGTCACAAGCTCAGAAATTGCAGGTAATAACTTAAGACATCACATTAAAGGTGAGAAAAGTTACACCCTCTTTAATATATGCAGTCATTTCTACCCTGCGATGTAGACGGCACTAGTGACTTGGTATCACAAAAAAAAAAATCCTAAAAAAAAAAAGTGTTTAGTCATTATTACTGGAGAGGACATCACAATGGCAAAACATATGCCCCTAAAAAGAGTCTCCAAGTTATCTAATCTAATTCAAAAAAGTCACAGTTTTAAGAATAAATTTGTGTGAAGCTGGGAGACTCTCACTGTAGAGAATTTATTTTTACTGATCAGCAGTGACCTAGTCATACAAAACAATGCATCGTACAAACATCAGAAATGCAATATCTACCCCATTCAGATATCTCACCAGAATCCACATTATAGACAAACACTGAATCTGAGTGATAGCCAACAGCCAGCAGTTGTTTATTAGGTGAGATCCCAAGACATAGTGCTGGGGACTGTGTGCTCTCCATACAAACTTGACCTTTCAGCTTCCCAAGACCACCTGACCAAACTTGTACCTACAGAAGAAACATAATTATACCCAATCCTTTCCCAGAGGTTAAGTCACATCATTTGCACTTCCAACATGGTTTTGTCCCTGATAACATGGCCTTACCTTGCCATCCTCTCCACCTGTTAGTAGATTTTCTCCCTGTCTCAATAAGCTGGTAGTCATTGTTGATCCATTATGGGCACTGAAGTGAGCAAGTTGGACATTAGCCTCCCAGGCCCAAAGCGAAACACAGCCATCAAGACTCCCTGAAATCACCATATTGCCCTCCAGAGAGAAAGAGATGGCTCTCACTGAGGAGCCTCCACCAATGATCTATGGAGAGTGAAGTGTAAAAGTAAGATATCACAGAAAAAAAATGAAAACTGTTGTTCAGTAGCTTACAGTCTTACAGCATTTCTCTTCCAGGTGCCCAGATGAACCATTGTTATCTTCCCATCCCAGGATCCCACTGCAACCACATGTTCACGTGGATGAAATTCAACACAATTCAAGGGACTTGGAAAAGATGTTGAGCCTAAATGGGAACCACGGCTAGTCTCCCAAAGCTGAGAAAAAAATAAAAATAAAAGAAACATGGAGTGATTGGAAATTATTGTAACATGGACAGGAAGAGAAGAGGTTCATTGTGTATAGGACTGTGAAAGGGCCAGTGCACAGGAGTGTTAAGAGGCAATACAGGCCACATACTGGAATATAAAAAGAACAAACCTTAAGCTGGCAGTCCAAAGAACAAGTGAGAATCTGCCTACGATCAGCTGTAGCACGGCAACCAGTGACCTGCCGCCTGTGAGCTTCAGTTCTATACATTCTGAGGACAATTATTATATACAGTGTAAACAAACTAATAGCAGCAATATTTAGCCACATGCATGAGTAATAAACTGCCCATCTCCCATCCTGACTTGTATTAAATTATTACTTGTGTATTAAATCAACAAAAGACCATCAGTCAAAAGATGCTTCCTTTCCAACATCAGTACAATTCCACCAAAATAACTATGTCCAGACATGCTCTGTCTCAAAATGCCAAGTACACACAAGTCTGCACACAAACACTTTGCAAGCTCATTAACAGCCACCTGTTGCCTTGGGCTGTCTGAAAAATAATCAGGTGATGGTTAGATAGGAAAGAGACTTATTGCATAATATTTCAAAGAACACTCCACATTCTTAAAGCACTTCCTGAGCAGAGATGCTTTAGGAGTTAAGAGTGTTTACCACTTAATAAAAGTGATTTTATAAAAGTAAGCACGCCAGCTGTAAACTGGACAGGACAACAGAATATCACTATGGCTTTTATTCCACATGTGATATTTGACTTTTCAAGTAGTAAAGTAAAAAAAAATCTTTAGCTGAATTGTGGAAAGGAATCTTTATGTCTTCCGAAACAAATCCCATTTCAATTTCATTTCAAACAAAAGTGATATTCTTATTCACAATATAGTGATCAAAGATTACATTTGCATATTGCTCTGTTGTTACCTGCAGCCATCTTTGATGTTCCAGATCTCCATTATTCCATCATATGAAGTTACACAGAGAGTGTCAGAGGAAATAAATGAGCAAGCAGCTACTCCATCACAGCCACTTTGTAGTATTTTCAAATCCTGTCAAAGTACAGAACCAAGTCATCTTCAAATTATAAATACCCATTAGGCTACATGTTAAAATAATTATTTATGATTTCAAGTAAAGAGGAACAATGACCCAGTGTCACTTGAACCAAATTAGGATATATTCCAAAACCAAAGAGCAACATATGATGCCCTATTACTAACAGAATGCACCTGTCATGGTTGATTATATATTTCCAACCTGTTCTATGTTAAATTTTGTATTTATTGTGTATTAATATTGTTTTTGTATCTTATTGTACCCTAATGTAACAATGCAATAATTTGTGGACCCAGGACATACTTGAAAACAAGATAAATCTCAATGTATCTTTCCTGGTAAAATATTTTATAAATAAATAAATAAATATTACTAAACAAACTGAGAGCTCAACTCACCTCCCCACTCTGTGTATCAAAGATGTATAGTGAGCCATCACTAGTGCCTACCACGGCCATTCTACCCTCTGAGCCCAACACAGCACAACTGGGAGAAGAAGGGACCTCCAATGATTTGCTGTGGGTATAAAATTATTTACATGTAAGACTGACCAACATTTCTAGGTAGGGAGAAGAAAAAAAAAAAAAGAAGAAGAAAAAAAGAAACCAATCCTCCCTTCCACCATCAGAACACTGACCTGGAACAGACATTAACCGATTGAGGTTTGTTAATCCACAATACGAGTCTCTGATCATCTGTATCATTTCTAGCACTCATGATCTTTTGAGCTTCAACACATACTATGGAGCAGCAAGGTTCATTCAAAGCCAGTTGGTAAAATATTGAAGGATTCTGTGAAAGAATAGGTAGGGAGCGCTGAATGAACTCTCTAAGCTCCTCCACAGATGATACCACCATATGCAAATCTTGCTGCTTGCCACCAAACTCCTTCAGGTCCTGGTTGGAAGACACAGCTTCAACTGGAACAGCAAAAGGAACGTTAAAGAATCAATAAAATTAAAATGGGCTAGCAACGAATCTTCCATTATTTCTTACCAAGAAAAAAAAAAGATAATTGGAAAAAGGAAAGTTATAGTTTTATAAATATAACTCATGCACTCACCATAGCGACAGTACACCTGACACAGATGTGGGAGTAAGCCCAATGTTGCGTGTGTTTGCAAGAATGGAAGGGTCAAGAGCAGTTCTCCCAGGATTTGTAACTGCCGACTGCACAGCTAGGAAGAGAAAAGCACTGACATAAATAGCATGTATTACAGCAGGTTTCACTAATAAAATCAGAGTCTAGTACCTATATAATACATGCGAGTAGTATTACAAACTCTGTAGTTCCTTTATATCAACAATAAATGTAATACATGCGTTAATACAAAGATTTTACCCAATGAATGGATCCCAAATGTTAGTATGTTCAGCACACACTTTGCACAGGAGCTAGAGATTTCAGGCACAGTAGGAAGTAAATGGGGCACAATCTAAATTCCAATGTTACAACATTGGGAGGGTGAAGTAATTAGTTACATGGTGTATGGCACTTATTAAAATATCTAATGAAAAAATAAATACATTACACCATAATAACTGCATTAAAACTGGGGGCGGAGCCTAACTCCTGAACTAAACGGACGTGTTTTGTATGGGCTCCTGCCGTAGCCACTGAATCCCTGGTGATATCACGGGATTCCGACCCGGGAGCCTCAAGCCGAGTAGATACGTACCTAGGGGGTAACCCACTGATTCCTTTGAGACCTCTCACGGGACCCTGGCCACCAGAACCCGCAGCGGCAGTCTGAGGCCTACAAACGCATGAGTCGGGGAAGGGCGGCCGACTTCCTTACTCCGACCAACCTGCACGGCAAATCTCCTACTCTCCACCCCCCCGGACCGGCGGGGGTTATCCCGGTCCCCACTGAACAGACCTGTTTAATTGCCCCAACTCTAAGAGCCTAACGCCTGATCAGGGACAACCACACACAAGATGGCGGATGACAGGGCCATTAAGGTGCAGGGCCGAAAATGGAACCAGGGCAATCAACTGTACCGCAACAAGCAGCAGCCTGTCACAACCATTCTGTGCCCCATAGAGCGACTCCTGCAGAGGCTCGACGAGCACTTCCAGCCCTTTTGGGATGCCCTGTAAAACCAGAGAGCCCGGTCGCCACCTCAAGAACTGATGGACAAACGGAGGGACGAGAGCCGGGGGCGTGAGGTACTCCCTTGGGCCTAACGAACACCCATACACCCGTATCTCCTACTACTGGCCTACCTGGGCTGAGGACCATCAGGGGCATGACCCTGAGACATCGCCCACACCGACGGAGGGCGCCCCGCCTCAGGCGGCGGCACAACATCGGAGCCCCCCGCCACTCCCGACCCGGCCCACCAAGGTTTCCGGGTCCGTGGACCTGAGATGTCTGCCTCTACACAGGCCTGGGGCTGGAGGGAGCAATTTCCCCGCCCTCAACGTGCTGCCACCTCTGCCCGTTACCATATTTCAGGCATCGCAAGCACCGAAAAGGGACGGTAGCCACGAGGTACCTCATACAGCGGACGCAGCAGAGCCCCCTCTGAGGGACTCATTTGCTACCTCCGAGCAGTGCCCAGATGGGGGGTGAAGTGCCTCTGCAAATGAAACTGCTTGCACACCAAACGCAGACAGCCTGCTAACCCGAAGGATTATCCGAAACTATTATCTGATGCCTAAGCCCTAGAGGATGCGTTCCAAGGACTCCTGGGCCTGTTTAATGTACTCTAACGTACTCTCTAAAAACGCTTCAACATTTATTTTTATTTCTAGCAAGAGCCCTGACATCGCCTAACGTATTTAATTGCCCTCACAGGTTTTACTAGTGGTATATACATAGTAGACGCTCGCTACTAGATTTCAGCGTATTTAAACCCTTTTTAAAGGGACACTATAGTCACCTGAACAACTTTAGCTTAATGAAGCAGTTTTGGTGTATAGAACATGCCCCCTGCAGCCGCACTGCTCAATCCTCTGCCATTTAGGAGTTAAATCCCTTTGTTTATGAACCCTAGTCACACCTCCCTGCATGTGACTTGCACAGCCTTCCATAAACAATTCCTGTAAAGAGAGCCCTATTTAGGCTTTCTTTATTGCAAGTTCTGTTAACATTGCCCCTGCTATGTTAATAGCTTGCTAGACCCTGCAAGAGCCTCCTGTATGTGATTAAAGTTCAATTTAGAGATTGAGATACAATTATTTAAAGGGACACTGTAGGCACTGTATCTGCTTCATCTCATTAAACTGATCATAGTGTCTGGAGTCCCCTGGTACCATCATTTCTTTCAGCATTAAACAGTTTTTAATGTTGTAATGTTTTAATGCTAAACAAGAGTCCACGGCAGTCTATCCCCTCTGTGCTGCTTTGGCTAATAAGGAAGTATTACCCTGAGAGGCAATGGGCAGCTGTGATTGGCTGAGTGTGTCAGCTGACTGCTTTTAACCTGTCAGAGCTCCAACTGATGGTATGAATGGGTATGACAACAAGGAAGTGTGTAATCTCTGCCTTAGCTACACATACAGAAGGGGCCGGACTGTGGGTGGCCTGGGACTCTAATTTTGTGGTTTACTGCACAAACATGGTGCAACACTGAATGGAGGGACAGTGCCAGGCCACTCCAGCAACTATAACCAATTCAAAGAGACAAAGTGGTTATAGTGACTACAGTGTCCCTTTAAGGAACACTAGATTAGCTTGCATTTCAACACTCCACAATTAAATAATCATAACGCACTAGCTTGTTATAACAACTAATACATTGTTTTTGTACCAATTGTTCTGATACAAATGATGCCTCAGTAATACTCTAATAATAATTTCGCACTATAGTTATAGGCAGACTGTTACTCATCTTAACTAGCAATGGTTAACTCTTGTTATATTAACCAATTAAGGACACATGACATGTGTGACATGTCATGATTCCCTTTTATTCCAGAAGTTTGGTCCATAAGGGGTTAAAAAAGTGCACGTTTTATCTGAATGTCCCAAATATGTTTCAATGCATGGTATGCTCTTCGCTCGTCAATTGCTTTTGGGGCATGACAAGCATATATATAATGATGATATGCACAGCAGAAAAAAAATTAAAAAATAAAACAATAATAACTGCATTAAAACTGTAAAAATTATTTGTTCATCCAAATGTGATGTACTGGATGAGTTTTCTTATTGGTCAAATAGAAGAGCTCCAGCTGTGATATCTTAGAATCACATGTTTGATTAGTGCAGAGGTCAATAAAACATATCCATTACAGATAATATAATCTAGACCAAAGTACATAATGGAAATAATAATAGTGACAAGCTTAATTTACCTTTCCTGGTCAAATCATTTCTTACATTTAAATATTATAAATGGAATCCCTTTTTATTTTGCGTTTACATTTTTCTTAAATACGCAGAATCAGATAAATAAATAAACATACCAAATGATGGGACAGTTCACTCAAGCACTCAGCTGGAGGTAAAGGAGAGGATTGTGGGTCTGCAGGAAAGCAAACCGTCCACAGGTGTGCTAAAAAAAAAAAAAAAAAAATATCCAGTGGGAAATTTCCGATTAGAATTAGGATACACAGTTTGTATTGGCTAATATATAACAAAACTTTATTTTTAGGGTACCCAATAATTGTAGAAAACAAATGATTTTTCATGAGACATTACCGGCAATGAGAAGGTGCACAGCCCTGATAACCTCTGATTTTGCCAGATAGCGTTTCTCCACAACATCTCTAATTAAGCCGCTTGGAAGGTGTAGTCTAGAATCAGAAGTCCAAAGGCCAAGTACACTACAAAATGAAGAAGAAAGTGAATGATCAAGAGAATGAGCAAGAAAGAAAACTGTCCTACTACTTCAAGGGGCAGATTATGTTTTCAAATTGCATATTGAACATATGGAGAGGTCATACATGTATTGAGTTATAAAAACTATTATCACCATCCACCAAAACCCTGTTTCCCCCGGCGCACCAGTCTTGCTGCGGCCGCCCCCACTCTGCTACCTTTGATTAACAATCCTAATGAACTCAGCAAGTCCAATGCTTCCCCACAGGGAACATGACTTGATGAATCTCTTCAGGAGCGACAGCCACTAGCAAATGCAGTGTTTTCGTTGCTCAGCCTTAAGAGACAGACTCTTTGTCCCAGAACTATTACATTAAGCTATAGTGGTTCTAGTTCTTATAATGTCCTCTTAAGAGGTTATTCTTAAAGTGCGCCTACTGAGGACTTATCACAGAATATTAGGTGTAGTATTTTGGTACTAGATATAGTGGTAATATTTTATATTATTATCAATTGAATATTATAATAAAGTATTTTGTCAATGTATTCTTATAGTACTATCTAGTGTAGGAAGTGTTGGAATAAATCAGTATATCAGTATACATTTAATTCTGTGGTATTTAATTGTCATGCAGTGGTAATATAATCCCTATGAATTCATTTCATTTGTCAGCTACCTGGGTCACAATAAACGGCTTATTACTTGGGTCAGTGTATTGGTTTCTATTGGTCTGGTGGTTACACAATTAAATCTCTCTATTGAAGAATGTATTTCACAATACAAATGTTCCAACAGTTATGTGTCAGCTCCTTCACGGAGATGTTAATATGTTTATGACAGCAAATAGATTAACCAAGAAATAAACGACCAGTTTATTAAAAAAAAAAAAAAAAACACACTTCTACATCACCAGCTGTAACTTCTCTTTCCCTGAGCACAGATATTTTAAATGCAGTCTTTGGACAGACACATGCTTTATTTCCATTACTTTGTATTCTGGCACATTCCAATGAATAGTTAAAATGGACACGTTGGAAAGAAATAAAAGAAATGATAAATGTGAAGGTGATGGACTATGACACTAAAAAGAAGAATTGTACAAGTCAAGCCAAGAACAGCTTGTTACCTTCTTAAGCCCCTTAGGAGTAGTGTAAAGGTGGTCATTGGAAGGTTTTCTGCTTGAGTAGCCACAGTCAGTATCTTATTCCAACTTGTAGCATATACAGAGTGCAGATTCTTCAAAGAGCTCAGGATCCGGAGAAGATCTCGCTCTAGCATTCCTACAACAGTATCAAGAATCACCTGAGTACTTCCTAGTATAGCATCTGTGAGGTTCAAATTAATTACATGCCAGAATACTCAAGCAAAAATCCAGATGGGGAGTTGGCTGCTTTTACCTTTCCGTGAGAGGCAGATGGCAGTCAGAGCTATGGTTACCATTGTTGTCCCATGTTCATTCTCCAAACTCTGAAGTCTTCTCTGGATAAGTGGGGCAAGGGAAGCAGGCAACTTTTGTATATCATCAGAGAGCTATGTAGCAGAAAAGGATAGAATGTATTTTAAAAAGCAAAAAGTTTGATATAGTAAGTGTCTGTAAAAGAAAAGAAAAAAATCTAGAGAGAGTAAGGGGCATCTAAAAAAATAAAATAAAAAAATGATATATATATATATATATATATATATACACACACACACACACACACACACACACACACACTTTTCACATATAAGGCAGTAACATTTACACAGACCTTCTCAAAGATTGCATTGGTACGTAGCTCCTCACAGGCCATAGTCAAGTACAAAGGGTCTTTTGTTCCCTTCTTAATCAGAAGTAGACGCATCTAAACAGAAGAAGAGGTGTAAGTGTCCATGTAGGCACAACAATGAAAAGTGTTGAGGTTCTTCAAAACAAAGAAGGTGATCACCAAGTGTGTTAGTGATACATGATAGAGCCAATCCATATAAAGTGAATAGAGAGCACAGCCAGAACATAATACAACTGGAGTAAAATGCTTGTGCACACACAAACCAAGCGTTGAGAAGTATGCATACACATCTTACACTATTGGGCTTCTGTCAAAAGCCAGTAAGTATATTTGTAGCAAATTCATGGTTTTTAAAGATGTAAAATGTTAGTGGAACTGAGTGAAACAGCAGCTTTGACATGTATACGATGTAAACACCAGAAGGGCTGACAAACACATAACACCTGGTTGTTGAAGGAAGACTCATCCAGTTTCTTCCCATACACAGCTAGCCTCTGTCTCACTAACTCTGCTCGATCTGAAGGTTCAAGACTCCCTAAAGAGATGAGCACGGTGTCCTTCCGACGGCGCAGGAATCCAGAGAGGGAAGATCCCTCGGTCATGCTCAGGACCAGGTTCACCCTCTGGCGGAATAAAGTATATATTCAATAATGACGGTAGAACTACATTAACATTTCACTTATGCAGCTAATATGTGTGAATTTTAAAGCACATTTTACACATAGTAAGGGTACATTTAGGTACAGTAAATAAGAACTCTCTCAGATTTTATTTATTTATATATATATATATTAGCTTTTTATATGTCACCTTGACACCCAAATGTGCTGTAAAAAAAAGGTTATAGCCTAAGCCCTCAGAATTGCATACAGAATTGTATATTTCAGAATTCCTAGTTCATCTCAAGCGCATATTCAAAGTTGAAACCCTACTAAAGTCAATGTGATCTGTTCTAGGGCAATCATGTGCTAAACTGACTAATCCCAAATCCATGAATTAAAATACAGGCTTCAAATGACAGCGAAGACGTTTTCCTTATTGAGGCAGCTCACAGAGGGCTCAGGTACCGCTCCTTCCTCCGATATCGGTCATCGGCACTGGCCTCAGCTTAGGCGGAAAAAAAACAATACTTATTACATTAAAAAAATATGTACATGTTATACTAAAAAACATCCAATTCAAATAGTTTGTGAAAATACACTATTCAAGGGCAGACTAGGAAAAGGTGACAAAAGCCTCTATAAAACACAGAACAATGCCAGAGAGACATTTGAGGAGTTATCCTTTTTAAATAAATTGCTCAGTGTATTTTATTCTGTTTATTATTTTAGCCCACACAAAACCATTAGACATACTCAGTCTCTAGCAATGGTGAATGAAAAATTTAAATTATTATCATTATTTATACCGTAGGCAAATGCTCAGGGATCCAATCAGAACTGAGATCCCCTGCACGTCCACAAAGCAAGTCAGCACCATCAATCAGCAGGGTGAATGTTTGGTTTCGTCTCAGAGACCGGGAGGTTAATAGTAAGAGATAGTTGAACTCATCCCTAAGTGCCCTGTATAGATTGTGGAAGATTACAAAGAAATGGTTAATGCCTTATATGCTGTACAAAATTCAGTTGAAACTAGAGCGATCTATTCTTTGTGTGTGTCAGAGAAAAGATCGATCAGTAGCAGAAGTGCCATGATTAGGGCATTGCAAGCAGAAAAATCAAAGGTGGAAGTGAATCATGCAGTAATTGATAACAATGTGTAAGATTCAATAGAGCTTGTGATATGCGGGTAAAATGTTAGTTTACTCATAATCATGAATTAAGAAAATAAATAAAAGGAGGCGGGATAAGCCCTGCAGTGTAAACATAGCAGTTTCTATGAAACTGCTATGTTTACAGCTGCAGGGTTAAAACTAGGAGGACCTGGCACCCAGACCCCTTCATTGAGCTGAAGTGGTCTAGGTGCCTATAGTGGTTCGTTAAGAATTAGAATGCATATACAGTATAATTAACAGGAAGGTTTATGCAACATCATAAATAAGAGAGCTTCAATAAATTCCAGCCACTTGCTCTAAGCACATTAGGGCCACTAACCTGTAGGAGATGATGTTCTCATTTGGCCTCTGCAGATGCAAGCTCAGCTGTTTACAGACACGTGTCAGCATATTCTCCACTCCCCGTGCCTCAGGGGTGGCTCCCGCAAAGTGATAAATCACTGAAGAGGATGCTGCAAGTCTCAGTTCTTTCACAAGGACTGCCTGCCGGGAAGATGTGAATCCTTTTACAACTAAAATCAACCAGTTAGCACTAGCTATCAGCCATAACATACTCAGCCTCAATATATTTTAGCCAATTCCAGAACAACCCTGTTTTTTTCAAAAGATATATTCCCAATACTCAGGTTTATTTATGAATAAATAAATATATATATATAAATATATAAATAATGGCTAGGCCCATCTGTATGAAAACGGATCATAACTCTCCCGAAAGTAATGTACTGGCACAAAGCATGTCACACATAATAGCTATTTTTGCATAAACTGTAAAGCACTCAGGATAAAAGCACTATGTCAGAACTGTTAAATCAATAAATAAATAAAATTTGATCTCCCAGTTCCACGAAGTAGGCACATTTTCCCTTCTGTTAGTACTCTACATTATGTCGAAAACTTACCATGAACACCGTCTTTCCTTGGCTTGGCTCTCCACACACAAGGAATACTTGTCCTTTTGAAGCAGATGACAAGGTCTTCTCTACTATCTGGTTTTGTGTACTCAACACTAACTTTTTCCTGGCACAGAAGAGTCGTTCCTGCCACTCCTGGAAGCCCTCCTGCTCTCCATCCTCCCCAGAACTATCGGTCTCCTCCTAACACAAAAAAGGAAAGAAACAATTTTTAAAATAAAAAAAACACACACTCATACTATACAAAAGTATTTAAAATATGTATCCCTCAGATGTGTCCTAAGATGAAAAAGTATAGAGAATACACAAAAATGTTTCCCTAGTTTTATATTAATATCTGTTGAGACAACTTCAAAAGGATGTCAAGAAAATTTGACAAGGATCAAGAGTCATTACTGCTGCACACAAAAAAGATCCAAAAATTGAAGACTTTGTAGTATTACTTACCCTGATAAAGTCCCTTTCAATCACTTGCCAAATATCTTCCATCACTTGAGCCTCGAATTCTTCCAGCCCTGTCACAAATGGTTTCCCATCTCGCTCGCCGCCCCATTGACAATCATACCTAGGAGGAAGGAAAGGAGGTTTTGAAACGATCTAGCTGACTGTCCAATGTACCATTTAAAATTAAAATGATTACCGAGAGCTCTTGGCGGCTGGATGTTTGCACACTCTGTTCTTTAAGTCAGCCACACGAATTTCTGCAGCTTGACTTTCAGGAGCAAAATCTGACAGCCACTCTTTGGGCACAGACCTGAGCAGCAAAAAAGGATGCAAGTTATAAGAAAAGCAATACATGGTCACAAACAGAGTTATATGGATAGCGCAATTGCCAACACAAACAGATACTAGGGACACCAAAAGATAAACAAAAGTTATATACCGAAGTATACCAGGATCCCTTAAATAAAAGAGAGCCTTGGGGTAACTTGATATTTTGCGGTCACAGTGATTCAAGAACTGCATAGCCTCTAGCTCAGTGATGGATCGTCCTGGAGGGTAAGTCTGAATCTACAGGAAGAATGGACAATTACAATATTTTGTTAGACTTAATTATGTAATGTAACCTGAACAGTTGTTATATTTCAAACCATGTAATGTGGTTAATATTTTGTCCTGTGGAACATTCATCTTTATACTTTAACAAAGTCCAATAACGCTTAAAAACGAAAGAAAAGGGGTACTTGCGCACTATCCCAAATCCCTACGCACCTTTAAATAACTGGATTATCACTCCAATTGCCATTAAAGTGTAAGCTCAGCTGCCATGTTAAGGCAAAATCTTGAAGGGAAGTCCCACACTAACAGTTCAGCTTGCAGTTTTCATCTAAAATGTAAATATGTTTCCTTTGATTTTTATTGTGTGTATTGGAGCTGTTGTGTACTATAGTCATTGCATCTGCCCAGGAGTTGTTGGAGATTGAATGCAGGGATTAATTTCGTATGTTCCAATTACATTTAAGTTATAGTCAAAGGTGGATGAGAATGTCCAAATTGGTTTATAACAATAATATATCAGTGCTATATCAGGCACCTTCATGACCCAATGGGGACAAATGGATCTCTGTGTTGGTACATAGCTATTCTTTAGTGTATTTTGAAAAATATTTTTTATAAGGTTTTTAATTTTGTTAAAATAAATAGTAAAGGCTTACAGGAGAGACCTAAAGAAGTTTGGTTGGCAAATGTTTCAACTGTATGCAACATATTTCTGCTTTACCGAACCCCTCTCTTGCACCATTCCATTCCTTTTTTTTTTTTGCACTACTCACCTACCTGTCCCTCCTCCTGCACACCCTGGCTCCTTCTTACTTTATAGCATGCTTCTCCAGCTTCACAACTTACCAGTGGCTGCAATTAACAGTCTGGTCATCACCTTGAAATTACCCATGCTACATCTGGTCTCAACTGCCATTTTAACCTTTAGATTGTAATTGCATGGCCTAGCTAAATTTTTTGTATAAAGAGCTTTAGCATCTAGCTCAGCTCATGGGTATTGCCCCGTTTACTTATTTGTCAGTAGTATTAATAATTTCCACCGGTCAAAAAAAATGATGGGTGTAGAAGCCTAAATAAGAATACAAAATAAACCATTATATACAACTAAGCATTTTAAAGAAATAAACATGTTTGATGTACTTTGGCAAACATTCTTTTGGCAATTAATAATAGTATAGTTTTTACCCATTGAAAGTCAGGCAGGAGTGGCACAGAATACACAGAAGGAGTATGCCCATATCGCTCGCCTAGGATCCCGATAAATATCTGGCTTCGAGAAACTTCAGAGAGGCACAGAGACAATTGTCTAATTCAGAGAATACAGGTAAACATGAGTTGCAAACAGACAATTATCACAAGCAAAAAAAAATGTACAATGTGATATTTTCTAACCAACTCCTCTCTAAATTGTATCTTCAATGTGCATCTTTCTGTTTAAACATTTTTGTGCTTTTTCACCTGTCTTTCTTTGCTTCCTCTTCAGTAATTCCCCACCGTAAGTCAACTTCCTCCAGTGACAGAAAGTGACGTGCAGCTCGGACACGCAACTCTGGTATCACACGGCCAATCAAAATGTCTCGCTCACCATGCATGTCACGGAAAGTTGAAGATATAAAGACACGAATGCTGCGCCACCTGAGACACATACAATGACAAACAAATCAATTAACAAAACCAAGGCATACAACAATAATTTTCGAATGTCTTCATGATGAAATAATATTCAAGATTAATCTCACTGACATCAATTCTTCCTATCAAATGATTCCAGTGTACAATAAGACTGATATTATATAATGAAATAAATGCATATAAACAGCTTATTAACACAAGTTCTATTTGACCTATTAGGACACCCACAGAACATGATGATTGTCTGAAGGCTCCAAGAAGTATCTGGGGCAAAGCTCAATATGATCAAAACTATTAAATTATGGTACAAAAATAAAACTACCTTATGCTATTTTAATCCTAGATCCTCAAAAACAATTTTCATCAAATATATGTTACCAAATGGAAATTAGCAGATGCTACAGGAGTGAAATCTCTGCTACATTAAACTGTATTCAACTGTAACACCAGATTAAATATTAACCTTATAATTTCATTGCTGCATATCTGACTGCAGAATATAAATGAATGCACAAAAAAGCCAATAATCTACGGTTGAAAATACCTCTGTTTTGCAGGCATGGTGATTATCTCCCGGGCAGACACCTGCTTTCTCCTTGCACTATCTGGGTCTTCGGGAACATTAAATCTTTCATTTACCTTTTCCACGTGATCAATGAGCCGCGCAGTGCCACGCTCCGACACAAAACTAGACAAAGAGGATACGCAGTTGCAGTATGTATATACAAGTTGCAAAAACTAACACTTTACACTTCTCACCATAATATAAGATATATTGAATGGCAATATTTAAAGCAATGATGTTTACTTTTAAAATATTAGTCTCTTTAGAAAGTAAAAAAACTTTTGTCTCTCCGGGATAGAACAGTCTAAAATAACATTAAAAATGACTTTGTATGCTTGAGCAATTTTTAAGAAAATAACATCAGAAGAAGAGTGTTAAAAAAACAAAACAAAACTGTAACTCACTTAACCCCTTAAGGACTGAGCCAAATGTACACGTTGTGAACAAAACCAAACGTAAACGAAAGCTGGCATTTGCGCTATATGTGTGTCCAACCATAATTCACCTCTTTCATATTAAATGCACCCACTCTTATTATATATCATTTTATTTAAAGGAAACAGGGCTTTCATTTAATATCAAATATTCAGCTATGAAACATAATTTAATATGAAAAAAATGGGAGAAAATAAGAAATTTTGTTATTTGTTTTAGTTCTACATGGCATTTTAACTGTCAATGTCATAATACTGTTTGCTTTTACTGCAATAAAATACACATATTTGTATTCAGCAAAGTCTCACATGTAAAACAGTACCCCCTATGTACAGGTTTTATGGCGTTTGGGGAAGTTACAGGGTCAAATATAGCACGTTACATTTGAAATTGAAATTCGCCAGATTGGTTACGTTGCCTTTGGGACTGTATAGTAGCCCAGGAATAAAATTTACACCCATAATGGCATACCATTTGCAATAGTAGACAACCCAAGATATTGCAAATGGGGTATGTCCAGTCTTTTTTAGTAGCCATTTGGTCACAAACACTGGCCAAAGTTAGCGTTAGTATTTGTTTGTGTGTGAAAAATGCAAAAAAAACGCCAATTTTGGTCAGTGTTTGTGACTAAGTGGCTACTAAAAAAGACTGGACATACCCCATTTGCAATATCTTGGGTTGTCTACTATTGCAAATGTTATGCCATCATAGGGGTAATTTTCATTCTTGGGCTACCATAGGGTCTCAAAGGCAACGTAACCAATCTGGCGAATTTTAATGTGAAAAAAATGAAACACAAGCCTTATATTTGACGCTGTAACTTTTGAAAACACCATAAAACCTGTAAATGAGGGGTACTGTTCTGCTCGGGAGACTTCGCTGACTCCAGAGTGCTCTCTACTTGGATGCTATATATTGGTCAGAGATTACTTGCACCGGAGCATGGAAAAGACCGGGAACATTGAGTGCTGGGACCTGGGGAAATATATATATATATATATATATATATATATATATATATATATATATATATATATATATATATATATATATATATATATATATATATTTCGTTCTACGTGTATTTTGATATAAATATATATATATTATATTAATATCACAATACAGTTAGAACGAAATAACATTTATATATTTTTTAATTATTTATTTTTAATTATTTTTTAAATTTTATTTAACGTATTTACATATTTTTTTTAGATTATATATATATATATAACAATAATTATATATTTAATCAGTATCAGTCTACGTGTAATTTGAATATATATATTATATATATATATGATCTAAGTATATAATTTTTTTATTTTTTTTTACACTGATTTTAATTTAATTTGATTTGATTTCCAGCCAGCAGGGGGACTGTCATTACAGGCAGTCCCCCTGCTGGCAATGCAGCAGCCAGCTAACCCGGCCATGTTATTGTGAGGTCCTCGCAAGGACCTCACTCTCACATGGCCGGGCGGAGGAGACAGGATCCGCCGGGGGGGGCCGGAGGAGGCAGGATCCGCCGTGGGGGACTCCCTGGGATCCCAGGTGAGTCTCCCCAACCGCGATCGCTGGCGACCGGGTAAGTTAAAAAAAAAAACGGAGGGCGTACTATTATGCCCTGCGGTGTTTAGAGCCACTTAGAATAGTGCGTAATAGTACGCCCTCCGATTTTAAGCGGTTAAACATCTACTTTATTTTGGTTTGGCAGATGGGTTCACCCTAAACTTTGTAACTAACTTGCCAGCTCATGGTTTGGTGAATTAACTTTAAAAAAAATATATATTTTGACACTACTACTAAGAGGTACACAGCAGTGAAAGCACAACTTACCGCAATACCTGTTCAGTGAAACCACAGAGAGTGATATCATTGCACTCTTCAATGTCATCCTCCCTGAAAAATATAGAAACATAGAATGTGACGGCAGATAAGAACCATTCGGCCCATCGAGTCTGCTCAATTTTCTAAATACTTTCATTAGTCCCTGGCCTTATCTTATAGCTAGGATAGCCCTATGCCTACATAGGGTCAATAATTCAATTCCACTGATTTTAAAGACACAATCTTTTTGACAAAACATCTATACGTTTTTTGAAGTAGATATTAACAGGAGATGTGTTTGGAGACATATTTCCATTTAGCAGAAATTGTGCCGTTCTTGTGTAAATGACATGCACATTAAAGTAGTTTCTTGGGTACTGGAACATAGGCGTACATTATGACTTGAAAAAAAACAAAAACTTATTTTAAAGAACAAAAACAACCTTTGAAGGTCTTGTGTTTCCTGCAGATTTCCACAATTGTATCTTCTACGGTGAGCTCTCACCAACCAAGAAGTAACACATTAAAGCTGTTCATATTGCTTTCTAATGAAATACATGCAGTGTACAACTTTTTTGTTTCCAATTAGATTTTATTGAAAAGTTTTATACGGATACATGGCATTACAAGAAACACCCGAAAAGCCAAACTCTGCGATGTTAGTACAAAGCAAATCAATATATTATCCATGGAAAAATACAATAGTGCTCATTACACAAGGTTTTATTAATCAATGTCCTGCCACAGCCTTTGTATTTCTCCAAGAAGCAGTTCATGGAATTATACACTAATCCCATCTGTATCTTTTAAGGAGGGTACAACTTTAATAATGCATGAGGCTTCATTAATGATTTTTCAAAAATGAAGAGACAGTTCCCCAGCATAAGAACAACAGATAATCTGCATGATGGTAGATGACCATTATTATGTTATCATTTATATAGCGCCAGCAAATTCCATAGCGCTGTACAACGGGTGGACTAACTGACACGTAATTGTAACCAGACAAATGGACGCACAGGAACAGAGGGGTTGAGGGCCCTGCTCATGGAGCTTACATGCTAGAGGGAGTGGGATATAGTGACACAAAAAGAGTATAAGTGGGGGTAATGAAATTGGTTGCTAGAAAAGTATTCACTGAACTTATTAAGAAGGTTATTTTTGACTGTTGCAGGAGAGGAGTCGTTGGGGCGGCAACAGTTTAAATTATATATTTTCCGGAAGAAGTGTGTTTTCAAAGATTTTTTTGTAGGAGTGGAGACTGGGTGAAAGTCTAACGGAGAAGGGAAGGGAATTCCACAGAAAAGGTGCAGCCCTGGAGAAGTCTTGGAAGCGAGCATCAGATGTGGGAGAACAGACAGAGGATAGGCGTAGGTCTTTGGCAGAGCGCAGCGGCCTCGACGGGACATAATTGTGTATTAGGGAGGGTAGATAGGTTGGAGGAGCACTATGTAGGGATTTGTAAGCAAGCACCAGAATCTTAAATTGAGCCCTATATCTAACTGGAAGCCAATGTAGGGACTGACAGAGGGGGGAGGTGTGGGCAGACAGGAAAATTATCCTTGCTGCCGCATTTATTATAGATTGCAGCAGTGCAATCTGGGAGCACATAAGACCACGAAGAAGGGGATTACAGTAGTCAAGGCAAGAAAGAACATCGGCATGGACCAGTCCCTTAAATAGGGGCGGATGCAAGCTATGTTTTTGAGATGGAAGCGGCAGGATTTGGCAATCGACAGGACGTGAGGGGTGAAGGAGAGGTCAGAGTCAAAGAGAACACCTACGCAACAAGCTTGCGAGGTAGAGGTGATGGTGGCGCCGTTGACTTTGAGGGAAAGAGACACTGAAGTAGCAACACTTGAGGGAGGAGAGACCAGAAGTTCTGTTTTGGACAGGTTGAGTTTAAGGAAGTGAGAAGACATTGAGTTGGAAATTGTGGAGAGGCAGTCAGAGATCCGAGTCAAGATGGGTGGAGAGAGATCAGGATAGAACAGGTAGATTTGTGTGTCATCTGCATATAAATGATAATGCAAGCCAAAAGAGGTGATGAGTTTATCAAGGAAGGCAGTATAGATAGAGAACAGTAGGGGGACCAAGGAAAGAACTTTGGAGAACGCCAACAGAGAGGGGTTGGGGAGAAGAGGCAGAGCCAGAGAAAGAAACACAGAAAAAGTGTTGGGAGAGGTAGGAGGAGCACCAGGAGATAGAAGTATCCTGATCCAGATGTATTATTACAAATAGAGTGTGACTGAAGAGTTTTGTTTTTAAAAAACCAAAAAAAACAACCACTTCAGCTCATTGAAGTGGTCTTTTATAAAGCTAAGTCCTATCTGGGAAACTGCAATAATTATATTGCAGGACTAAAACTGTCTCTAGTGGTTGTCAATCAGACATTCAGAGTCAGTAAAATCCCATAGGAAAGCAGTGAAGCAGACTTTCAGATATTGCCATTAAAATAAGCAACACATTTTTTAAAAAGAAACTTTCAATCATTTTAAAACACATACAAACAACAAAGAAAAAAGAAAAAACTGAATAATGAAAACCTAATAGATTATTTGCATATAATTATATTATTTTTAAATTGAACAACACCTTCAAAATCCTACATAATCTGAAAATTTAAATAGGTATGTACAGTTAGGTTAGCTGACTTGTGGGATTCTTATGGAGTGCTATATTCAATGTAGTGCAATACAGGAACAAATATACCTAAATATTTAGCTTTTTATGTTTAGCAAGAAATTGTTGCTCTTAGGGGTATGCATTGCTAAATTCTGTTTTACTTTGGAGTACATTCCTGTAGAGAAAACATTTAACTACCAGGGTGGACAAACTAAAAAAAAAATAAACAAATTAAGATAAATAATAGTTTGGAATAATATATGAAAATTAACACAAGCGCCTAAATTAATATGCTAAAAACAGACAGGTGGGTGTGTGAATATCAGGAAGCATAACTACCTTTTATAACCAGCAGGCAGCACAGTCACACAGAGACAGTCTGCATTCACTTCCCTGCGGTAATGGCGCATCACTGTACGGAACTCTTCCTCAAGTGGAGAGGGTGCAAACACCAGAAATGTATCCACCTACACAGCAATACACAAGGCAATACTTTGTAATGTAATGATGTGAGGTGACACATACCAATTTAAAATACTAGAAGGTTTTTAAACAAAGTATCCATTCCAGTGCAATGCATCTCCTCACTGAGACTCGATACTCAAATATTTATAATTTCATGTATACATTTTCCAGCATTTACATAATATTCCAATGGCTTGTCAAAAATAAAAAATAAAACTGTAGGTCGAGTGACCTCTCAAAACATTTATTAACACTTATAGGGTTATAAACTAAAGTGAGAATTCTAAGTAAATTCTAAGAGAATTTCAAATTCAGGGCCAGAGAAGTCAAACCGAAAGAGTAGCGGGCCTTAAAGTTAAAATTGACCTCGAATACTCACTTTAGTGAATAATCCTGTTAATTAGAGTATGAAATAAAGGTGTAAACTCTTGGAAATGGTCTCTTATACCTTAGTTCGCTTTGAGAGAAGTTCAAGTAGATAGTTCACTGGTGGCTTTACATTTTCGACTGATAAATTAATTCCACATGGCAGTTTTTCCTAAAAGTATAGCAATAGTTCAGAAACGAGAACATTTTATACAGCGCAAACATTTTTTACATTTAAATTGTTTTAAAAAAAAAAAGCATTGTTTATCAGAATCTTAAAAAGACACTCCAAGTACCAAAAACACTGACCCAATGTAGTGATTATGATGCCAGAAGTGCACCAACGCCCCTCATGTGCCCGCACCACATCAGGTCGTCTCCCGCATGAGAAGCCAGATGTCTCTCTGGAGCTAGGTATGGCCGATACATGATCACACTCATTGACCGAGAGTGCTCAACTCATACTCTCAGCAAGGGCTTATTCAGGCCTTAAAAAGATACCTGCCACAGCAAGCCTGAAAGGCCCTTGACACACTTATTAGCTGTGAATTTTACTCGTCAGGGCTACATTTTCCTCTGTCAATTTTGAGCCCTGCTCTCAGCTAATGAGCACCTCCTCCATGGGCTTATTAGGCTCCATAAAGCTAACCAGATTTTTTTGCAGGAGAATCTGTAAGCAGTATATGTGGTCAAATGCTCCCTGTTGGACCCAGGTAAATTGCCAAATCTTTCTAAAACGGTTTGAAACATTACACAGTAACAATATCAGGTCACTCCTGTCACCATAACCAATACAGCAGGCTATAGAGGTTATGGAACTTGGCATGTTTTTTCAACAGTGGCCTACATTACAACCACTGGATTTCTAAACTGTTTTAACTAATGGTTTGTGACAGATTACATGGAATCTTTGCTCAACATATTAATCCAGTCTGATTTATGTTTTGGACGAGATAAATTAACTGACATACTAAGGGACATGAGTAGATGTTACTTGTCATGACTTTAGCAATGCCATAGACAGATCAGCAAGATTCAGAGAGCCCAATTTTCACTTACAAAAGTAAAACAAAAATTAAGATTTTTTGGCACAGTTGGATGGCAAAGTTCCCATTTAAGAATACATAATGCACCATAACTACTATAGCATACTGTAAGGGTTATTGTGCCAGGAGCACCCTGGTGCCTCCCCATTGTAAGAGGGGGGAGATTAACAATTTTTTGTGTTTTTTTTTTCTCAGGTTTATAGTACTTTTTTTTGCATGTTTTATTAGGTTTCACACACTATCACAGTGGATTTTAGTGCATGATGGGGTCCTCCCTATATTTGGTTTATATGGTTCATTAAGTGAGTTTTCTTTTGGAAGAGTATCTGTTGGGTTGGTTGTAGCTTAAATGCCTTTAGTCATCAATTTCTTTAAGAGCACCTGCACACTTTATTCATTGTTTTTTAAAATATGTTGCAAACTCCTATAAACCAGGGTAAAAAAATGATTCTATCACTTAATTACATGCAGGTTTATATGTATATATAGCTCTCAAATAACACTAGCCATGCCAGTGACTTACCGGAACTTGATCATTGAGACTGATAAAATTCTGTAGAAGATTGCTAGAAGAAGTTTCATCGAGGAAAAAGGATTGTTCATTATACAAGACTAACTGAGAGCTCTCTGAAATGCCTTTCACCATGAGACCAAGCAGTAGACCCACATCCAGGAGCTGTAGATACACGAGACTAAATTGTAAGACTGGTGAAGAATCTTTTTTTTTTTTTACCAAAAGGATATAAAATGCTTAACACTTTAAAAATGCTTATTCGGCAACTTCTCATTTTAGACTGCCAGAATCAATACAACGAATACCCTAATGGTATCAATAACTAGAAAAATCATGGGAAGCCTGTGACTACTAAATAAAATACACATTTGCACTGGCAAAAATATAATGTGGCTTTATAATTTGATTGGGGGGAATATATAAATTTAGCATTATTCATTATATGGAATCGAGCAGCCAATCAGAATGCATTCAGTGCACAGACTTGCACTCCAGCCCAGTTCTTCAAGGTCAAGTGCTAAAATTTAAGCAGTGATCAGGACCTAATCATTTTCAAGGTGACTGCTCCGCATTTGCCATAGAATATTATGACAGCCAAGCTTATATTATCTATTGGTTCTTTTCACTATTCCCCAGCAGCAAAGAAATAAAACTGCAATAAAAAAAAAAAAAATTATGTTTCTTTATAATTACCTTTCTAAACTAAGGTAATCCCTAAACCAATCATAACTGAACAGAGTCTATAGATTGTTATTCTGGAAAGCTGTTGGTATATACATTTGCTTTTCTTTAAGATTATCACTTCTATAGAGCTTTGGTGCATTACACACACACACACACAGAGACACATTCATATTTGCCTTATGTTTTGCTGTTGTTGCATTCTGTTTTCCTTGTGTGATTAAGTAATGACTGTGAGTGATATTGTTTTTTTTTTTTTAATCATTTTATACTTTATTTTTTTTTACCCTGCCACAAATGTTGAAATTACCATCTTCCTTGCGGCTAAAACATTTTGAATGTCTGTTCAGTCATATAGTTCAGTCATATAGTCATATAGACAGCTGAAGTTAGACTCATTCATCCTCTCCCACAGACGTGTATTATCATTTTCAATCATTAAACTATTGATTTGTTTAAGAATATGTATTGCTTTATTACTTATTGAATAGACAAAGAGAAAATAGTATGTCCTAGACCATGAGTTTATAATAATGTGTGGGGTTCAACTGAAATAGATCCCAATGCAGTTAAAACCTAAAAAAGGGCTTAAATGTGTCTCACCGCTCCAGATAAATAGTATGAAAGCTTTTGAAAGGAGCTCAACATATTGGAAAAGGAAGACTATGCTCAATATATTGCCTTCTCACATCTCTGAAGACAGAACACATTTAGATTTAGAAGACAGATACTAACTTAAAAGGTGAGAACCCATGTAAGAGGTTCTTAAACCTGAGAGATGTTTTCAGATGGTAAGCAGTTAACAGAAATGTAGGTAGATTTTCTCACCGTGGGATTTTTACATCTATCCATAATGTCTGTGTCTTCAGTCGGCATGCTCAGTTCTTTGGCTCCATGGCAATCTTCATGCATGGGGTCACTTGCACACAAAAAGATAACCGTACGCCCTGGTAGGGGTGGGATGTTATGCTGAGCAGAAATTTGTACAGCATCTTCCAGAGCCTTTTTGTAACTCTGCAGGACATCCTTATCCAGCTTCAATGATCTGAATTAAAAGGGAAATGAGCAGTTTTTAACTATCCATACTTTCTCTCAATTTTCTTTGCTGAAAAGCTCCTCTTGCCCCTCCATACCTGGCCTTCCTCACTGCTTCTTTTTCTCTTTTTAGCATTTGGTACAAAGCAGGAACTGCAAGAAAAGCTCTTAGATGACGTCTAAGAAAGTGCCGCCCTCTCAGCTGGGCATCAAATTTTCCTTCCCTCCTAATGATGCGTTCGAGGAGGGTCTTGTTAGATGGGAATGGCGTTTCTGTGAAAACAGAAAGAAAATGATCAATGTAACACATAAAAAAATAAATTAAAAAAAAGACCTCATGAAACACTAACCATCATAACTTATTGCCCACTAAAAAGATATGAGGCTGGTAGGAGCAGACAATAGAAACTTCAGTTAACACATGCATTAAAATTTGGAGACAGAAATATAGAATACATTTACTTACCTGATTAATATACAGAGATTAATACGATTTACCTGTTTTGCATCTCTGAAGATCTAAATGTTGAATTACTTTGTAGGCAGAGAGGAACCGGAATGGGAACTGACGGCTCTTAATCACAGCATTCTACAAGGTAAGCACAGAATACAGTTTCATCAAATCTTTCTGAAGGAAACCGATTTACCAAAAAAAAAAAAAGTTATGATTACCTCCTCTACCACCAAAATCATGTTAATGGCTTTGTGGTCTTCTTATCATCATGAAGAATGATATTTATCATTATTGTGATATGGCATGATTTCACAGTGAAGGTAGACTAGTCCTACTGATTTGAATAGGTTTGGGTACAGGTTATATCCAGCAATATTAGGGGTGGAAAGATAATTATCACAAGGGCCTCTTGGGAAACCACAACTGTTTCATAGCTACAGGAATAGACCATAGCTATAAATCTTTTGCCTTGTCCGAAAGCAACAATGGGTGGAGAAGATGAAACAATGGCTATGGCCTAATTTTTCACCTCCGACATGAAGTGAAAGAAGAGGTTTCCAATCTTCTATATTAACCTTTCTGTGCTCCTCCACCAGCTGCATTTTTCTGCTGTTTGGTATATTGTGGATCCAGAGGAACTAACTTACACTCATTGAGTGGGGGAGATTGGAAGGTTCCTTGTTCAGGCATGATTTTGATGGAAGCCTTGAGGACCCCACAACAAGAGAGATTTGTGTACTGCTGACAGGTTTACTAAGCAAGGTAGGATGCAGAGTGCAAGTCAGGCTAGGCAGGTAACACAGAGATGCTTTTGATACTCATGAAGTAATAGAACGTTTTCAGAAAATATTACTGGTAGTACCGTAGGTAGGGTAGATTTTTTTATGCATTACTATGAAGTTTATTCTTCACTTGGTCATTTTTATGCTTTTCCTTTGAGGTAGCTCCTCAATGACAAGAGCATATCTGATAACTGATTATATTTGCCAAGGAGAAAAAGACATGTCAAAAAGAACATCGGTCAGAAAATATGTTTGACTCCGATACCTGGTTGGAGAGGCGGGATGTCACTTGCTTATGATATTTATCACCGATACCTGCCCGGATTAAGCTTCGTAGATTTCTTAGTAATGCCATGAAGGGAACCTGGTTGTTGTCTGTATAAAAGATGAAAGAGCATGGTAATAGCTAAACATTTGCAGAGTTTTTTTTTTAATTTTATTTACAAACAATGTAAATATCATGTCCTTTATCTGAACTTATTCTTTCTACTGAAGTCTTCAAACTGCCACTCACCCAGTAACATTTCCCATACTGGTCCTGTGTTCCCCTTCTGGCTCAGTTCTCTCTCCCATGTCTCAGGCTGCTTAAGTTTCATTCTACAACCTGCAAGCTGGGGCTGCCAGGGTCCCTCAAGACCACTACGAGAGAAGGATTCTAGGTCCTTAGGATACCTAGTAATAAAACAGAGACTTCTTTGTTAAAGTATGATGACTTCGGGTGGGCATGAATAAAAAAAAATAAAAAAATAAAAAACACACACACACACACACACACACACACACACGAGACAGACAGAATGACATACTTGCAACCAAGGAGGCTCATGACATAGTTAGCTGGCTTGGAGATGTGCAACCTCTGAATCAAACTCTTGAGAGAAACATTATCTTTAGTTTTCTTACTACAACAAGGTGGAGGAGAAGTATCAAACTGCAATAGGAGGAAAACGTAAATTACGTTATTGCTAATGCTTGTATGATCGTTATGCCATGTTTAGACAAATGTTTAACTTCCTTAATAATTCACTCACCTTCTGTTGGAGAGCGTTTAAAGAGGATTCCAAAAATCTCAAGGATTTTCCCACTTTCACCTGTCTGGGAACCTGAGAATAAAAGTTTGTGGGATGATATCCTATGAAAAAAGTTTGACTCCACAACAAGTTCTAAAAAAGGACACTCCAGTCTCCAAAATAAGCCCTGCAATTTTGTTATTCTTTTGTATTTCCTTTCCTTTTATCTGCTGTATGTTTATGATTATATTCCTCCCTCCTTGCCACTTGCCTTTATTGATATTTATCATCTTTTCTGCTTTGTATCGGATCTCAATGTTTGGGCGTGGCCATTTTATTCTCCTCTGCCAATGAGGTCTGCAGGTTGCCATTATGTGGGATTGATTTTACTTATGGATTGTGATTAATTTTGATCGGCAAATTAAATAGAACCTTGCTTTAAAGGAACATTAAAGTCACCAAAACAATTTTTTTTAATGAAGCAGTGTTAGTGAATTGAGTAGTGAGACTGTAGTGGCATGATCTATACACAGACATTTAGGAGTTGAATAACTTTTGTTTCTGTTTATACAGCCCTAGCCACAGTTCCCCTGACTATAACTGACACAGCCTGCATGAAAAAAAAAATGGTTTAATTTTCAATCAAATGTAACGAACTTTAAAAGTTCTGTACATCAAACTTTCATTACCTACAGGTAGCTGCTCCTGTAGGGTCTAGCAAGCTATACACAGAGCAAGAGAAAGAAATTCAAAATTAAACTAAATTTGTAATAAAGGAAGTGTAAACATCAGATGACTTCACAGGAAGTGTTTAGGAAGGCTGTGTAAGTACAGAGGTGTGACCAGGGCTGCATAAACAAAGAAATGTAAGTCCTGAACGGCAGAGAATTGAGCAGTGAGACTGCAGGGGTATGAAATATACACCCACACTGCTTCATTAAGCTAAAGTTGTTTTGATGACTATAGTGTCCCTTTAAGACCCATCTATTTTTACATTATGTCAATTTGACCACTAGACATAAAATAACTTTTCCTTGTGTATTTTATGAAAACGTCAGCAATCAAAAAAACATACTCAGACACTCAATAAACTATACAGAAGAGGTTTTTTTTTGGTAACGGGGCTGCTTTAAGGGTTAGCTATACTAGTTTATAAAAGTTCCACTTGTACAACATCTGGACTGTTAACCAGAAAGCTAGGAAGGAAGGAAGGAATAAAGAATAAGTTCCTGCTCACTTTCTTGAACAGAAGCACTGTTGGCAGACCATGGCAAATGCCATGCATGCACTGTGTGTCCCAATTCTTTTCAATTGGACACGAGTTATCAGTGATAACTTCATCAGATGGGGACCAGGTTGAGTGAGGAGACTGTCCTTGAACTGGAATAAAGGAGTTTAAACTGGAATTCTCTAAACACAAATAACTTTAGCTTAATGATGTCCCTGCAGTCTCACTGATAAATTCCCTGCCATTTACAAGTAAAAAATTACTTTGTTATGACTCACAGTAAGCAATGCAAGCTTGTTTGAGCAGGGTCCTTAACATAATGTTCCTGTCAAAACTTGTCATAGTTTGTTACATTTGTTGTTTAAGTTTTCTTAAAGGACCACTATAGTGCCAGGAAAACATACTTGTTTTCCTGGCACTATAGTGCCCTGAGGGTCCCCCCACCCTCAGAGTCCCCCTCCTGCCGGGCTCTAGGGAGTGGAAGGGGTTAAACGTACCTCTTTCTCCAGCGCCGGGCGGGGAGCTCTCCGCCTCCTCGCCTCCTACTCCGCTGAATGCGCGCGCATTCAGCCAGTCTCATCGGAAAGCATTCACAATTCACATGATTTTCACAGTGAGAAGCACGCAAGCGCCTCTAGCGGCTGTCAATGAGACAGCCACTAGAGGCTCGATTAACCCTAGTATAAACATAGCTGTTTATAGAATGCTATGTTTATACAAAAATGCTATGTTTATAGAAAAAAGAGTTAAACCTAGCTGGACCAGGCACCCAGACCACTTCATTAAGCTGAAGTGGTCTGGGTGCCTATAGTGGTCCTTTAATAATATTGTAAAGCGCTGCAGAATCGGTTGGACCTATATACAGTGCCCCAAAAGTATTCAGCCCCCTTGACATTTTTCGTGTTTTGTTGCCTCACAACCTGGAATTAACATGGATTGTTTGAGGAATTGCACCATTTAATTTACAGAACATGCCCACAACTTGAAGATTTTTTTTTTTTTTTAAATTGTGAAGCAAATAACAAATAGGACAAAATAACAGAAAAAGTCAATGTGCATAACTATTCACCCCCCTAAAGTCAATACTTTGTAGAGCCACCTTTTGCTGCAATCACAGCTCCAAGTCGCTTTGGATAAGTCTACGAGCTTGCCACATCTTACCACTAGGATTTTTGCCTATTCCTCTCCCACATGCCTTTTTGCAAACTTAAAACATGCCATTTAGTTTTTTGCTGAAAGTAATGGCTTTCTTCTGGCCACTCTGCCATAAAGCCCAACTCTATGGAGCATACGGCTTGTCGTCGTCCTATGTAGAGATACTCCAGTCTCTGCTGTGGAACTCTGCAGCTCCTCCAGGGTTACCTTAGGTCTCTGTGCTCCCTCTCTGATTAATGCCTTCCTTGTCCGGTCCGTGAGTTTTGGTGAGCAGCCAGTCTCTTGATAGGTTTGCTGTTGTGCCATGTTATTTCCACTTGGTTATGATAGATTTGATGGTTCTCCTGGGGATCATCAAAGATTTGGATATTTTTTTATAACCGAACCCTGACTTGAACTTCTCAACAACATTGTCCCTTACTTGTTTGGAGAGTTCCTCGGTCTTCATGGCAGTGTTTGGTTAATGGTGTCTCTTGCTTAGGTGTTGCAGCCTCTGGGGCCTTTCAAAAAAGGTGTGTATATGTAATGACAGATCATGTGACACTTAGATTGCACACAGGCGGACATCATTTCACTAATTATGTGACTTCTGAAGGTAATTGGTTGCACCAGAGCTTTTTATGGGCTTCATAACAAAAGGGGTGAATACAAATGCACATGCCAGTTTTCTGCTTTCTATTTCTAAAAAATAGTTTAATGTGGGGGGGCGTGGCCTAACTCCGTATGGAAGCAGTCGCATAATCTGAGAGCTCCGCCATTCCGTGGGCTAACACAGCGTGGATGCCAGCGATACTCACCCAATACCTTTCCCACAAGCTGGCGAGGGCACAGGGGAGGACATGACTACCAAATCGTCCAAGAAGCTGAAACAGAAAACACTGCACTCTCACCTAACGATGGGGAATAACGGTAACCAAGATGGCGCCGACGGAGCGCAATATCCCGCCTCGGACCGCGAGAGTGGAAAAAGCCTAGACCCCCCTGGTATCCCCAACACTCATCTAGCCACTGATGCCTCGTTGAGTAGCATGCTACAGACGCTCCAGACCAACCTCAGGTCGGACTTTTCCAAGATAGCGGCGGACGTCCGGGTGGATATTCAGGCCCTGGGGGACAGAACAGCACACTTGGAGGAGGCAACGGAGGGGCTGAGAGAGGCTCATAACGAGCTGGCAGAAGCGCACACGACACTGCAGCGAAAAGTACACTTTCTAGAAAGCAAAATCGCAGATAACGAGGACAGAGATAGAAGGAATAACATACGACTGCGAGGTGTCCCTGAAGCAGTGGGCCCTCAAGACCTGGCCACATTCGTTAAGGATATGTTTAAGGCGCTCATTCCGGCACTGGAGACCTCAGATCTGCGTCTAGATCGCACTCACAGATTGCCGAAGCACTTACCCCCAACTACGCCGAGGGATGTAATCACAAGAATACATTACTTTGAGGTCAAAGACCGCCTAATGCAGGCATCCAGAACCAACCCACCATTGCCAAAGCCGTTCGCTGATGTCAAAATGTTCATTGACCTGTCCGCGGCAACCATGACCAAGAGACGAGCATTTGCACCTATCACCGTAGCGCTCAGGAATGCAGCTATCCCGTACAAATGGGGATATCCCACGAAAATACTACTAAAACGGAACGGAGTGGACTTAGTAATCTTTACTCCACGAGACGGCGCAAAACTGCTCAGAGAGTGGAACATCCCAATGGCTCGACTTGACAACGCACGTTCGCCAGCAACTTCACCACCCAGAAAGCAACCCCGGGACTACCGACCTATCCCATGGCACGCGGCGGGCTCAACGACGACTCCACCTCACCACACGAGTCCCAAGGATACCGAACAACACTGATGGAACACAGATATGTATCCTACACAAGAACTGTACGATTGGCTCCCCCCGGTGCACCCTCGTAGCTGTCTTCACTTGCAATGTGTCTCACAGCCGAGAGCCCACACAGGCGGCGAACCGCTTTATTGTTTACGTTAATTGATTGGCACTGTTATTCCCTTTTCCTATATCTAATTGTACCGTTAAGAAGTATCACCTGTACGGTGTACCAGCAGGGTGACGCACACGTATAGCGTTACGTCCGGTTGTTGACGGCAATTCAGAGTAACCTAACCCAAAAAAAAAAAAAAAACATACATAAAATAGAAAAATCGTAACAGGTACCTCCCATCAGCGCCCACAGCGCCCCACACGGCTTACTTAGTAAGCCACTTCATTACCCATCGGCAGACCTCTGCGTTAAGCCACCCGGCTAACGGGTTTTGTATATAGTTCAAGTTGTACTGTTGTACGTTGATACCCTACCACACCCCTCCCAACCCTACCCACGATATCGACGAAGTAAGGTGACAAAAGGGGCTGGGTAGTACGGCATAGCCATATACATTCCCACCCACCTAACTATAGCTGGAGTGATGTCGATCACTGTACTTTCTCTCAACGCCAAAGGGCTGAACACGCCCCATAGACGACGATTGGCACTTTTAGAAGCCAAAAAATATAAGGCGCAGGTAGCTTTCTTCCAGGAAACCCATTTTAAATGAGGCTCACGGCCCATATTTAACTCCCCCTGGTTCCCTATTGATCACCACTCCTGCTGCTCCACAAAAAAAAGAGGAGTCTCCATTTTAATAAGTAGAAACTTCACCTTCGAGCTGGTCCGCAAGATCAGCGATAAGAAAGGTAGATATCTCATCATTCAGTGCCATCTTAACAACAACCCCTTTACATTAATGAATATATATGGGCCCAATGATAACCAAGAAGTGTTTCTGCACTGAATATTTGCCTTGTTGAATATGTACAGCTTTGGGGAGGTAATACTTGGAGGCGACACCAACTTTCTTCTGGATAGCATTAAAAACTCCTCTGCCTCACATACAATAGCACCCAACACCTCTAGGAGACGGCTCGCACAATCGCACAACATATGCGATATCCTAGCAACACATGATTACGTAGACCCTTGGAGAATGACACACCCCAATGAATCTGACTACACATGCCATACGGCGGTACACAATAGCTACTCCAGAATAGATAGGTTCCTGGTTAGATCTACTTCCCTCCTTAAGATACTAGACACTACCATCGGGGATATCACATGGTCCGACCACGCACCGATCACGTTAACACTCAAGGACCGGGTCCCTCAGACTGGCCAGATGACTTGGAGGTTAAACAACACTTTGTTGACGAACACACATATAGTCCAGCAAGTCACACGGGACCTGCAAAACTACTTTGCGGACAAAGATAGAACATTGACCCGGACTATGTCTGGCTAGCCCACAAGGCAGTTATTAGAGGCAGCTTCATAAAGCACGCCAGCCATGCCTGCAAGACGCAAAAGGCACAATATCTAGCCCTTATCAATGAGATCAAACACATCACCCACAGTAACAAACACGGACCCACCCCAGAGCTACAACGGAAGCTTTTGAGCTTACAAACACAATTACGAGATATAGAATTAACCAAAACAACCCACCTCTTACGAAAATCAAAACACAAATTCTTCGCGGCAGGGAATGGAGCTGGCGCTAAACTAGCAGCGCAATTGAAACAAAAAACGATCGCCTCCAGGATTGCCTACCTCAAAGATGGAAAGGGTCACAAAATCATTGATCCACGGGAAATTGTTAATATGTTTGCAGATTACTACCGTCAGCTGTACAACCTACGTGACGATGGTGCTAATAAGGTCCCGACCGTAGCGGACATAGACGGATTCCTACAGAACCTTTGCTTACCCTCCCTGACACCGACCGCAATACAGTCATTACGACAGCCTATTTCCTTAGAGGAGATCACTTCGGTGATCAAAAAATTACCCATTGACAAATCACCTGGACCCGACGGTCTCACCAATGCCTATTACAAATTGTTCGTGAATACTCTTTCCCCACACTTGTTGAAACTGTACAGACAGAGCAATGACAGAGGAGCCCTACCGGCAGAAGTACTCCTGGCACATATATCCACCCTCCCCAAGCCAGGGAAACCACCGACACACTAAGAATTTCAGACCCATCTCCTTACTAAATGGGGATGCTAAAATCTATGCCAAGATACTTAGTAACAGAATAGCACCACTCCTCAGACACTTAGTACACAACGACCAGTCAGGGTTTGTCAGGGGGCGGCAGGGTTCGGACAACACCAGACGGATCCTCAACATACTGACACATATGGAAAAAAATAGCACAGGGGGCCTTCTCCTGGCACTAGATGCAGAGAAAGCCTTCGACCGCCTCAATTGGAAGTACATGTCTGAAGTCTTGGGGAGGTATGGATTCCCGCCCGAAATGATTAGGGGGATAGAAGCACTATATAGCGCACCCGCGGCTAAGGTCTCCAATGGAGGTTTCACATCTGACAAATTCTCCATCACTAATGGGACGCGCCAAGGCTGCCCCCTGTCCCCCCTCCTCTACATCCTATCATTGGAACCTCTGGTGCTTAAGATTCGTACGAGTTCTGACATAAGAGGAGTTACCGTGACAGGCCAGGAACACAAATTGGCATTGTTTGCCGATGACGTTTTGGTGTCATTGACAGACCCGGAGAAGTCCTTACCACACCTAATGAACACCCTTACCGACTTTGGCTTAGTTTCCCACTATAAACTTAATCAAGATAAAACTCAAGCACTGACGGTTAACCTACCACTGGGACGCACACAGACACTACAACGACAACATCAATTTGACTGGAGACTCTCCTCTCTTACATAATTAGGAGTCAAAATCGCAACATCCATAGCTAAAATTGTAAAATTAAACTACCTACCCTTACCACACATGTGCAGGGCGGAAACCCTAAAATGGAAACACACGCACCTATCCTGGCTAGGAAGGATTAATGCCTTCAAAATGTCTATACTACCCAAAATTCTTTATGTTTTCCGTATGCTCCCTCTCAAAGTATCACAACTTCTGCTAAAGAGCCTACAAAACACATGCAACACCTTTATATGGGACAATAAAAAGCCCAGGATCCCTAATAGACTTCTGTATACCCAGGTCAAACAGGGTGGAGTGGGACTACCAAACATTAACCAATATTATAAGGCGACAGCGTTAACAGCTGGCATAATGCTACACTCTCCTAAAGGGGACATCAACTGGGTAGATATGGAGAATGCCCAACTACAAGCATTAAATATAGTTGACGTCCTATGGACGCCTAAACTAGACCTATTTCACACAACGTCTCTGACGCTTAACGTATGGGACACATTCATGGCCACAATGGGGTGTAAACTCTCCTTCCATACCCGGGCACCACTGACTGCATTAGGAACCGCATCCCCCGACCTCCCTCTAACAAGGTGGGCTAAGGCAGGAATCACCAACGTTCAACACCTATTAGACAATAAGGGTGTAATAGCATTTGCGGATATACAGGCCAAATGGCACCTACCGATGAGTGAAGTATCTACCTACCTAAGACTCAAAGGGACCATAATGACTCATGTGAACCTGCACAACAGTACTCAGGAGCAATCGCTATTAGTGGGCGGGATCCTAGACAGATGTTGGGCCACACCAAGCAAACCAAAAGCCATCTCCCTCTGTTACAAAATGTGGGAAACCACATTACCACAGCACATCCCCCTCTGTAGGACTAAATGGGAGGAAGACTGCTCCCTTCAACTCTCAGAGGAAGATTGGGTAAGAGCCCTAAATAGCCTCTCAAAACTCACTAGATGTTACACGCACATAGAAGCCCATAGGAAGCTACTCTATAGGTGGTATATGACGCCAATTCGGTTGCATAAAATATACCCCAGTGTATTACCAACATGCTGGAGGTGTTCAAGAGACACTGGTACATTTCTTCACATATGGTGGACATGCCCGGTGATTCAACCCCTCTGGACGGAGGTTAGGAGACTGCTGGGTGGGCTGGGCATAGCAAACTTACTGCCAAGCCTGCATACCTCATGCTTATGCTCCCCAGTGATCTCGCTAGAGAACACAGACAGGTATGTGCCATCACATTATTAGCGGCCAGGAACCTTCTAGCAACGAACTGGAAGTCGCACATATGCCCATCTAAATTACAACTATGGGACAAGATTCAACAATACCACGTCTATGAACGAATTACGATGACCCATAGTATAGAATCACAGCAGTTCCACTCAACGTGGAAACAGTGGACACAATTATACAACCAAGCCACAAATCCCCAAAACCCACCCTAAGACCGTTATGTATGGCCTAACAGACTGTACCGATACGCAACACCATACATAGAGAACCAACCCTCCTTCTAAACCAGACTGCTTTGCCCACAAACGCCTAACAACAGGCAGACGTTACGAGAGTGTAAAACTATACTATGTAACCTTACTTATACATGTATTAGGCGTAATGATGTTATGGATATAGTCTGCCTACAAAACCCAGAATGTCACTGTCGATAATCTTGCCAACAACTCTTGGGCATCACCATATTGTCTGCATTTTTTCCATTGTTACCCCTATAACTCCCTTCTCTCTTCTGTACCCCATATACTTGAAAACCAATAAAAAAATTGTCTAAAAAAAAAAAAAAAAAAATAGTTTAATGTATATATGTTTCTCTTTTCACTTCACCAACTTAGACTATTGAGTTCTGATCCATCACATAATATTCAGGTTAATAAAACATTGAATTTAAGGCTGTAATGTAACAAAATAGGTAAAAATTCAAGGGGGGTGAATATGTTTGCAAGGCACTGTAAATTCCAATAATAATAGCACATGAACAGCTTTCTACTTGTAGTGCTGATTGTGCCAGTTATAGCACAGGACTGTGGTTCCATCTCAGCCCTTCAAAAAAAAAGGATATTGCATGTGTGTTCAAGTTCCCATCATATCCTCATACATACCAGATAGTGTTTAATAAATTGTTAACCTTTGGGATCAGTAAAATCTATACCATTATCACAATCTAAAATTTGAATGCCAGAAATGCATTTCAGAACACTGGAGGCCAGGTCTGTTTTGAGCGTCAGCACGCTTGCTGACGAGGTAGGTTGGTGCAGACCATTACATACTTTATTTACAGCTAATTATGTCATTATGAAATAATGCTATACTTGCTCAATTGTTCCCACAGCTATTTAGGAGCCATAATTAATAAGCCAAGGGATAGGACCAGACAGTTCAGTATTATTTCCTCATGCTATGTCCTACTTATTTACTATAAGACGTTCTATTGAACCCTGCTTACATTATAAGTAAGACATCCCATTCTGAGGTAGGATATCTAAAGAACAAATGTTCTGACATAGAATAATATTGGTCCATAAAGGTCTAAGGCAAAGTTACGATGGAGATTGTCAAAAACATTTGCTCACATTCAGTGTCCGGTTGTCTCGCTTCTTATGATTAGATTTCCCACGTTGTCTGCGTGTGTTGTATTTAGCCAATTGATATTCACTGAATTCCTTGAATTTAATGGTCATAGCTCGGCGAAGGCAGGCAGGCAAGGGAGCCATCTTAATTGTTCCAGCCAAACTCTGTAAGGGATAAGTATGATGTTGACACTGAACACATCGTATCTTAAATTTTCTTTATGTCCCAGCACATATATCAAGTTAAAAATCAGTCATTGCTGTTAAACCTAAAATATATCACTTAGGGTTGTATACATCCTTTCTTGGTAACACACCTGATACAGCCGTGGTACCTCCATCCAGTCAGATGGAAGCTGAACAGAAGCACAGAAATACCTGCGCAAATATGGACGGCATGCAGGAAGCAGAGCAGACACTGCCAGCATGAAGTTTGCAGTGCTGCGAATGTTAAGTTCTTGCCGAGTGTAGAGGGCAACCTGCAAAGATTTAAAAAAAAATAGTCATACAAAAGTATGCTTAAAAATCTGCAAAAATCAATAAAATAATAACCTATTGAAGAGACTGGCAGCAGGTAGATCTAAAAATCAACCTCTTTATTCACTATCACAAAATTTTGATATAAAAGTTAGGCAGACAACAGTATATAAAGTTGTATACTTACTACACATGGGGAGCACCACATACCAAAAGAAGCTGGAAGTGTTTTGCATCTCCTGTGGATGCTTTCTGAACTGCCTTATTTTAACCTTTACACGCAATGTTTAAATACCTAAGACACAGCCCCACATACACATATATAACTTTGGAGCACTCAGAAATTAACCATTGAATTTCCTTATACAATTTAATTTCACTTCAGAATTAAATCTTCTAATCTTTTGAGCATGGTCTTTATCAGCTTATTCTTCCTGTAACATTTTGTAATGGTCTCAATTACGGTTTAGTTTCCTCCTTTATATTATTGTAAAACGCTGCAGAATAAGTGGACGCTACATAAATGCCAAAAATAATAAATTTTATTACATGACAGGAGGCTTCATATTTTGCATTAACTTCCTTTACTACTCCATAGCAGCAAAGACATTTAGAAAAAAAGGAACCAATCAAAGACAAGCAGAGAGTATAAGATACACCTCCCACTGAGTCACTTCCTCTTTCTTTGCTGCTCCAAAACATGTCACGTCAGAATATTGTGTGTCTATACTCTGTTGGCTTGTCTTGTTATACTTATTTATATTGATTGATTTCTTTATTTTTCATACTGCATATGTATTTATGTTCAATTTTCTGATAGTGGAGACGCTGGTTTCGTTTAGTATGGTATAGAATTTGAGGATTGTCCTCTTCTACCAGCTCTTTTTTCTGTCCCCCCACTACCCTGTTCTCCTTGTGGCTATGCTTGTCACTCCACAGGCACTCTCCCGCCGCCACACACTCTCCTCAGGGAGGGCATGGGAGGGCGTGTGGCGCTGTTGAGATTTCCTGCCTGTCAGGCTTCTGCGTTCACACACTTTCGTGTGCTCGCATTCGCCTGTTCTCTTATTTTTCATAAGATGCCTGATTTACCTGGACGACATTCTACTCTTCGACCAGAACCACAACCAACTACGTTCAACTACAGCTTCCACAGTGACCGTGTTGGAATCCCTCGGCTTCATGGTCTCGAGAAAAGTCGACGAGTGAAACATGTTTTGGCTGATTTGGACATTTACAATTTTAATACTCAAAATTCTGGTTTTATATTTACTTTTTATTTGGAATCAATACATTTTCTTTATCCATTGAAGTCCTTGGAGCCTCTGGGAATCTTTACAGGGAAGTGCCATCCCTTCATACTGGCACATCGCTGACCACCCTCAAAGCCAGGATTTTAAGGCTCTCAACTAGGTGAGCATAACATTTACCACCTATCTGCCTGTTTGCACATATACCCCCCCATTGGGTCTCTTTCTCCTTTTGTTTTCTTGTCGTTGTGGAGGTACATCTCAGAGGAAGGGATGTGTTGCTGCCCAAAGAGCACATAGGTTTACGTACAGAGCCAATATCATATAGGCTCCAGACCATTACTTTCATCACTCATTTTCACAAAAAACATCTACACTATGTTTTTTTTTTTTTTTTATCTCTTTTTTTCCCTTCATTGTATGTTCAAAAGCATATTCCTGAATTTAAGACAACACAAAATGTTTAGGCTAAGTGAACCCCTCTATCACTTATATTTGTATTAGCGCTCCACTAGGTGGTGTATTTTACACTACATTTCTATATATAGACAATGTCTCCGCAGTTCGTTACATCAGCCACTTAGGTGGCACTCGTTCTGAGACACTGACGGACCTCACAAAGGAAATCTTCAACTATTGCCTACCACGCAATATCACATTGATGATGGAACATCTACCAGGAGAAACCAATCTGATGGCAGACTGGTTCTCTCTCTTCTATTGCTTCCTGGTTGTATAAAAAAATAATAATTAATTTAAAAAAAATAATGATTCCTTAGACATCAATTATTTTTATGGATTACACATGAAGATGCGACCCTCTCCTAACTTTCCACATTATGCTTCCTAATTACAACCTTCTCAATTTTAAGTTCAATTGTTAGGCAGTCAAGCTATCATCAAAACCAGGAGGAAAACTTTCTTAAATCCAATGCATAATCTGTATATTCTACATCATGCTTAAACATGTGTCTATTCAATCATGCAACATTAGGGTCCCATATTACTTTCATTTTATGACAAACCAGTACATTTTAATAAATGAACATCAACATTTTAATAATCTGAATGCTAATGTATACAAACCAGGTTCATCAGTGAGAAACTGAGCCTCCAATCACTCAAATATTCGAGTTATATTGTAAACTCTCCCATACATAATTGGACAACATCTTGTCTCACCTTGAGTACAAACTCTGGATCCAACTTTGCCATCTCCTCACATAAGCTCCATATTTCGGCCCGAGTCAGATCTGAGCTATCTGAGAACTTGGGTCCATTTACTAATGAGCAGCAAGCAGCAGATACCAAAGCCATCTGAGAAATGCAAAGACCATTGTAATCTTCACTTTACAAACAGTGCCACTTTCCAGCATATCACATGTGTACACATATCGGTTTTTCTATTGGTTTAGTTATTTACACACATACAGTCATGGGAAAAAATAAAGTTCACCCAGACATAATACCAATTATCTGTTCCATAGCAGGTCTTAAAATTAGGTAAATACAACTTTAGATGAACAACAACACATGACATATAACACAGTGTCATTATTTATCAAAAATTAAGCCAAAATGGAGAAGCCATGTGTGAAAAACTAAGTACACCTTATGATTCAATAGCTTGTAGAACAGTTAGCAACAATAAGTTAAAATAATTTTTTTTTTGTATGACTTTATCAGTCTAACATCGTTGTGGAGGAATTTGACACACTCTTCTACAATTTTGCTTTAGTTTATTGAGGTTTGCAGGCATTTGTTTATGCATAGCTCTTTTAAGGTCCTGCCACAACACTTCAATCGGGTTGAGGTCTGGACTTTGACTGGGCAATTGCAACACCTTGATTCTTTTCTTTTTTAGCTATTCTGTTGTAGATTTGCTGGTGTATTTGGGATCATGGTCCTGTTGCATGACCGAATTTTTGCCAAGCTTTAGCTGTCAGACAGATGACCTCTGATTTTATTCTAGAATACTCTGGTATACACTGGAGTTCATGGTCGACTCAATGACTGCAAGGCCCCAAGTCCTGTGGCTGCAAAACAAAATCATCACCCTTCCACCTTTGTATGAGGGGTTGTGCTAATATTCTGTGTTTGGTTTTCGCCAAACGTGGCGCTGTGCATCATGGCCAATCTTTTCCACTTTGGCCAATTCTGTCCAAAGGACATTATTTCAGAAGTCTTCTGGTTTGTTCAGATGAAACCTTACAAACCTAAGCTGTGCTGTAATGTTCTTTTTAGAGAAGAGAGGCTTTGTCCAGACAACCCTTCCAATCCATATTTGTTGTTTAGTCTTTTTCTAACTATACAATCATGAACTTTAACATGCTAATTGAGGTCTGTAGAGTCTGAGATGTAACTCTTGGGATTTTTGCTATTTCTCGGAGCATTGCAACATCTGACCTTGCTGGCGCATCCACTATTTACCTAATTTTAAGACCTGCTATGGAACAGATGATTGGTATTATGTCTGGATATGTAAAACCATATAATTCGAAGATGGTGTACTTTCTTTTTCCCATGACTGTATATGTTGACTTATAATGTCTTAATACAACACATATAGAAGAAGATCATATCAACCAGGAAGATATTGGTGTGTAAATGTGCAGGCTTATGATTATAAAAAAATATATTTTAAATAGGTATGTGGAAGGGACCATATATAATTTGCCTGCAATCTGTTGGCACCTGACTTGAGGCACCCTGCTCTTAGGCATTTTTTAACTTATAACTGCTTCTATGCTCTCCCATCTTACTTTACTTTGTGATAAAAAAAGGAAGATATTAAAACAAACAATACATAAAAACATCCGACCTTCTTCTGGTGAAGATATGTTTCTGACTGTTGGCTGTTTAAAGTAGTTCTTTCTTGCCTCACAGTATGCATTGTGTCTTTTGGCATGGATACAAGGAGTGCAGGTTGGCATTGTTTTGAGGATGAAATCTCAACATTCTGGGGGACAAAAAAATAAATCAATGTACCAACACAAATTAACCAATACCATCATTGATGAATTCATTATGCACACATACCTCAGAAAGTACATTGGCATACAGTCGCGCTTGCTCAGCAAGAGAAGGAAGGCTCTCAAGTGAAGTCTTGTCTCCTTCAGATTCAAAGGCACTTGATTCTCCTTGGGTGCCACCTAAAGTAGATTTCGGGTTCAAAGTAGCATCAGATGGAAAGGACTTCACTAGATTTTGCTTACTTGGATTATAGTTATTTTTTGTGTCTGTTGAAGAGGATAACGTTGACTGTGGTGTCAAAACCAATTTAGAGAGCTCTGTGGTTACACATACAGAGGTCAAGGAAGAATCTAAGTTATCAGGATGTATGGAACATATAGATGAATTTGATGTTGTTGCAAGCTTAGAGGGGAGTGACAGATTTGAGGAAAGTGAGGACAATGCAGGTTTAGTAGTCAAAATGGAAGAAGTCAGATCAGTAGCTGTAGTGGAAAGAGACAGCTTAGATCTGAGAGATTGAGTGGAAGTCAAAGTACTTTCAGAATTAAGAAGAGGGTTACATGACAGTGGATGTTTAGAAATTAGCAAGGATTGATTGGTAAACTGTGTAAGGTCAGATGACTTTTCTTCCCAGGAAGGCACTAGAGATAGTTTCTGAGATCCATAAGCATCAGTGCAAGGCTGACGTAAGGTAGACATGTTCAGCCATTCAGAACCGGGAAGCTTAAGGGCTAGTTTGCAACGAGGCTGGGTCAGTGATTTCCCTCCACGAAGAGCAGTATTTTCCAGAGAAAGTCTAGAGGAGCCAGAAAAACTGGTGTCGCGAGAAGGCATGTTTGACACCTAGACTAAAACAAATTATAATGTGTAAAACATGGCAAAATTAAACTTTATGGAATAATTCTATGCAGCAATATATATGTTGGGTCTCAACAGCCTCTGGTCAGACATATAGGAAACCATCTTGCATCCTAAAGGGTCATTCTAAGCATCAAAACCACTTCAGCTTGACGAACAGAATATTGTCTGTCAGCTAATGTTAGCTAACAAGAGCTTCTGCTTAGGAGCTTACGGTTCTCTAGCATTAGTAGAGGCAAGGAGCAGCGCTTGGCAGATCCCAGGTAAGAAATCAAGCTATTTAAAATGGTTTGACTAACCTACAATAGGGTACTCATGGCACTCCTAGCACCACAACCGTTTTGCGAGCTGTAGCGGTTATGAATCTTAGAGTGTTCCTTTTTCCCCACCACTGCATTTCCTTGGAATGTAAAGCCAATGGATCTGAAGGCTAAGGTTTATAAGTATCATTAGGGATTTATTTACTAAACAGTCAATTGTAATGAACTGAAATTCAGATATGCTTGTTTCTGGCTAAGATACCTGCATAGCTTATAATGACCTATTTTTAGCAAGTTTTGCTTTTAATAAACCGATTAGTCAACACACCCAGTTTTCTTAAAACAAAAAAAACACACCCATGGGCCCTGTATGACTGTGTACATAGCCTGTTATATGTTATGTTATCATGGAAAAAACAGGAAATATCGAAAATAAACATTGCAGACACGAACAAGGACGATTTTAAACAAGTGTGCTCTAAATTTCAGACAGTACATGCAATAAAAAGCTTCAATATTTATCAAACGGCATGACATACCCGCACACTAAGAATGCTCTGGATTGACTAACAATAACTTGGAAACCCAAAACCACTTCCTGCTTCCTGGTGATTCTAAAAGAACCAGTTAGGACCCAGGAACGATGTATCAGTGCAGATCACAAGACCTTTTCTCCCATTGGACAAAACATTCACCTGATCAATGTTTACTCTGCTGTGTAGGTTGAAATGTTTGTATGAAATTGAGTATGGTTGTTAACTAAGCGAGCTGCTTCCATAGCCTGTCAGAGTTGTTATAACAACTAAGCAGTGTGTTTTATGGGCTATTTCTGAAAGGAGAGATTTTATAATTCGTGCATGTTATACGGCTATATTTTCTATGCAGACTCTACCTTCTCCTCATTATATATTACACTATTTGCCTAGGTTTACTGATGGCACTAAATGTATACCTTAAAGCACTTGAAACAGATAAGTGGGCGCCTGTTTGTTCACTAAACAGTGAATTGGCTACTGCATTGCAAAATATAAGAGCAAACTAGAGAATAAAAATGTTTTATTTACCTTGTATTTTGCAATTTAGTTTTTCCCCATTTCTAAATGGTTGGACAAAAAACTGGGAGCTAGCACCCGAGTGTAATCATTAAATTAAACTACAGTAGTAGTAATGCCTAGCTCTAGAGCAAGGGTAGCCAGCTTTTTAATACCTACAGCCCACTTATGTATCTTTTTTTGATGGTAAAATTTTCTTACCACCCACCGGTGCCGCATTAACTCAATTTATTTAGCACAAGTGTGAAACATTTTTTAGAAACAAGGGTTTCTTTAAAAATATGTTCTTAAATCTATCTTTTTATTTATACTTTTAGCATGTATATACATATATAATTTATATTTAATGAATTTTAAAAAGCTTTTTCTATTTTCCTTTTTATGACAAACACCAACAACAACGCTGCATGAGCATTAGGTGGCCATTTTTATTACATGTCACCGTTACTATTTTCTTTCTACTTTCTTTTTTGCTTTTTTCTACTTTTTTTCTTCCTTTTCCTTTTTTCTCCAATTTCTTTCTTCTTCTCTTTTCTCCTTCCTTATTGCAATCTGCAGGAAGGATGAACTAGGTAGCCCACTTTATTATTAGCCAACAACAAAAAAAGGAATATCTATATATCAGGGGTCTCTTTTTTCCGTTTTGTTTATTCTCTCCTCCTTACTTTCCTTCTTTCTTTTATTTTATGTTAAGTAAACCAAGTAAACAGAAAATAACAGAACTTAACTTGTCAAAGGAAAGTACCAGAACTTAGCTTGCCAAAGTTCAATATCAGCCACTCTAAACACTACACTTCTTTCTGTTCCTGCTTTCACATCAGGTGCATCCCCTCCTCTTTTGGCGTGTTACATCACACCTGTCTGTCCTGATCAGGAATGTAGCTCTGCACGCTTAATTTTAGCTATCAAGAGAGATTTAGCAAACGGAGGCGTTCACACAATGCGTTGTGTTGGGCATTTTTGTGAGTTCTCTCTCAATGGTTGGAGGGAGTTGCTCGCCTGGATAATGTTCCATTGTAAGGAGGTTCCATTGGGACATCAGAGGCTTGTGTGTGTCCATATATGGGCAGTTACATAACTGGAGCTTCCCCAAGACAGGAGAGAAACCATAACCCCAAACCTGCACCCCGGGCACCTACAACACCCACACTTGTACCCACCTGGCCAGTCATTATCTGCCACCGCCCACCGTGGAAGCTGGAATCACCCACTATTGGGCTCTAGGAGCCATGTTGACTACCAGTACTTTAGAGGGTCCCATGAGAAATTTTGGTACCCTTTACACAGATCAAGGCCCACCCCATAGTCTGTCCACAAGACACATCAAATTCCACTCACAAGGATGCAGTGCATGGTGTATAAGGGATGCTGAGTGTGCAAGGAATTTTGGCTACACAGGGAAGAATGTATCCCCCCAAAAAAAAGTGAATTTTCACCTGTGTGTCCCTTAATCACACTTTTTAATTTCTTACCCCCTTTTGTGTTTCTTATTCTCTGTTTTGAACATCTTACCACCTTTACTGTATCTTATCTTCCTTTTGTCTTACACTTTATTTTAGTATATCTTATCCCCACATTTTTTTCCTTTGTGTTTCTTACATCCCACCCTTTGTGTGTCTCTTACACCCCTCCAGCCCCTTTGTGTGTCTCTTTCTACAGCAAAGCCGTTGTGTGTCTCTTTCTTCCCCAAGCCCCTTTGTGTGACTCTGTCTACCTCAGCCCCCCTCTGTCTCTGTGTGTCTCATTCCTTTCCTGCAGCCCTTATGTGTATCTCTTTCTCCTCTTCCCAGCCTCTCTGTGTGTCTCATTCCTCTCCCCAGCCCCAGTGTGTCTCATTCCCCCAGCGCACATGTGTCTCAATTTCCCAACCTCACATGGGTCTCAATCCCCCAGCTTCCCATGTGTCTCAATTCTCCAGCTCCCCATGTGTCTCATTCTCCCAGCCCCAGATGTGTCTCAATTTCCCACCTCCCCATGTGTCTCAATGCCCCACCTCCCCATGTGTCTCAATTCCCCAGCTCTTGATGTGTTTAATTCCCGCAGCCCCACATGTGTCTCAATTCCCCAGCTCCCAATGTGTCTCAACCCCCCAGCCCCTATGTGTCTCAATTCCCCAACTCCCCCATGTGTCTTAATACCTCTGATTTGGATCAAACAAACTGTTTGATTATTTGTCTATCTACTCCTTTCTAAATTGATTGTGCGCAAGTCTTCTAGAAGTAAATCACACCGGACGCATTGCAGGTTTATGAAAGACTTCAGAATGGCCTTTATTCCAGAGGGGGCGATTCCCTTTTAAAGCAGAAATACGTCATGTACCAGAGTCACAGTTAACATAAAGTATACATTCAACAATTGGTTAACAGTCTAAGGGGTCTTGTCTAAACCCACCCTACTGGGCGTGACCCCAGCATCATCACATGACATTTCTTTGTATCCCAGCTCCATTCCAGCTCCATTTTTACTAACGTTGCATGTTTCTAGAGAGAGCCTTTACTTGAATAAAGGAAGCGGGGGAGGGGTTAGAAAGGGAAGCAGTTACTCTAACAGCAATTCTCCATTTTGGTTACACGATGGGAGGGGGAGCAGGGTGAGAGGGGTTTACAGAGGAAATGGTTATTGAGCACACAGAAAGGGGGAGGGGAAGCTTTTACTCTAGCAGCCAGTTTTACACAGTGAACACAGATACACAGAATAAATAGATATTAGTAAATAGACATTTTATCCATTCAAGTATGTTGTCCATAACACCTCAGCTCCACATGTGTCTCATACCCCCAGCCACAAATGCGTCTTAATCCCCCAGCTCCCCATGTGTTTCATTTCCCAAGCCTCTCCATGTGTCTCATTCCCCGAGCTCCCCCATGTGTCTCATTCCCCGAGCCCCCCCATGTGTCTCATTCCCTGAGCCCCCCCATGTGTCTCATTCCCTGAGCCCCCCCATGTGTCTTGTTCCCTCCCAGCCCCTATTGTATCTCAACCCCTAAGCCCTGATATTCACTATATATATATATACATATATATATATATACACATTAGAAATGTAGGGCCTGGACGTCCTAATCGTGGTGCTGAAAGCAGCTCAGTTAATGATCTGAGTACTTCTTAAAGCTATACAGGATTTTTCACTCTCTAACTCAGCTATCCATTCATTTGACTCTGGCCTTAAAGTTTGAAATTCATTTTTTTCTCCCTCACTTTAGTAAATAACCCTGAAAATCTTTTGTGACAGTAGTCACCATCACTGGGGTCAGAAGACGGACATATTATGTGCATCCCCAGACTATTATTTAGTTTTGTTCACCCTGTGCCCAGTATTTGTGCAGGGTATGTATAATGTATTGATTTTCCAGGTTGTATGTGCCTTTCCTCCTCCCCCTTTTTCCTGTACTATTGTTTCCCCAGCAGGGAATTATTCACGGGACACTGCTAGACCAGTTCAAACTAGCAGCCCTGTCCCTCTTCAATCTCCCATTTGGTTCTCAGCCCTTGCTATTGTCTGACACCACTTTCTTGTACTATAGTGCTGTATTCACCCTATTGTATGCAAATGAGACTGTTTGGGGCATAAATACATGTGCTGTGTTCTTTAAAGGGAGTGTCATCGGGTGTTTGGGAAAAGAGCTCTGCTGATAAAAAGGATGTGCAGAACTAAAATCCTAGTAATTATAACTCGTATTTATATAGCACCTTTCTCCAAATGGGACTCAAAGCGCTTTTCAGCGCACGCTCTATATAATGCCCAAGGGTGCCTCAAAAGGCTATGTAGAGGATCTTGAATGGTGTCCCCCAAGGCTCAGGAAAAAGCAGCAATGATGATATTAAAAATAAACAAATTTATTACAATAAATGTTAAATAAACTGTGCAGGTCCCATATGGTGACACACAAGCTCACAGCTATGCAGACGCATTTCAGCTCAGTCTGAGTTTTCATCAGTGCATAAAGATCATCCAGATGCTGTTCCTTTTGAATTCGCCACTTCTATGGCTGCCGGTCACGTGGGCGGAAGTTCGGTTGACCGGCGTCTGATGTCACTTCCGGTATTTTCGGCGCTAATTTCATTAGTTTGGTTTGATTCAGTTCGTTTGCCCAATTGAAGCCAAAAGCTCAATGTTATAAATGGGCACCTATAATAACTCGTAAAGTGCATGTAAATAGACAATTCATCATTTCAACACTTGTGAACTCCTGAGTCTTGGGGGACACCATTCAAGATCCTCTACACAGCCTTTTGAGGCACCCTTGGGCATTATATACAGAGCCTGGCACGGCTCTGGAATTCGTGAGTGTATCCAACTACTTTTATACTAATTTATTTGCAAATACAGTCTATACTATGTATTGTTCTTTTGTGTTGTAGGAATCTATTACATGGAATATTATCTGCATACATCTGCACATGTATAAGCATTCTTAACTATTTTTGGTCATTTTTTATTGGTACCATTTGTACACAGGGAGTGGTGTGTGTATGTGGCACTTGTTGTCCTCAAGTACCTTTATTTTACTATTTGACCTTAGGGTGTTGGGGAACACCTTTCTCACTCCACAACTGTGTTCATATTGGTTTTTTTTACTGTGTAAGCGCCACTCACTCATTTCCTTTTTCTTGTGGAGTCAATGCCTCAACGCATCAGATCATTTTGGCATCACAAAGGGAAGCTACACAATATTATTCAGGCAATTTTAATGTTATGGCTGATCAGTGTATACTCAAGCATAACAAATGTTTTGAGTTTCCATGAAATAGGCACAAAAGCTAGACTTTGATTGAAGATCCATATATTTACTCCTTTTTTCGTTTGATAATTTATAAGCTCTGTGAACACTTTCCATAGTGTCTTGACTGCACTGTATCTATCATAACCTTGTGCTCTGCCATCATCTAGTGGTGAATGTTGGAACAGCATTATATTTAAATTTAAGTGTTGAAAAGATTAACAGGTTTATGTACTAAAATGAGAACTCCAAGTAATGTTCAAACTCAACCCCTTAAGGATGGAGGCAATTGTGCACATTCTAATCAAAACAAAACCTTGAATTTGCATTATAAGTGTGTTCAACCATAATTCACCTCTTTCATATTAAGTACACCCACACTTAATATATATTATTTTGTTCAGGAAAAACATGGCTTTCAATTCATATCTAATATTCATATATGAAACATTTAATAATAATAATATTTAAAACAATTTGAGAAATTAAGGAATGTTGTTATAGTTCAAGTTCTGCATGACATTTTAACTATGAATGTCATATTATTAGCTTTTACTGCAATAAAATACACATATTTGTGTTCAGCGATATCTCAAAAGTACAACAGTACAACCCATGTACAGGTTTTAATGGGTTTTAGAAAGTTGCAGGATTAAATATAAGGCTTTTCTCATTTACAGTTTTTACACACTAAAATTTGCCAGTGTGATTTGCTGGGCCTATGTTGTCTTTGAGACCGTATGGCAGCCCAGGAATGAAATTTACCCCAATTATGGCATACCATTTGAAAACACAGGCAACCCAGGGTTTAGTAACCAGTTAGACCCAAACGATGGCCAAAATTAGCGGATATTTTTGTTATCTTGCCTTGTTCACAAATAAACTTCCCTGTCACCGATAATATCATCAGCATTATATGTTTTATTGCTCTAAACTAAATCACTCAAATTTGTGTTCAGTAATACCTCACAAATAAAACAGTACCCACCATGTACTCATGGTGTTTTGGAAAGTTAAAGGGTCAAATATAAGACTTGGCCATTTCTGTTTTTGCACATTGAAATTTTCCAGATTTGTTATGTTGCCTTTGAGAACGTATGGTAGCCCAGGAATGAGATTTACCCTCATCATGGCATACCATTTAAAAAAGTAGACAACCCAAGGTATTTTAAATTGGGGTATTGCCAGTATTTTTTAGTAGCCACTTAGTCACAAACACTGACCAAAGTTAGCGTTCATATTAGTTTTTTGCATTTTTCAAACAAAAACTGCCCTTTTGTTGATTATATCATCGCTGTGATACATTTTATGGTTTTAAAACACTAATATTTATGTTCAGCAAAGTCTCCTGAGTAAAACGGTAACCCCACATACAGGTTTTATGGCGTTTTTGGAATCTTGGATTGTTAAATATAGGGCTTGCAAATTAAATTATCTGAAATTTCTGCCTAGGTTATCAGGCAGGTTCCTCAAAGTGTAATTAATAATATCACTTAATTATGTATAAAAATCACATAAATATACACATAGAATTTAAATGTATATACATATATATCTATATAAATTCTAGGTGTATATTTATGTAATTATTTATGCAATTATATATAAATGTATATTTTTTTAAAATAATTTAATTTATTTATATATTTATATTTATTATTTTATTCTGAGTGTATTTTGATATGAATATTTATATATATATATTCTTATCAAATTACAGTTATGATGAAATTATAAATATATATGTATGAATTTTAAATACAAATATATATACTTATCATGTATGTATCATGTATGATAAGTATATATATTTGAATTTAAAATTCATACTTAGTGTATTTATATTTTAATAAAAAAATAAAAATAAAGTAAAGTAAAACAATAAATAAATAAAAAAATAAAAATAAAAAAGCTTCACAGACACCTATTGGTACCATGTGATCTCTCTTTGAGAGCAATCACATGGCCCCGGGGGCCAGATGTAGTAGGGTAGACTGCCTGGGCTGTCAGACAGTCCGCCCGAAGTGGATCATGGCAAAGGTAAGTCCACTGAAGCTTCTGGGGCCAAAACCTATTACAGCGTTCCATGCTGCCACAATGGTTTTAAAGCCCATAAAATGCAGAACAGCATGGAACGTCGTAACGGCGTTAAGGGTTTACAATCCGAGTGGCCAAAGTGAAAGCATTGCTAACTTAAAGATTTTTTAAAGTTTGGCTGTTTTGATCTTAAATTTGAGATTCCCTTTGAATACACTTTGAATTCTTACTTTGGTAAATAATAAACCTGTAAAGGGACACTCTTACAGGGTAATTCACTAAAGTCAAAATGGCCCCGTATGAATGGTGTAAAACCATTGGGCTGCATACGGATTTTTCGGACTGCAAATCCAGACTTTGTTCACACTATTTAACAATGCCTGAATTTTGTAATTTAGGCCAGAAATTTAGTCAGACTGAACACTTCAAATCCGGGGCTAGATGCTTCACATCTGGGACTGGATTTAAAAAAAATCTGAATGATTTGCATACTGGCATCGCTAGCAACCAGAAGACAAAAAGAAGACAAAAAAAACTTTTAACAAAAAGTTAAAACCCTCAGAGGAGCAAGGGTTAATTATGTGACAACTGGCCAGTGCTTGCTAGAAAGGCATCCCATTAAATAGTTTTAAAAAAAATAATAAATCCTATGGGGGTCAATAAGATTGTAGAGAACGCCTCAATTCCTGGGGTGAGACTTCTTCCCATAGACTATGGACCCTGTCCAGATCCCTCTAAAAATACCTATAGGGCTATTGTCACTCTAAGGGTGATTTTGGTGGCCCTGCATTCTTATATGTATTTATAACATCATTTTAAATGTATTTTTATTTAAATATATATGTATATTAATTTCAAAATACAGTTAGAACACATTTAAACTGGTATATATCGATGCTTGTCAGCATTCACAGATTCAATGAAGTGTGGATAGCACTCCAAGGACTTCCAAGTGATAAAGTAAAACTTAACTTTTATTGCTCAAAAAGGTCGACGTTTGAAAGTTTGGATTACAAACTGAAATGTTGATCGTTTTGAGCAATAAAAAATATATATATGTTAACATATATATATGTTAAGGCCCTGGCCTGTAGTTGTGGGAGGGGCTTGAATCCCCTATTAAAGGGCTGCCAATCCTCTCTCACTTTACCGTTCATGGTCTAGCGAGTCTGAGAGGATTACTTCCGGTTCAGTCCACCATTTTCTTGTACCTGTATTCCCTCGTGGTCTCCTGGTTCTTTAGCTGCCTAAACTGCGTCCAAAAGCCTGTCGCTCCACAGCCTCCCGCCGGCGTCCGAGCAGCTCGTTCTCAGCACGGCCAATAGGTCTAAAACCATAAGTCTAACCCCTGCCGCAAGTCAGCTTTTACGGCAGGGGTCCCGTTCATTTCAATTTTGTGTTCGGTTAAATCGCGCTGACTGATTACACACCGTTCTGCACAACCTTTCGTTTAAAATTATCAGCATACGCATGTGTTCATATAAACGCAATTACACGAATGCAACCATCCATTTCGTTAAATTCCAGCAATAGGTTTCGGTTGTTTCATAGACCAAGTTAATGCGAACGGTACATATAGGGAAACATTCGAATGATCAGTTTCTACATGTATTTCTCTTAATTGTTCGGCGGTATATCCTGGAATAAGTCAACCAATTAGCATAATCATATGCCCCTATGGGTAACAAAGGATATTGCAGGCATTAAGTTATGTTCATGAATTAGGCTAAAATTACAGGTAATGATAGACTGGATTATTATAGTTGATATTGTTCTGATATTATTTCCCACAGGTTTCATTTCGAATATTTACTTTGGAATTTCTGACAACTGTGTTAAAAAAATACTAATTGCCTTTTAGTTTGGTTGGAAATTTAATTAACAGTTTTCTATTTTATGGCTCGCCTATATGTTGACACTTTTTAGGCATATGACATTTTACTTTCCTTAGGTACCTGAACTTACAGACGGTTGCTTTTCAAGCACGACAAACCCGTCATCATTCTTTTCATCTTACTATCCTCTTCATAGTGTCTGGTAGGTGCCTTATACTTTTCGGGCCCACGATCTGGCCAGCTACACCTATATGTACAGATACTCATATCATGTTCATATCTATAGGTCACAGCACGTATCTACTGCCACCGACTATTTCATTAACTCCATTACTCCGCGTCCTGACTCAAACTTATCAGGTACAACACTAGAACCAGTACCTTTCTAGTTTTAGAGTGGTCACTGGCTTTCAGGGTTTTAGACTGCCCAAATAGGTGATGCTTTCCGGTCTTAATCCATAGTCTAGTGGTCCCGCGAGGCCAACACCATCCTTATACTCGGAGGTATATGCCCCTCGGGCCAAATCATAGTTAGACGCCTCGCGTGGTCGCATAGAGAGGGCCTCCCATGTCACTCCCATTCTATCTTATGCTTTAGTTTATCACCAAGAGGCCAACATCCCGCCACAACATTGCGGTGGCCTCATATTTTCCCCTTGGGCCAACGCATAGGTAGAGCCTCTCATGCCGCTTGGCAATTAGCAGGGACTAATCTGTCAATTTTCAAAGCATAATTGTTTCGCCGCTTGTTATTTGTGCTAGCCTTGCCAGTATCCGTCCACTTCATCATAAGATAATGATTAAGTGGCTTTATATTTTTTCAGTTATGTCTCAGGTTCCTGATATCCCTGAGGAGCTGTCACTACCCAGCACACCCGCTAGGCCCGGTACTCCAGGCCCAGGAGCTGATGTCAATAGCCCTTCTTCCCTGAGATCATGGACTATCCCATGTCTCACAGCAGAATTACGAAGGCGATGCATCCCTTTCCCAGCTACCGCTAGGAAAGCAGAATTATGTAGACTCTTAAATACCAACACCGATAACTCCAATGCTGGGGAAGGGCCTAGTGGGTCTTCATGCTATGATGATGTCATTAATGTAATCTATCGGCACCATTAGTGATAGACTGGATAAACTGGAGGCAGTTTGTTCTCCCCAGGTTCCTGCAAATCTAACTAATTCCAGTCACACAGTCACTGATGTTATGCCCGGTAATTCTTTGGCATCAATTTCTGTCCCTGAATGTATTAACCCCTCGCACATGGTCCCATCTCACCTTAAAAAGGACATTCTGGAAGGCAAGGGCGTTAACCTGGTCTCATTACTTATTGCCTCCCAGGATGTTCTTGAGAATAGGATATTTGCATTTCTGTGGTTCTAAGGGCAAGAGACCCCCGTTTGAACAAAAAATTGTCCATCCCGGAATTTGTACTGGGTTTTGGCATTTATAGGGACGTTTACTGCTTGGTATATCCTGAGAAAAGAGAAGAGTTAGACGTGTATATGCACAAGATGGTGGATCTGGGGCACAAATACGATGCACTTTGTGGTTCAGAAATATACCAGGACCTGAAGCTCATTATGAAGAAGAATTGTTCCAGTTGGTGGAGATGCAACTCACCATAACTGATCTGTTCCGGCTACGGTGGACCAAGTACTTCAAATATCAATGTCTGCACAAGAAGCTGAGCTATAGGCTCTCACCACAGCATGTAAGATCTCTGACGGAAGACACACCAATATCTACACTGCCACTAGATATGCACTAGCGTGGCATATGACTTCGGATCAATCCGGAAGACAAGAAAATTTCTCACAGCAACTGGCACGCTAGCTAAGCATAGCACGGCTATCAAGGAGCTGATGGATGCCCTACCCCTTCCTGAAGAGGTGGCCATACTGAAGGTAAAGGCTCATGGAAGACTGAACTCAGAGGAAGCATGTGGCAACTATCTAGCTGACCAAGCTGCCAAACAAGCCGCAAGTGCACCAAGGGAAGTGGACAGAAGAGTGTCCGCTGAAGAAACTCCCATATTCACCATGTAAGATCCTATCCACAGATCTCAAGCTCCTGAAGGAATAACAAGCAGCTGCTGACCCTGAAGAAATACAAAGCTGGAAGCAGAAAGGGGCAATCCTTAAAGAAGGGCTGTACTCTAACAATTTCAAGTTCTGTTTATCCAAGGACATGTACTCAGCAGTGGTCCAGTGGGCTTACGGAGCATCATACCTGTCCAAGACCCTCATGAACTCTTTAATCAACAAATACTCTGAAGCTCCTGGAATTACCTCTCTGACCAACAGTTACTGCAGATCCTGCACCATTTGTGCCAAGGGCAACTCGGGCAGAAATGGAGAAAAGCCCCAAGCATCTAGCCAAACCTCACTATCCCTTCCAAAGAATCCAAGTTGACTACATCCAGATGCCAAAGAGTGGTTGGCTCAAATATGCACTAGTTATAGTAGACATGTTTTCAGGATGGCCAGAGGCCTACCCAGTCACCAATGTGACAACCAAGACCACATGCCAAGTAGTACACCGTGAAAGTTGCAGAGATCACCCTGTGGATTCACCATTCCAGAATCAAGCCTGTCTCTGTTCCATGGGAAGTAACGTTTGTTGATCTTGACAACCCTTTCACTCTCCATTTTTAGAAAGTAAAGTACTTGTTGGAGAAAAATATCAAGAAGTAGGTGTTTTGATGGCCATAATAATGCCTTACCACCTGCCATCGATGGAAAGCCAAGGACCCCAAAGGGAGACCTCGTGAAGCTAAAGAGAATCAGACTTACTCCTTGCGATGATCTCACAGCTAGCAGTGTATTTGCAGTGTGCTGGATTAAAGGTGAGTGCAACATTTTACATTTTTTAAGTAGCAGCCCAAAACTTTGTTATAAAATGTATTTACTTATAATAATAGAGAATTCCTTTACTTAACAAATTATTCATACAAATAAAGGCAAATAAAGCCAGAAAACAAATGTTAACCTTCATTAGTTTCTGCTAACAGATAAAACGTTACTTCACTCTTTATGCAGTGTTAAAACAGTGCACTAAAAGGTGGACATAAATTGTCACTAAGTTCATACAATAATATATATAGTACATAAAAGGCAATATTAGTAAAGTAACAGATTACATAAAATGTTCCACAATCAATAGCCTAAATTACATGGTGGAGAACAAATCAAAAGTTACATTATTACAGATTTGCCAAGCAACGAATGTAACTTCAAGTAAAGTTGGACTATTACTAAATGTGCTATTGTTGATTGAATACACAAGATACCACTTATATTCTATATAAGCCACATGTGTCCATACAACTGGTCCAAATCCCCTTTTTCCATTTTTTTAATTAAAGACTGTTATATGCATTGGAATTAATTAGTAATAGAAAATGCCTTGCAAATATTTGTTTCATTTCTTCAAGGAATAACAGTCCCAAGGGCTTCCATTAGAACACTTAAATACAATACCCATCAGGATCTGTCAGGGACACTGCAGAAGAAAGATGTATTACATGTGCAGTATGAGAGGGCTCAGCAGAGGGAGTGCACATAGACAGAAGTAATTAGCTACAAAACAATTTAACTGAATTAAGGATCGTTTGAAACACAAGCTTTGTGTGATAGTGGGAATGAAATATCAAAATATAACAATGCAGAGAAAGTGTCTCAAAGAAAAAGAAAGAGACGAAAGGGAGAGCATGCAGATATCGGAAACACTGTCTCTGGCATACCATTTAAAATTTTTACTTTATGGAACCTATCTAGGTGAATTGTTACGGATCTGAGACAGGTGAGTCCAACTCGGCGAACAATTCTCTCTTGCAGCCTATGTAGGATGATCGTGACCATGAAGTATATAAAGTTCATACTCTCTGTGCTGTATTGCTGCCATGTAGGATCATAACTATTTTAAACGTTTCACTCTTTAAAATGTATGGTAAGTCATCTATTTCTATCTGTCAGTAAAATGGGTCTCACTCAAAGTAATTCAAAATAATATAAAGCAAAGATAGTTCATGTTTACTCATCCAGGTTTTTGTTTTTCTGATCAAACTTATTTAGTGAAGCACATAATTTAGATGATGACTCAAATCTACCCCCATTATAAAGTGAGAGGAGTCAGACAGCGTTTGTATTTGAGAGTAAGTCGGACCTGTATAGAGGTTTTCAAACACTGTCTGACCCAAGATGCATGTACATGGCTGAAGGATTCTGTCATATACTAATGGCATGGATACGTTTTTCCTATTTTTTTTTCATATACTTAATTCAAAAAGAAATCTATTTCCTTTCAAAACTTGATGAAAGG